AGACATTGACATCACTCGCTTCGTTTGCAAGTCTAAAGTTTCTGCTGCCATACGCAAGCTGACATCAACCAGTGGATCCAAGGTCAAACACATCACAGGCCGCAAAAACTGTCTCATTACTCGCGCGTGGCCAAAACGTTCTCAACAAAATTTTGCCCGACTGCGAACCCGCCAAGGAGTCAAATGTCTCGTTGATTGATTGCACGGAAGCTGTGAGCCGAACTGTGGGGCTGTGGGGCAATCAGCGGCTGAGAACACTCGCTCTCTCTTTGACCAAAACCAAACCCTTGGTCTGGAATCTTTTAGTCGAGCTACGGGATAGTGTTTCTTTTGGGACAGATGAAAGTATCAGATGCACCCCGCTGACAATAGGAGTCCGCCCGATTTCTCGGAAAACATAACGGACGGATGTGGGTTCGGAGGAGCCACCGCAAAGAAAGTTGCTGGACATGTGCATGTTTCTGCCCTCGAGATGCTTGCACATGCTTTTGTTTCCTCTCAATCTTGGCCAACAGCGGCGCACGGTTGGCTGCCTCGTCATTGTGCGTTCCCCCCATGCTCTTTGCATTGCCCTTCGATTGGCGCCCTCGCATTCCGACACGCCAGAGACCCGTCTTGGAACTCTCTCGCCGTATACACGAGACCCAGGGGGGTCACATTACATGGAAACCATTGATTCGCCACATAATAGGTGCTACAGTGGAATCTCGTTAATTCAAACTCGCGGATTATTCAAACTAATATGCAGGTCTTGTCCTATCTGTTTCTAGGGAGGAAACTCCCATTAATTCAAACTTTGCATTATTCAAACAATGTTTTGGTCCCCCTCAGGTTCAAATTAACGAGATCCCCTTGTAGTATGTTTGCTTTAAAAACAAATTGTAAACTGTGGTGGAAAATTGCTGAGGCAGAAATCGCCAAAATTTCCAAGCAAGCAAGTAGTTAATTTAATCTAAAGACAGGACGTGAACTTCAGCGTGGGGTTTCACTTGTCCCGCCCTTTGCGGGAGCTTCCTTCCTTCAATGATGTTCCGACGTCTCGCGAGCCTCGAGCGCACATGTGCAGCCAAAGATCGACAAAGGGCCATGAAGGCGTGCTGGAGGCTGGGCATGCTCTAAAGGACTATTCACACATGCAACACAGCTTTACCTTAGCGCCGTTAGCCGGGACTGTAAATAATAGCGGTATGGCGCGGCATCAGTGCCGAGCTCCATTCAAGTCTTTGCTGCATCAGTTCTGTTTGTATGTTCTGTTTCGGCTAAACGGGCAACTCTGGTCATTTCCGAGAAATTTGAGTTAATGGTTGATTATATATCCTAGAGTAGTAATAAATTTAACAATTTTGTTGAGAATGTTTTCATGGCCCTTTGTCGTGTAAACATTAAATTTACACTATTTTTAACAGTGTAAATTTAATAGTGTAAAAATGTTACACAAAGTGTAACATTTTTCATGCAGTCTTCATTTAGAACTTACCACAGAGCGAAACCAAAACCTTGCGTGTGATGGGCAACATCGCCGCTGTGTTGTCACTTACACGCTCTAACCACGTGGTACAAATCGCGACGTCACGTACCAGGCAGTCGGGCGTGGCGCGAGGGCAAAAGTGTCGTCTGTTACGATCGGCAGTCCGCTACACCCGACGACGCCTGCACTACCGCGGTCGCAGCTTGCGTTTTAGTGTAGAAAAAGGCAAGCTTTCCCAAGGGTTTGTTTCTAAAACATCACTAGAAAGTGAAGTCTGGGAAACCACACATAAATGTGTTGCGACGGGTTTGTAGAACCATGCCGTGCTCAACGTCGCAAACTGGCTCTCCCGCACGGGGCAGACGCTGCCGCCGATGACGCATGCTCGCACGGGAGCAGACAAGTGCGTGCGCCTTCCGCGAATTACGTGGCCAGCGATGAGAGCACTGCTAGCACCACCTGTAGGCTTTGCTTGAAAAAGTACAAAACGAGCAGACATACCCCCCGGAGCGATTTGTGCATGACGTAGGTAGCACAGGGAGGGCTATGTTGGTGCAGCGGTATCGACTTCACTGATGGCTACAGCGCACCTCACTTGCTAGGATTAACAGATTTGGGGAATTTTGTGCAGCTCGAACTTTGTTTGCCAGTTTCATCAGCTTTTAGGTGGAATTGGATTGAAATATTTGGCGTGTGAGCTCTTCAGGCGACGCTAGAGACGCTAAAATTCTGGCATATAAGCCACAAATATTAAGTCTCAATAGTTTCATACTGAAACTATAGTTTTCCTAAAGTGAATTATATGCCAAAAAGTGCAATGGAGAAAAACATGCTCAAAGTGCTCCAACCTCTGCCTTTTCTCTAGCATCGGTGGACCAAACATAATTTATAAAAATTAACTATGCAGTGTAAACTAATGAAACCTTCTGGGAATACTCTCTAGATGTTAGCTGATGTAAATATGGCATTTTTCAAAACCGACCTTTTTTGCAGAAATTGAAACGAAGTATGTTGGTTTAGCGCTGTGCAGTAGCGTGAATCCGGGGAGTCCTGCCGTTTCTTCCTGTCAGTGGTTGTGCACTCATTCGTTCTCTCTGCGTTCCTCAGTTCATCGTGGTGTCGCTGAAGGAGGGCATGTTCAACAACGCCAACGTGCTCTTCCGTACCAAGTGCGTCAACGGGATGTCGTCCGTCACGCGAACAGCCCAGCGCCTCGAGTTGGACAAGTGATGCACATCATCACTGTCATCCTCATCATCATCCTCCGTTTCTTTCTTACATAACCTCTGTACATTGCATTTCATTGACCAGGACAGATCAGTTTTTTTAGGTACCTTTTCTTGCTATAATACTTCCATGTTTTATATCCAGTCTTTCCAGTTGCATTTTTTCTGTCTTTATTCTTTTATATGTGCATGGCCATCTCTTTTTCAAGGTTTAAATAAAAGTGAACTATCTTTGTCCAAGTGGTTTTTCTTGTTTTCCTCTCCCAAATGTTGAACTACCATTTGCATTTAAATGCATTTGCTATACAGTAAAAACTTCATAGAGAACTGTTTTATTAAAATGACTATTTGCTACTACGGGGCATAATCAAAAAAGTTTGGAAAATAGTCCTAAATATAGTACAATGAAGTATATGCTTTACTTGTGTTTCCCTCGAAGTGTTGTCCTCGCTTCCTTTTGCTGTGATAGCGTTCCCGGCGTTTTTACCACATCTGGAAAGCTCTTTCGAAGCCAGTACCGTGCAACTTCTGTTCAGGACACAGAAGATTCAGCGCACACTTTGCAGCAATGCGGTGCACAATCAAAACACACGAGAATTGCCTGCAGTGCTCAAAACAAGATATTGAGTATCTTAACAATGTCCTGAATGAAGTAGGGTTGTAAACTCAGTAAGCGGCATACAGCCTCAGTAAACACGGACGATGAACAAGAAACAAACATCACAGGACAATGGCTGTTTATTCTATGAAGCATGAAAGGAAACTTCCACGTTGCATGACTCATTGCTTCTTTGCCATAAGCCCAAAGAATAATTTCGAGGCTCTTTGTTCTAGATTTTCTGAGTTTGACGCAGCTAGATGTTTACACCGAGTTTGCCAATCTGCTCATGCATGTGGTCACAAAAAACTTTTGCAGTTCAGCTCTAAATGTTCACAGAATGATACCTTTTAGCACATTGCCTTCGACAGTTGCACAAGCATCACCGTGCTGCCCACTCTTTTTACGCTAAGAGACTAGTCTCTGAACTTTTTTATCGCACCTTGTATCTTAACCCCATCCTCGCATCAAATGTCTGTAGCAATATATTACGAGCATTTTAGATTTGCCACTGATCTCTACTGTATGGGGCTGGATGGCACATAAGCTGCTCTCCGTGCCTGGCGCAAGTGAAGCCACCGGAAGTGCGACGCTTGTCCTGCAACTTGGGAGTCTGCTGGGCTTCGTAGTGCATTCAGTTGATGTTTTGGTCCATGCTTTTCCGTGTCCGAGTTGGTATTAATAATCTCGTTTTGCATCAAATCCCGAGAACAAGGCATCCGAACGTGGAACATGTGCACGCTTGATCAACTGGAATCTGAAAGTTTTCACAGAATGGCTTCCCAGGAGACTTTTTGGGTCTGCATGTGCTGTTACTGTGCAACAAGCAGTCTCTCTTGAGATGACAAGAAAAAATCCAGCGCCCTGAACGGTTCGAATGAGCACTCGGAAGAGTTGAAAAGCCTGTCAAGTGCTCGCTTCCGAGACAAGCGGCTTGCTTCTGGTCGCTTCATACCTGTTTGCTCAGTGTTACATCCAGCCCCCTAGTGGAGTATTCCAGCGAGATTTGCTTGGCTATATGGGCACTGGCAACCATAGCGGTGTGCACAACTGCCAAATGCGTGCTGGTGGCGAGCTTCCAGAGTTCCTTTGCAACATGCATTCTCACCATCAAAATTGCCGTCTTAGCAGCTTATTAATGCGAGCTCATTCTGAGCATCCGCTCTATACACGGCACCCATAAATAAGGTGTTTAGTGAACACCTTCTATGGGGGTATTCACGGGACGCCATATTGTTGGACGTTCACAGCGCATGCTCAGAACTAGCTCCCATTTATTGGATTCTAAGAACGCCAATTCTGTATGTGTGGAATGGATGTTGAACGTACATTCTTGTTCACTCCTCGTAGGCGGTGCAGCCAAAGCTATGGATATCCGTGTGCTCGCGGACCTTGAGCACCGATCAAGGCTGTGCATGCCACTGCTTTGATCGGTTCGCCTCTTTTGAAATGCCAGAAACAGATGTCCTCGAGCACCGTTCTGAGCGTGCGCTGCGAACAACGTTCAACAAGATGGCGTTTCGTTAATACTTCCTATAGTGAAAGTGTTTTCTTTGTAGGGATTCTACTGTACTGGCCTCTTTGGACTGTCGTTTCACTTTGCTAACGGTCTCCCAGCAAAGATTGTACCAGTGCTTTGCTGCAGCTTCATGTAGCGCCTGCTTTATTTTATTTGTCTCTGACTGCAAGTGACGCACCTGTTGCGACATTTTGTATCATTTCAGATTTATTTAAATATACAATGGCAACCACCAATATTAAATATAACAAAAATAGGATGAAAAAAAATATCACATTGTGTCTGTCGAGATGCTTGTAGAGGCATGTCCTAATTAAGCATTGCAATCTATGATACTTTAAACGGTCAAAGATGCAATGCAGCTCCCACAATCCGTAATGTGAACATAAACAATAGGGCAGTGATCTTGCGAGAAAATAAAATAAAATAAAGAAAATTGTGACGGTATGCAGCTAGGATATGTGGAATCTTATGCGGGCATGGTGTACCTGGGTGTAAGGTGTGCCGTACTGTATTCACTCAATTCTAAGCAACCCTAGCTTATTCTTCATCTCATAATTTAAATTGCCTTTCTATTTCACAAGATGAATACCGTAAGTTATTCTATTCACGAGCAGTTCATGTACACCGGTGTTCCAATGGCTTCTAAATTCTTCAACTTTTCTATGTCTCATTGTCGACGGGGCAAACACTCGAGTGATTTCGGGTGATGTCATCACTACTGATGTCTAGTGGTATATTCTATTCCCAAATGTAGCTTTTTCAACTACAATTGTGAAATGGCTATTTTTACAAAATATGCTGCTTACGTATTCTAGATCCTGGTCTGCACCTGAAGGACAGCACCAGAATTCCCAAAGCTTGCATATGACCCGGTGGCCCCTGACCATGCTTCGACACTTCGTCCATAAGTAACCTTGCATTTCACAAACGTGAAACAAGTGATCGTTGCATGCTGTGATACGTGTCGCAACATGCCCTAACCTGCAGATGTGACATATATGTCTGCAAAAAAAGTTTGTGTCGCGAGATGTGGACAGTTGATGGCAGACGCAGACCGCTCCGATAAACACTCGTGCAATGCTCGGCATCGTCGAAGAATGTGTGCTTTGTCCATGGTGCTCGCGATCCGTGGCCGCCTCACTCGGGGAATGTCGGGCAGATTTTTCTACCCCCTCATCCACAGCCCTAACTGCTGCGGCAGGCTCAAAGTTGCTTCTTGACAGCAGTCGGGGTCAGCACGACCTTTCCCTCGAGGCACCGCTTCATGAAGTCGACGACGCTGCCGACGTATCTCTGCCGATTCAGCACAAAGTGCTGCACGTGCGGAGAGTCCTCCCACACGACCTCTTCGACTGGAACGCCTCGTGTTCTCCTGGCCTCTGCAAAGGCGGCGATGCTGTCGTGGGAGCAGACGGCGTCCTTCTTGGAGTAGAGGAACAGTTGCGGACACAGGGGCTGTTCTTCGAGCAGGCTGTCGAAGGTGGACGCGTGGCGGCGCATGTTGAGGAACAGGCCCCCCACCCAGTTGAGCGTTGAGTACAGCCACACAGTGAGGGCCCAGAAGAATGCCACGACGTACCGTAGTGGCATCTTGGTGCTCACGAACGATGCCATCACGTGGACGCCCTGCCAGAACCCGACGCGGGCCGGCCCGCTGTCGAAGACCACGCCACGGATCTGGAGAAGAAAAATGGGAGGGCCTTTTGAAAATTCAAATGAGAATCGCTAAATGGCAGGATAATTCACTATACTGGTGAGGTGTGTCTACCAGCACAGCTTTCACAGTATTCAGCTTGCATCACTAAGGTGTCCGGAATCCCTGCACCATAGCGGACTAAAACCCGCAACGTCGCAGCACACTTTATGCGTTTGGTCGCCAAGCACACCCACATAAGAATTTGATGAGCGCAGTGATGTTGCGCTTCTGAAGCTATTTGATTGGCTCGTCGGCTCCTAGCATTGGCAGCGCTCCGACGTTCGCTATCTGATGAAATGACTTGCACGTTCCACAATATCAGTTGTTCTGCCATTGTGCAGTGGTTCAGACCTAACAATCCGCACATGACCCCCAGGACCAGGCTAAGGTGTCCCTTTGCTGTCGCTGCTGCGTGCGATTAATTAAGCCGTTTTATTTATGGCTGTGTCTAGAGTGCCGTCTGACAGTACTCTTGCAGAGCGTTCAAGTGCTGTCCAACAGCACTCCACTTGGCGCCTTCAAGTGCCATCCGAAAGGAAGTCTGACGGCACATGTAACACTGGGGAGCGTGTTAACCCTCCCCCCCCCCCCCGCCCCCGCCCCCTGTGTTCATGCCGCTTCGCGGCGACAGTCTGTGGCTGCTAATTACAAAACTATTAACCCACTTGGCCATGTTGTACATGCCACTTCACGGTGTCCAGCTGGCAACCGAAGCCCCGCCGTCCCCCATTGCACCTCCAGAAAGGGAGTCCCATACCATTTAGTTCAGCAAAGTTTCGTCAACAACATTTATTTTTTAAAGCGGAGCTGTTGAGGTCTAGTTCCCCAGGATCGTGTCCACCAGCAAATAAATGTCGACACAACACTTCAGACAGCTACCGCCATCTATGAGCGATGGCGGCAACCAGACAACCAGCTTGCTGGTTGTCTGGTTGCCGCCGTAGCTCATAAATGGCGGCAACCTTTCCAGCCTTTCCACTCTGGCTTGTCAACTTGCGGCCGGCTATTACTTCATTCCCATTTAGTACAGCTTCGCTGATCTTCCTTCTACACCGGAGTGGAAAGGCTGAAAGTTTTTTCAGCGATAATTGTAAAAAAATGAAAGCCATTTACAATTCCCTGTAACGCCGGTTGGAGCGCAGCTCTTGAGGAGGAGGATGGAAGCGTACTGAGGGACAGGTGACTCCTTAAGGTCACGTGACCTCATGGGAGGTCGGGTGACGTCAAGGGGGTCACGTGACCTCGGGGGAAGGGGGTCACGTGACCTCAGGAGAATCACGGGACCTCAGGGGGTCACGTGACTTCAGGGGTCAAATGACCTCAGGGGGTTCACGTGACCTCAGTGGGGTCACGTGACCTCAGGGGTCACGTGACCTTGATGATGACGATTTGATGACGTCATCAGTGATGATGACGATGCGGATGCCAATGACGTCATCAGTGATGATGACGATGCGGATGACGATGACGTCATCAGGTTGCATGCAACCTGGATTGCATGCAACAGGTTGCATACAACTAGTTGTATGCCAGTTGCATGCAACCTGTTGCATGCAACTCCCGAAGGAACTTGAGGTCCTGCCGAAGGAACCTGAGGTCCTCCCGAAGGGACCCGAGGTCCTCCCGAAGGAACCTCGGGTTCCTCCGGGAGGACCTCGGGTCCCTTCGGAAATATTTACCCATAATGCACCGCGCGGTAACGCCTACGGCGATGCCGCTCAAGCCGGAAACGGGCGCCTAAGAGCTGCGCTCTAAAAAGAAATGTCGTAAATATCGGCAAATGTTATAAAAAAAAAAGTTATGCCTACTTTGAATTGAACCTAGGTCCACTGTGTATGAAGCGGGCTCCTTTCCACTAAGCGACACTACAGCTTCAAAAACCTTGTTTTGACAATTCATTTTATGCGAGGTTCTCGGAGCTAGGCACTTTTTTATGTGCGCCAACAAAAACTCTCAGCATCCTCTCTTTGTTGTTGTTCCAAACGCTTGCATGCCTAGTTTCCTTCCGCTCTCCCGGGGTAGCGATCCTGTAAACGCGTGTCTACTTCCTGCTGGGTGGCGGTCCCGTCGTGCGTGTTTAGTTTTCTCTGGCATCTCGAGGCGGCAATAGTCGTCCATGTGAATGTAAAAAAAACCAGAGAGACAATTGCTACCGTTCTCCAATCTCTCGTAATGGGAAGGCCGCGTATGTGCAAAGCAAGTCGTCTGCTTCTTGCACAGGAGTTGCGGGGATGTCGGAACGATGCCGTGCTCAAGCTCAGCGTCATTGTGTTTTTGTTTTTCAATTGGCCAATAAGTGCTCGGCATTCTGACATCATTGCGACCCCTGTGCAAGAAGCAGACAAACTTGCGCTCCGCGAAGTCTGGACTCCTGAAGAGCAACGCGCCTACGAAGAGCAACGGCGGGAACGGCAAACACCACTGATGAAGATCGTCCACAAAACGCCAAGCGCATGTGGCAAACCAGACAAGACGACGAACGTCGCGGAGCGGAGAACACATCACAAAGACGCAGGTACCATGCTGCTAAATTGGACAACTTTAATGTAGCATACGCTAAATTCAAAAGGGACTTTCTGGACAGACAGTTTGGGTGTAGTTGTAGGGTGTGTGATCGGCTGTGGTTCGACAACGACTTAACCAACACCGGCAATGTGCGGTATCCTGCAAAGCGGACTTGTGAGCTGTAAGTATTGTCGGTGATCACTTGATCGATGAACACCGATCACGACAATAAATGTGTTCGTAACCTTCGTCCAGAATTCTGTGTCTCGTCTGTCGCGAGCTAAACAGCGTTGCTGGTCATCCATTTTCACGGAATGGAATGGCTCATGATTTTGGCTGATTTGCGAAACTGGGAATCGGACAATGATCGTACGGTTTTAAATAAACGTTCGATCTACACTGCATGAAGTTTCGTCTCGCCCACCTTTGACATGATGTCGACGCGGTCTCGGAACTGTCGACTCATCAGAAGGTAGACGAAGGCACCTCCGTTGCTGAAGACGTGAAAGAACAGCGGATGGTCTTCGAGCTTGAAGTCTTCGAGCAGACTCAGTAGCGTGTACGCGTGCTCTTCTAGGACGCCGTCGCATTTTCGGTGAAACAAGTGCTTCACTGGAGCGATGTAGCGTATCGTGATGCACCTGCAAGAGACCACAGTGCTTTCGTAGAGGGAACCTCGAGTTCAAGGCCACAAGCATGCCGATAAACAAGTCTTATATCAAATAAATCTAGAGATCGCTAACAAGCAATGTCAACTTGCGGATGTCCGGGCGTAATTATACGTACCCTTCGTCTTCGTAGATAGACCCATACTTTGACAGGTGCTTGTCCTTGCAGCCGGCCCAGCCGAGTAGGTAAACAACCGGCTCTTTCGGCGTCGGCAGCGTGTCCGATTGCTTGTTCGGCGAAGGGAACGTTATGTCGTACTCGATGTCGTCCTCATTGACCTTGTTGATCGTCTTCCGCTTCGTTGATCCCTGATCTTCGGACGTCAGGGAGCTCGAAGAAAGACTACTCGACTCCATTTTTAAAAGGAATGCCTTCCGTGTTTCGATCTTTTGCTGTTGCCGTGACCGCAGTGCCTCCTTTCGCTTTCGAACCTTGCATCAGTTTCGTAAGAGATTACGAGATTTGAAATAAAAATATATTACTGGTCTAAACAGTTTTTGTGTCAATCATAAACTTTTATTTGTTTTACGATCGGCAACTTACATATTTAGTTTACGTTATTTTTATTAAAAAAAAAATTTATAGATAATGCTGCGTCATCTATTCTATGTTTCGAGGAAACCCGCGACTGCCCGCGACATGCCAGCTGTTCTTGCGGTGTTAAAGGTACGAGTAATGCAGTGTTACTAGATTTGAAGCAATAAAAATACTAGAATCGTTTGTGAGAAAATGCGGCCATTTTTCAACCGACGAAACGACATTCCGTGTGCTCTTGGCGCTCTTGGCATGCTTTGAAGTTTGAATCATCTTTCGGACTGCTCGGATGGTTTAGATCGACTACAAAGTCCAGAAATTGATAACCGGTAAGAAAGACAGCGTCTGAGAAGTGTCAATAAACCCTTAAATTACTTCCGAGCGAAGCCTGTGTAGTGAGTTAGTGACTTTAATGACGAATTACTTACCCCACGATGCTGCATACAATATAAAAAGCTGCTTATTTGCGTGCTTTTGCACTTAAATAATCTTACAATCATCTTCATACAGCGGAAAACCAAAACGAATGCAGGTTGGCGTCGCAAAAAAAACAACAGCATATATGTTTTTTGTTTTTTTTTAACGATCATTGTGTTTGGTTTTTTAGATGAATCTCGATGACTTTGTCAGCAAGCACTTGGAGCTGCTTGAGCTAGAGAGAGATGAAGAAGTTGAACAAAATGCGTAAGTAATGAAAGCCAACATGTTGGCATGCAGCATCCAGTGCAGACGCCAGTCGAAGGTGGAGGCACTCTTTGGACACTAGGTTTGGTATACAGCTGCTTCATTTCTTTTTTCTAGGAAACTGCAGGAGAAGTTTTCACTCAAGGAGCTTCAGAACAAGGGACTGTGCATCACGAGGCTTTTGTTAGGTTCCAGTCGCACTGGTCTGTACGGACGGAACATCTGTAGGTTCAGATCCTCCCACCATGGCGCGCCACTCCCGTCTCACAAGTTCTCGAGCGGTAAGCAATGGAAACAAACAAAAATTATGCCAAAATCACTGCCGTCGCTACTCTGATTCTCGACGAAATGTGTTGGCGTTTAGTGCAAGGGTTCTGACTCGGTGAAGGGTGGGAATTTCAATCTTGCAACGGTCCGCATACACTGTTGTGTTTGGAGAGCCAGTCTGTTGTCCCGGGCGTCGACGGTTTTGGATGCAGCCAACACAGCTTTCCTCAATCGCCGCCTACGGTCCACACACTCTTGTCTTCTAAGAGCCAATCTTTCCTCCTGGGTGTTGGTGCTTTTGCGCAAACGGCGTCGTTGCTGCGCCTCGGTTTTACGTTGTCGCACCTGTTGTACCACCACCACGGCCTCTCGATCCCCTCCTCTCCTGCTTCCGCGGCACGTCTTTGGAAGGGAGCCAGAAGACTGTTTCCCTCTTGTAAGAGGGAGAGTGGACATATTGGGGGCGGGAAATTGGAGTGAAAGAGTATGGGGGGAACCACGTTGCGGCCTCGCGAAACCAGTCCAGTCCAAACCACAGCCGCCCAAACGAGAGACGGCTGCGTGCACCAGAGGGCAATAAATGCTGATGCACTTAATAAAGAAACTATGATGGGTCAGTCAACCCGAGACCTTCAACTCTGAATCCTAATTTTTCATTTACTGCCGTCAATGGGAAGAAATATCATTATCGGCAACTGTAGTACAGAACCACAGACCAGGATAAAAATTTGAGGCTGTCACTTACCGGTGAACCATCCCTTAGCTTTGTAAACTTTTGTTGCAGTTTAGTAGGGCCATTGTGCCGTACGTTGCACGTTACTTTGCTTCTGTAAAGTGACCGCAGTGGAAATTAAACTTTGCTTTTTTGAAGAATAAGAGGGCAAGCTAGTTCCTATGTAAGGAATTTCCTCAGCTTCAGCTTCGATTATTAACTTAAGACACACTTTCATCTGAGCAATCATCCGCTGTAACTAGACAAGTCAGCTGGCATCCCTCTTGGATACGTCACATCTTGGTAATGCGGACCCCGTTAATATCCCGTAAAATACCGAGCATTCCGCCCATTCTACGGTAAGCGTCCACTCCTCAATTTTGTAACATTCGAAAAATAACACAAAAGGCATATATTTACATATTATTTACCTAAGAAGCGCCCATCCCCCTGTTTTACACGATTATCTATAAATTGTGACGGGGCGCTTGCTCACAATTTTACTGTAGATTCTCTTCTGTGGAGACGAACTGGGTAAAATACACACATTTTTGTCTCATTATTACGGACGATTATCTAGGAAAACAGAGGTGTCGACAATAACTACACATCACTTCTCCGACTGGCGTGTGTACTGCGTCCTAAAATGTGATCCCTCTATTTCCTCCTGATGACTTCGTAGAAGTGTCACGCTGTCGCCGGCCACGATAGTGACACCGCAACGGCAGCGTCACTCGCATTCGCTCAAACGTTTTGCCGGGACTTCTAGCGCCGACTGCCAGGATGGCTACATCCGACAGCATGACACTCCAGCTTCTATGACGTCGTTCGTTGCCACTTGGGGCCACTTTTGATGTGGGGTAACATTCTAGGCACCGACCACTTAGTGATCAAGCGACCATTTTTAACCAAGGGCTCGTTGGTGATTCGGGAAACCCGTTCCATCCTAGGTGACATTGCCGGGGTGGTCGTGGCCAGTGACCCTGGAAGGGAGGTCGTCTGCTCGGGCGTCGTTTCAAACGTCTCCCAGAACGACGTCACGGTCGCCTTCGACGAGGGGCGCGACGCACTGGACGGCGACGATGGCCGCACTTTTCACCTCCTCAAGCTGGCGAACGACGTCACGTACAGGAGACTCAGAAGGTAGCCGGGTAAACTTGTGTCATTCAGCGTGCTTGGAATTTCTGGTACCTAAACTCGCCGTACCCAGCATTTAGTTCCCAAACTGGCGCTCATATAGGTGTCGTAAGCTTAATTTCGAATAAGCCTTGAAGCTCCCTTGGAAATTGGTAATAATGAGGATATAAAAAACACAGATTTAAGTTGTTGGTGTGGTAGAGCGACGTCGTTTATGTCATGCAGAAGCAACGTGAGGTACATGTCATGTGCCGACACCTTTGTAGCTTCAGCCTCAGTGATGGAAGTGTTGCGCCATTTGTACCAAATTGTGCCGTGACCGTAAGTCTGCTACACGTCGCACCAAAATTACATTTTTCCTAAAAAATGTGCCACACCTGAGCCAGGATGAGCCTAAACAAATAAAAAAATATAATATTGGTCGACATTAATATAAAAAAAAATAGAAGAGAAGGAAAATGGTAAAAACATGTATTTCATGGCGTATCTAGTTACCATAGCTAAACTTTGCTCGTCTACTGCGCTGGCCACGCCATCGTCCAAACTTTCGCATAATGATATCGGTGATGTCACGGAGCTAGAAGCTGCGAGAAAAATTCTTGAAATGGAGGTATGGCGCCCATCACGCTGATGAGACAGAACCAGGGTGTCATACTCCTGATGAGATCTTTTGATTTTTATCTGAGCTACATGCCTTCATGCCTTGGCTAAATCACCGCTCGTGTCAACCGTCACCACATGGCACAGGCACGCTTGCATCGAGCTTCACTGCGTCGCATCGGCGCGTTAGGAGAGGTAGCTTATGTGGGGGAACACCCATGGGTTAGCGCGGGGGGCTCGGAAATTGTGCGCAATGCTATTCTAGGTCGACCTTCTTTTTTGTTTTTTTGGTATTGATTGTAGGTTGACTTTTAATTTGAAAGAGCAGTTCTGACAAAGAGAAGGAAACAAGAAACACGGACCTATATTTGAATAAATAGACAAGGTAGTTCCTGCGCAGCAGTCAATTGAAGGGCCTCGAACTCCACTGAACTCTGGCTCCAATGCTCCTAATTCTTGCAGGACTAGGAGTATCACTTTTAATATCTTGTAGAACTTTTTTTTTTTATCAACGTTTTAGCGGGTATACTAGTTTTTTCCCTGAATTTTACGTAAATGATATTGACCTGCTACATTAACTCTGAGCATAAAAGAGGAAGCGGGAGAGCCACTTTATCTCAACTGAAGTATCTTACTATGATTAATTTTTCAACCATATTTTTTTCCCCATTGTAAACGGAATCTACTTTGACCTGTGCCATATTCCTAAAAAGACAGTTACGTGTCATGTACTTTTCATGATCATTTATACTATAATGATTACAAAGGATACTAAGTAAAACAAGTCACTATGAAAGATAACCCTGCATTATTATCAAAGATTGGCTCATTTAGGGGTACAATTATTGTTTCCTTTTCAAGTGATGTGCTAACACAAGTTGGGATCTATTTTAAAAGGGTCAGTGGCTGCCCCAACCAAGATTTTGTCTTCTACAAAACCTGCTGCAAAAAGTCAAATGTCGCTTTCATCACTGGAGTCTGTCTGCTTAAAATCGGCAAGAAAAAGCAGACACCCAGAGTATGGTATCTGCTATCATTTTGGAAGTCACAATCTTTTTTCCTTCAAAAGTCAAGTTAGTTAATTTTATGACGGCTTTTATAGACCATGTTAAAAATTACATGAATTATGTTATGTTTATAGACTTCATGTTGAAGCCAAAGCTGTTGGTTTTTTTTGTTTTTTTTTGGGGGGGGGGGGGGGGGGGCTAAAGCACAAATGATATTATGGGCTTGTGGTTTTTCAGTAGGGTCAACCGTGCAAGAAGCGGAAGGGTGATTGCAATCATCATAAGTACCCGTCCATCATGGTAACCTGTAGCCTACAGTTAAACAGGATGTCGGCAGATTTGCCGGTTCCTTGACAATTCACCAAAATTACACCTGTCAATTTTTTTCTGGGTTTCGTCAATGTCTGTCACATTGATGTGGAGAGTGTGCATTGGATTTTGTTCGTCCTTCTCGTTGTCTGCGTCTCCTCGTAGGACCTTGGAAAAGCTGTCGAAGGACAAGGAAGTTAGATACTCGAGCCTGGTCGAAGTATTGTTTGGGACAAGCACACCCGGCGAAAATGCTGAATCGTCGTCCACTCCTCTTTTAGGTGAGCGTCTGCTTCGAACAGCAGTTCAAGCTCAGGTCTCTTTTGCGAGTACTCGTCACACCACTTAGTTGTATGCATCTAAAGGTTAACAGTTATTATTCACAAAGACTCGTTTGCAATACAATGGGGGTGTAAACAACAGTTACTCGGAACACACAAACCGGTTGAGGTGTTGAAGGGATGGGGACAAAGGTTAAGGTTCGATGACGGCTCCATCTTCTGTCGTCTCTCTTAGATTTCTACAACGACAACCTGGATGACTCGCAGAGGGAAGCGGTACGGTTTTCCCTGAGGCAGAGGGAGCTTGCCGTCATCCACGGTCCCCCTGGCACGGGGAAAACGACCACACTCGTTGAGGTCATCCAACAGTGTGCCAAGCGGGGGGCTAAGGTCAGTTGGCTTCCCGCACGGGCGAGCGTTCTAAGTGTTGGGACACGAGAAGCTCCAAAATTTCTACTCTAATGCTAGTAACAGTAAATCATGATTGCCTCGATTGTGCATCCTTAACTTCGAAAGGGCCGCATATGGGCCAATTTGTGGGATTCGGTTCTTCACTGCCTAGGCTCTTGTTGACAGTTTGTTTCCTTAATACGTAAAAATTGTTTGTGAGGCTGCCATTTGATTACCGGATTCGGCTCTGGACAGGCTTGACCTCCTCGGTGGTATTGAGGCAAAGTGTTGGCCTACGGCTCCCCAGTTGGCAGCTTCGAATCCCGGCCAAGGCGCCTGAAATTTGATAGGAAGAGGTGCTGTGTAATCGAGATTTCGGTTGCAGGCTGTAATTTCAGCGACCGTATTTTGTTGATAATCAGGTATTGATCACAGTTCTATATTGGCCTCATTATCCATTCATCCTTCCGCAGCCGGAACGGAGCTTTATATTTTCACTGCTCACTCTGATGTGAAAATAACGAGATTTCCCTTTTCTCTCTTTTCCATTCTGGTAAAGGTCCTGGTATGTGCGCCTTCCAACGTGGCGGTCGACAACCTTGTGGAGCGACTGTCGAAAAGCCCACTTCGGATCGTGCGGTTGGGTCACCCTGCCCGGCTACTGCCAGGCATCGCCAAACACTCCTTAGACGCCATCCTTGCGAGCACGGACGACTTTGGGATCGTGGATGACATTCGCAAGGAAATTGACGCCATCGTGGTAGCATACCGGCCCTGTCTTTTACTCATTGTGGATGCTTTCGAGGGTAGCGTTACAAGTTGTTAATTGACTGCATTGCCTCAAGATCCCTTGTGGTCACCTCGACTGACGTAATTAGTGTATCGCACCGTAATAGTCCGTTTGTGTCTACTCTTTGGTTTAGTGCATTTTAGAGCACAGCTCTTAGGCGCCTGTTTCCGGCTTGAGCGGCGTCGCCGTCGCCGCCGGCGTAATCGTGAAGTCACGTGACCTGCCCCAAGTTACGTGACCCCACCCCCAGGTGTTTACTCAACTCCACGGTGTTCTAATAGGGGGCATGCTGTCCAGCTTGTTCTCCCTGGAGCTCGGTGTTTATTCAACTTAAGACCTGTGGACTTGATTTTTATGTCATCTTTCTCAATAGAACACGGTATAGCGGGCACATTGGTGTAGGGGGCACACTGTAACGTATAAAGTGTTAACAATAAACGAAGTAGCATCGGCGGGATGCAACAAGCCGTGTTCCTCCCGAAAGCAGTCGAAGAACGCATGCTCGACCCACTTCGGCCTTTGTGTTGAGCAGGTGCTGTACACATGCACAGTGCGCATTGTTTATGCCGGACAGAGCAGCTGCAAAAGAGCTCCTCAGGCTACGGGGGCTAACATGAGCCCCATCCACACGCAGACGCAAAATTTGGCTGCGCCAGCCGGGCGCTGCATCGTTGTCGTTGTTTGTCCTCGCTGCTGTAGTTCTAGGATTAGTTGCTGGAGGCATGACAGTGGGATTTCCTCCCCGATACCCAGTGTGAAATTTTGTGGTCCACCGTGAAGGTTAGCGTTGTTTCCACGGTGTTGCACCGTTATGAGAGCACGCTTTGTTTGGGGTCTCATTAGCGCGCACTCTTGTGTAAAGGAGACAACAAGCGAAGCCACACGCTTGCGCAATAGTTTGGACAGCATTGGAAGACTGTGGAAACCGCATTAGCCTCAACCAAATGTGCCACAAAAGAGTTGATGCTGAGTGTTGACTGTGGCAGAAAATGGGGCACAGACGTGCACTTCTTTTCTTCCCTGTCTCCGAGGAGCATACTACAAGCTGTGTAACTTCGACCAGTTTAAAAGCACCTCTTGTTGGGCTAGTTGGTGATGAATGTTTTGAACCATGGTTAAAAGCGCTAAAAAGACAAACACAAGAGAGAAGCCTGTGTTCATCTGTTCTCTTGTGTTCATCTTTTTAGTGCTTTTAACCATGGTTCCAAACCTTGACCAGTTTGCTTGCACTCTTTCTCTTTCACTCGAGTCTGAGCATCTGAACAACGTTCAGACGTGCGAAGCGTTTGATCAGAAACTCGGCTACCAAATGGTTTGATTCAAATGAGCTATCAGTACCCCTAATTCGCCCGGTCATCAATTCTACTCTTTTCAGTCAGCAGCATCAAAGAACAAGGCCAAGGACGCCTATTACAAAGTGCAAGGCAAGCTAAGTGAACTCCGGAAGGAGCTGAAGGAACGCGAGCGCAAGGCCATGGGCCGAGTCCTGACCAATGCCGACGTCGTCCTGTCAACCCTCACTTCCGCGTCCGACGACGGCCCCCTGAGGAACCTCCCGCGGAGCCACTTTGAGGTTGCGGTCGTCGACGAATGCTCGCAGGTGATTTCTTTGTACGGTTGCCACACGCATTAGATTCCATTTGCAGAGGCAGTCCACAGAAACAGATCTACAAGCAGTTCTAGCTTTTGTGGAACAGCAAGTTTGTATGTTCCACACCAGCAAAGAGTGACGTCGACTCGTGCGAAGTCGTATCGCGTCGCGTGACGTCAGGTCGCGCGACATCAATTTACTTGCTAAATTTCGTGGGAAAATTGACGTTGCGCGATGGTAGCATTGTACGACGTCACGGTGCCAAATCACTGTGTCACATGGTCCCGATCTCCCATTAAATTTAACGGGGAAATTAATGTACAGTATGCTCTTTGTCACTCTTTGAATTGACTGTTCACTGTCTTCTAAACAAATTTAAGTTATTGCTTGTTAAAACCTGCATTTCATGCATAATAGGACTTTGGAAGTAAAGGTCACTGGTAATTTTTGTTTGTAGCATTGCATTTGTGTTTCGGTTTAGCATGCAAATCTTGTTTGTGCTGATTGCATTTTTTTTTTTTTGATTGCTGCGATTTTAAAATGTGCGTTGACAGCGGACGTTTCAGATATTAATCTACTGAGTAATTTTCTGTCTGATAAGTGTCCTGGGCATTGTTTGTGGTAGGCGCTGGAAGCTGCCTGCTGGATGGCACTCCTCCGGGCTCCGAAATGCATCTTGGCTGGCGATCACCTCCAGCTTCCACCCACCATCGTATCCGAGACGTAAGCTCGAACTCTCCCTGCATGTCTGCAGTGTGGTGTCGGCCGTCGCGGGCTGAATTAACCTTGCAACGATGAACTCGTTAGCAAACTTGGACAGAAATTTCAGAGAGTTCCTGTACGTACAAACATACTTTTGTGAAAGCCCCTTTGGCCCCTAGCTCTGCAGGTTCCGAACTGGTGGCTCTGTAGTTTTTAAAGAAAGAAGCGAGCTAAATGTGGATACAAAGAAATGCTTATGCATTGTGCTTCTTGCTACTATATGCTCTCTCATTGCTTTTAACTTCTGACAAATAAAATAAATCAAGCTGAGGACGACGGGAAGGAGCTTCAGCTGTCCCGCCTCCAGCGCAAGCTTCTACCTTCAGCAACGTTTCAACGTCTCATGCACCTCAAGTGCGCATGCACGGTGGAAGGTGCGCCCGCTGTTCTTATTCAACCAGTGACTATGGTGTATTTTATTTGTAACTTTAACAATCGATAACTGTGTGACCTTTCGCATTTGAGATTTTATTTTTTATTCTTTTTTTATTTTCAAGAACATATTTTAATGGGATTTTTTTTTTTTTAAGTACTATAGCATTAAAAATATGTTAATGTGCAGCTTTTTTTTAATTATTATTATCATCTAATGGGAGCACACACAGTGCTTGCAAGCTGTCCAGATTGAGACAGCATCGAAGGGAAGTATTGAGGACGAAAAGTTGTCGCCTTTGTTTGTTCGGTTTCATTTTCGCGCGTCTGCTTCCAATTAACGTTTCGGCGGTCGCGCACTCTGAACCGGATGTGCTGGAGAGAGCTTCTGTGTTGGACGACGAGTTCTGATCCTCTTATTTCAATTTCAAGAAGCTTTGAGAGTCTGAATCGAAAAGCCAGCACTCGTATTTCGCCAATTGCGATTGCCACTAGCCCAGGAGCGATCGACACTACCCAACCCCCTCCAGCATGTCACTTGAGAAGAGTGTCGAATTTCAAAACTATAAATTGCCCCAGCAAAGCCAAACATGCTGCGAACAAAAAACAAATATAGTTCCTCAAAGACATAGCAGAGAGCAACACCTCCCGGGGTGCTTGCAGTTCCGCATTTAGGCGGGAACTTTTCAATGTATATAATCGCCTTTGTACATCTAAAGTGGCGGCTGTTAAAGGGTTAACTATGTCACTTTTGTCTCCCGTTTTGTGTTTTCAGCGCTGCGAAGGAAGGCTTGGCGGTCACGTTGATGGAGAGGGCCCTCATCCTTTACGGAGGCAGCATCAAGCGGATGCTGAACATGCAGTACAGGATGCACGAGGCCATCATGAAGTGGTCGTCGGATCGCCTCTACGAGGGGCGGCTGGTGGCCCACGCTTCGGTCGCGTCTCATCTACTCAGGTTCGCACATAGCCGCCCCTGCCTCTTCCTGATCTCATCAGAATGTTTTTGTATAGCAGAATTTAAACTACCATGTTTTGATGGAGCTGGGCTAGGATGTTAGGGTGCAAAAGAGCTGGCGATGATCAAACATGATGAACTATAACCCGGAGACTAGGGAGAAAGATGATGATGAAGGAATTTAAGAACAGGAGACTCGAAACACAGCTAAAATTTCGGCTGTGTTTTGAGACTCCGGTTTTTCCTCTCCTTCATTGTCGTCTTTCTTGCTATAGTCTGAGAATTATAGTTCATCAAGATGGGCTAGATGGTTTTTCATCTCGAACCGAACACCTAAAAACCAGGACAAAAATAAGGAAGGGACAACATGAGACATAAAATTTTTTATATAGTACTCGAAGCATCAAAACTTGGGGTTTGAAAAACGAAAAGGTTGGATATTGTGAACCTGCAGAAGCTGCTAATCTGATGACCAATCTTTGAACTTGGGTATTTTAAACTTCAATGAGACATAAATCAAGTATCAAACCGGCTCATGAAAATTAATACGAGCAAATGTAAAATGGTAAGGTTCTCGAGAAGAGAAAAAGTTACAGAAGACATGTGCTATATTATTAACTATGAACCCATCGAAAGAACTAATTAGTTTTGTTTTCTCAGAATTACTTTTTTAAGTGACCTGTCATGGAACAATCATGTCAATGCGACAACAAAAAAGGGCAAACAGCATGTTGGGATTCTTGTGTCGGAATTTACAGCACTGCCCTTTAAAACTAAAGGAAACTGTGTTTTTCTTTTGTCCGTCCAGTATAGTACCCAAGGACAAAATGTCTCTCTTATAAACTAGAAAGGGTGCAAAGTCACTGCGCAAGATTTGTTTTAAATAATTGTATGTTTAAAGTGAGCATCACAAATATGAAATTGCAATTGAAATGGAAGCTGTTTGTCTTGCAGAAGAAAGGGCCTAAGACTAAAATTTTTCTGCTCTTTTTATATTGTTGCAACCTGCATCGGTAGAGATTACTATATTCGAAGCCTGTTTTACGTGTCAAAAAGAGTAGATACTCAATTCAAAATTGCAACTGTTCACTCTTGTTGCAAATCTTTTTTTTGTTTGTACAGCATTAGAATGGAGTCTGCTTAAAAAGAATGTGTTCCCACCTGCATTTCCGCCCGACAACCTTTTTGAGTCTCTCACCTTACAATAATGCTTCAAAGGTGCTTGAGATATTTATTAATAAACAAACGAATAAAAGCAAGGTTCACTGAAAAAAAACTTGTAAACTTATTCGAAATCTGACAGAGCTACAAAAAAGCAATAGCAGTTACGAAATCCACATAAATGTTGTAGTTGTCACGTTTAATGTTTATAGACCTCTTTCGCTTAGTCTTGTCCCCAGCCACCCGGTAGGCACATCCGGTATGGGCATTGAAAAAAAAATAAATAAAACATTTCAACCTGAGAATATAAAAAAAAAATAGAGGGGAGACAAAACGAGAATGGGTGGCAGTTACGCTTATATCCTAATGTGTTATATTGGCATGGCGACGGCAAAACAATGTTTTCGCCCATACTGGAAGTGACAATATTTCAAGATGGTGGCGCTTTCATGAAAAAAGTCTAGAAGGTTCCAGATATTTTTGTTTTTCATTTTAGCTTTCTTATTCGGTGCCCTCTAAATTTTGTCTTGAGACTTCATTTCAACTAAAGTCGAGTCCGATTATATCGAACCGGGGTATTTCTATACATCTATTTCGAAGAGTAAAAACATCCCCTTGAAAATCCCACGTAAAAGTATAGGCACCTTGTGCGTCTGTATCAAACTCCACCACCGGAGACCTTCGATACGTTGAACCTTGCGCCGCGCTCCTGGTAGGGATGCTTTTCCTGAACGCTGCCGTCACAGCGTGGTTTGGCTGAGGATCAACCATGACTCTGGCCAAAGGCAGCAAAAGGTGCAAAGGGGCAGGGGAGAAAAGTAATACAGCCTTGACTTCTTAACCCCCAGTAAAAAAAATATAAAGGCGTCTTTAGCTAGCCATTGTGCAATCATGCTTGAATGCCTTCTTTGTCTTTGTTTTGCCGTTTTTCTTTTTCATTTTTTGCTGTGTTTTGTTTTATGGTGGTTCCTTTTTTGTTGCTTGTTTGACTTTTTTTTTTGTATTCTTGTTGATTATGTTGTTGAAATCGCGGCAAGCACGTTCGTAGAGCAGCAACGTGCGCGCAGACAGTGCCTGCAGTTCTCGCCAAATATGCTTTAACGACGTTCTGTTGTATTTAGCGGTTCTTGAATGCCTTATTTGGTAAGCTCTCGTGTGTCACAATCTTCGATATTGGCAGAGACGTGCGAAAATTTCAACGAACTTCTGTATATCTAACTATCGATATATCATATGATTTTGCAATCCCCTTTGAATTTGATATATCTGAGTTTGACTGCAGTATATATTCTCAAATACATTTGTTTATTCTCAGAATGAGATAGCAGACAAAAATAGAAAGAAATGGGTAGTTTGCACTTGCTTGTCCCACTTGGATCAGACTCATTATTTTTATGCCTCTCGCAAACTGTTATAACCAATCATTGTCTCGCTTATGCTCAGGGACCTGCCTGGTGTTGAGGACAACGACGACACTGCAACACCGCTTCTTCTTATTGACACCGCCAGCTGCGGCATGACTGAGCTTGACACTCCCGACGACGAATCGAAAGGAAACGAAGGTGGGTGTGCTTGCCCACTATCTTCTGTTTTCAAAGAAAGAAGTATGCTCATCTAGACAAAAAGTTATCCTAAATTATTAGGTTGGCAGTATGGTTGTTCACTCCTTAAATAAACACTGAACATAGGAGGGATAAGAATTTTCTTTCTACGTGATTATGACAGGCAAATCTCGAAATAAATGTCTGGAGAAAAAGCTTTTTTTTTTTTGCTCAATATTTATGTTACAATATGAACTTTTCGATTTGCAGGCGAAACCAAAGCTACCCGTGTGGGATGATGATAGCGTTTGTACTCAACTAGTGTGCAGTCTGATGTCTAGCGAACTCGGAGCGCTCACTAGCTGGGTACAAAGGCTATTATCATCCCACAGGCATGCGGTTTCAGTTTCGCCCGCAAATCGAGAAATTTGTGTTGTAAGATAAATATTGGGGAAAAAAATGTTTCTTTCGACAAACATTTTTTGAGACTCACCTGTCCTAACCAGGTAGGAAATTTTTTTTTTCCTAGGTTGTGTTTTTTTTTTAAATAGAGTAAAAAAATTGTCATTGTGTGTGTCAGGTAGACCATCATTTTATTAGGGATTTCCCCATAAATCAAATGGCCCTCAAATAAACCCTGTCAGTGTTATATGTTCAGCACTCACCGTTTACTTTCTGGAACTTGTTCAGGGGAGGCTGACCTGGTTGCGATTCACGTGGAACGCCTGATATCCAGCGGAGTCGATGCTTCCAGCATTGCAGTTATCTCTCCCTACAACCTGCAGGTGGGCTGTGTTGCATTACCTGCTGTCATCGTCAAATTCACATTAGGCAGCTAGCGGTGTAGCTGATTTTCTACCCTTCTACAGGTGGAGCTGATACGGCTGAGGTTGTCGTCACGTCACCCAGGCCTAGAAGTGAGGTCGGTAGATGGGTTTCAAGGTCGTGAGAAAGAAGCGGTCGTCATGTCTCTCGTGCGCTCCAACGATGCTGGTGAGCCTTTTCTCTTGTGCCGTTGACTCTGTGACAGCTCACTGCGTGTGCAGGCTTACTGAGGTCCATTCGTCAAGATCGCCTAAACTAGTCGTATACCGTAGCAAGAGAGTTGATTTTGTACTGTAGGCTCTTATAAGTTTGAACCCCAGGAAGCCACGAATTTTGTTTGAATTATCTGAAATTTATTTAAATATGATGCAAATAAAATTATGATTTGCCATATGAATGGCTACACATACTAAGCAGATATTTGATGATTTCCTTTTCGGAGGTCTACTGATCATCAGCAGGTATGCCACATGTAAAACATTTGTGAAATGTATGACATAAGTTTATTTAAAAATGTTGTTTATCGTGGACTGTTTAGACAGCACATGACAACTCTAAACAAATTAAGGCAGTTTTCATAACAACTTGTACAAACGCTGTCTTGTGGACCTACGCCATGCTGCCACATCACAGCGTCCGCACAAGTTGCTATGAAAACTTTTGCGTTGCGCTTGTTTTCATAGCCCGTGTGTGCCCACTTGAGCCCCGTTGAGTGCACTTCTCACTAAGCACTGGTGCACTGTGGAGGAGCTACACCCATGAAAGCAAGCTTCGCAGGTGTTCCCTCTCTGCAGTGCTCTGGTGTTTGGAAAGAAGCATACTCAAGTGGGACTATCAAGAAAAAACAGTAGGAATTGCACGAAAATGCCGTTCGAATTAAGCGGCTTATGAATACAGTACCGTAATATCCCAAGTCATTCATTGCCAACCCCCACCGCCTGAAATTCATAAAAAGGTGGGGTGGGCTATGTCTCAATGGGTAAGCACGAAGCATTTAAAAAAAAAGCGCAAGAAACGCCCTTTTTTTTACGTATCTGGCACGGCTTCACAGGAGATGCATTAAACTCAAATTAGTTTTAATATTTTATACAAGAATTGCTAATGAAAGAATGTTTTACTATTGCAAAGTCCGTTGCTTGTATACGTGCAATGAAAACCGTCGATCGGCGTACAGCGCGAACGTTTGTTCCTTGAAAGCACGCTTTTAACACCCCTGTGTTCTCTTTGTTAGTAAAAAAAAAGGTGAACAAAAAAATAAAAAAACAACAACCAGGTGCAACGAACGAGCGAGCGGGCGAAAGAAGCGACGAAGAACGTTGCTGGGGAAACAACAAAGTCAGCGATCGTGTTGGCAAATACTTTGGTGTCGGGCCAAGTTGGGCACCTTTTCATTCCCAAGGAGCAGGCTCTTGTGCAACTTTCTTGTTCGTTGCATACACGCGTGCAACTCCGACTTCGGGGTCACGGAAATCGGGGAGAAAATGCGTAAAGAAAGTCTTTCCCTCCTTCGTTTTACTTCGTCACGGATGTCCTCCAACCATAAGGTCCGTGGCCGCGTCATTTGGGAAGGATGAATTTTCGCGTATCGCAGAATCCACGTTGGGATATTTGTAGGAGTAAGCAATCACTCGGTGAGATTTGTTTTTTGGAAATCGATGTTCACCGAAAAAGTGGGGTGGGCAATGACTCGGGGATAGGCGGTAATAACATAGCGGGACAACCGGTATTTTGAAATTTGTTTGAATTAGCCAGGAGTATGAAACATCCGAGTTTGAGTTATCGCGAGCCTACTGTATTAGGAGTGTGTGAATTCCTGAATAGGATGTTCCCTCTGCACTTTGAACACCACGGTAAGCAACCATGTTGATTCAAAAACATGAAATTTTGCTGTAGAGGTACTTGGACTACACAATCTAGACAAATATACTTGATGAAGTGGCCTTGTTGCAGTCTATGAGGAAAAGAAATGTAATGTATATATTGCCGAATGACATGTAAAAATGTGTGGAAGTAAAGCATGACTATTGCGCCGGGTCACTAATTAAGGAAAAAGAAACTTATGGTGTGGATTACCGCAAAAAGCTGAGGGTAAGTGTGGGTGGTCGTCGGATCGACTCTGTCTGTATCGAACTGCCATCTGCTGTGTGGCTAAGCACAATCGCGCAAAAAGCTTGCTTATTGAGAGTGTTTCGTGTTTTCGGTATATACCGATGAACACCGAAAATTAATCCTCGAGGTGGTTTTTCTGAATCAATCAAAACCGAAAAACACAAAATTTTGGCCGTCCTGGAAGAAAAAATAAAATAAATAAACACCCGCTTCATGCGAAGAAATTTTCTGTGCTATCTTAATTTTTTCTCGTTGACCCAGAACACAACCCCACTGAACTGTCCTTGTGGTTGTTCCTCTCTATCGAAACCACATTCCTTGCCTAGTTCCCTTTTCTTATCTTTACCAGCACTACTGGCAAAAATATTATAAGTTATAAATTATAATATTTTCTCCACCAATTATACAGTCATTTTACAACACAAGCCTGATAAACACCGATTTCTTTCCAGCATTGAAATTAGACACCGAAAAATACCGATGCAAAGGAAAAAAAGCACCGATAAATAACCCCAGAATTTGAAGAAAAATAAATACCAAAAACAAAGAACCCTACTTATGAATCAGTGAGCAAGCATCTCTATTCCAAAATTCCAGATAAAAGCATGAGCATTGCAGGCACTTGTAGAATTGTGCTACGAATCGGAGTTCTTTAGGCAGTTGAGAAGAAGCTTGCTGGGAGGAGATCATGCTCGAGATGACTCGCATAAATATTCTTTTCCGTCTTTCAGGGAATGTTGGGTTCTTGGCCGAGGACCGCCGGATTAATGTGGCAGTCACGAGGGCACGACGCCACGTGGCCGTTATCTGTGACACTGTCACGGTATCGCGCCACGACTTTCTGAAGTCGCTTGTCGACTACCTCACTTCCGAAGGGGAGGTGAGGAGCGCTCGAGAGTACAGCTCTGGTAAGTTTTACTCTTGCTTCGAATGTGGCTACCAGTGGTTCATTGACTAGTAGAAGTTTATTTTTTGTAATTGAGTCAAATTAGCTGAAGGATGAATTTTTCTGATGATATTTAGGTGGTTTAAAATGTAGTCCCATTTCAGACTGCACACGTCTCAAGCATCAAGCGATAAGATCTATAATGCACCTTGGCTAGTACAATGTTTGGATCATTTGTGGCACCGAGGTTGTAGATATCAAAAAGAGTCTTTCTAACTTAAAGCACAATCAATTGGTAATGCTGTTATGCTAACTTTGATATGAACTACGATGCTAGCCCTGTGCGTCAAGTTTTTCGGTACGTAAGGGATCTCGTGAAGAAATATAAACACCATACTTGAGATACGAAACTGGAGAAAAAAAGTTGACAATTTGGAACGGTGGTTGGTTGGTTAAAAGAGAGCAACGTTCTACGCAGACCTGGAGCTGTGCTCGGCGGTCCGACCGCAGGGGCTGTGGCTGAACGAAGAGAAGAAGAAGCCAGTCAAGAAGCCAGGAGCCAAGTCAAAGACGACAACAGCCCACCTCGGAACACTGCAGAAAGGGGGTGTTCAACGTCAAAAATACCCCGCCACAGGAAACGACACCCGGCAGCACTCCCAAAAACCAGAGCAAGTTGTTGAGCACACATTATCATTTGCTTTGGGTACGAGTCGAACGTGTTAACCCTTCTGTAACCCTCCAGGGACGACGTCACCCTTGGACGGATATGCAAGGAAGTGGAAGCGTTCGTTGCTTCGGGCAGCACCGAGCAGGCATTTCCTGCCACTTTGACAGCTTATGAAAGGAGGCTCGTTCACGAGGTGCGTCTTCTCAGTTACTATCCTCGTGTTATCATGAACGAGCGGCTTGTGATTTAGCCGTGCATGGTGTGTAGACCCCTTTTGAGAGCATGCCCGTGTGTTAACGCACAGTAGCTCTGAACACGTGTAGCGAGGGCACGTGTGGCAGAACCCAGGGACTCTGGGTTCAATCCCCGCCCCTGCCCGTTTCGATCTGGAGGAGCATTATACCGGAGTGCATTTGTGTAATCACTACTGTACCACAAGCTTCAGAGTTGTAGTGATACTGCACTAGCTTAATTCCTCATCTACTGCAGAGACTCCAGGCGCCCATTTCGGCTGAATAACTTCCTCCTGTATAAACATACTCACAACGCAGTTACTGTCGAGACCGGTTATAACGAAGTCGGTTATAACGAAATAGCGGCTACAGCGAAGCGATCACATTTTACCATTCCCTATTGCATTTCGTTATAACCAAAGTCCGTTATAATGAAATAGCGGATATAGCGAAGTGATTTCCAATTCCCACTGACTTCGTTATAACCGATCACGACAGTACTGCACAATGGTGGACACAAAAGGAACTGCCGAAGTTGGAATTCCCTAGAAATGTTTCCAATATCATATCACTTCGTCACCAGTTTGTGTAGCACAGCATCAGACTTGTGCATTGTGCAATGTCGCCTGTTTCGCTGTCAGGCAGTGTTTCGAACTTTCTTACAATGGGCACGTGTATTTGAGAAGGGGCCTATCACTACTCTAGAACACGTTTGAAGTTTTTTTTTTTTTTTTTCTTTTCTTTTTAAGGTTGCCGAACGGTTCAGTCTTCTGCACGCCAGCGAGGGCGACGGAGAGGAACGACACATTGTACTCAGAAAGCGCGCTGAAGCCAAACCGTCACCAAATCGACCTTCTTCCGAAGCTTCTGCAGAGAAAACCACCGGCACCAAAAAGTCAAGCCCGAAAGAGCAACAGACAGTGTCGAGATGCCCAGATAAAACACCAGAATCGGACGACGCATCCACACCGTCCGACGAGTCAGACGGTGCAGAACACTCGGCGGCAGTTGAGCAAGCAACTAAGCCGAAGGCATCGGTGTCTCTTAGAAAACAAAAGCAAAAGAAGCATGTTGCAAAGGCAGCGAATGGAGACACGAAAGATGAAGACGACTTCGACAAACTCATTGCGAGCGTCATGGTAGCAGACCGAACGTGCGCGGACCCAACGTGTCCGGAGAAACTGCACACCGTACTCGCGGGAACGGGGGGACCCTGTCCCTTTTGTAAGCGAGGCTACTGCTTCAAACACGCGCTGCCGGAAGCGCACGGTTGCGGAGACGAGGCTCGTGCGCACGCCCGTGCGGCATGGCTCAAGTCTCGAGGGGGCACTGTGGCTCCGCCCAGGCTGAGGCCCGACAAAAAGGCGCAGGTTCGCAAGGAGCTTAGCAAGCAGCTCGCCAAGATGGCAGACTCCAGGAAACGGCAGACAAAAAAGTAGGGTGGGTGTCTGGTGCTGGTTAATTTCTTTGAGCGACCCCGTTTTGGCTAGTCCGGTGGATGTGTGGTTTGGTGGAAGTTGGGATGGGCTCGCAGGTTTTACGCGGGCCCTGTATTTTGTTTTGTACAAAGATTGCCAAAGACTGTGATTAAAGCGAGTTACCACTTCACTGGCATTTTGGTTTTCGGCTTCCACTAGAGGCTTATTTATTTATTTATTTATTTCAAAATTCCGAGGGCCTGATTCTTAGGCCAAGTGTAAGGGGCGTATTTAACAAAAAAAAAGAAAACATGCAGATATGAATGTATGTGCAACAAATGTGACAATTTAATAATTCAACGACGGAAACTAAATTAAATGTTTTTATCCAACATTTCTAAAAGAAAGAAAAATTACTATAATGCTGCGCACGAAAGCAATGTAAATGAATAAAATGCTGTTCAAGGGCTTTACTGAGGTTGGGTGACTGAAAAATTTAACAGATTGGCCGGAATGCCAAGTGCTCGCGTAAATTATAGTCCCACAAAAAAAAAGAAAGAAAACAGTTTAAAGGGCCATTGAATTGAAACAAAGAAATGTGTTTTTTTAAACAGTCAGGTTGGGAAACTCGTGTCAAGAAATTAATCAAATTTTTATATTGACGGCACAAGGTTTCTTTTAAATTTTGCGCGCAAGGTCTATGACATCGTGGAATAGTCATACACTCTCTCCACCTCAACAAGATGGCCCATCCGATCCACCTCCATGCGCCCAAAATGCCTAGAAAAAACAAGTGGAAAGGAGGTGACTACCAACTAAATCGTGTCTCGCACCGTTAATGTTGCTCTAAAGAAATACTTTTTTGCGGAAAATTAATTTTTTGACACGTGTGTCCCATCCAGACTGTTTAAAAAAAACTTTTCTTCTTTTCAGTGGCTCTTTAAGGTTTGCATTTGGTGAACCAACAGTAATGCACATTTTTTTAGTTTGTTAGATGAACCAACAGTAATGCTGACCTTTGCTGACCTTGCTGATGAGCTAAAGAGGCCATCAAAAATGGGACAGAGAAGAATAGATGCACGTTAGCACGTTTAGCAACAAGAGAATGTGTTCTAAGGGATGGCCGCTGCTAAGCATCGTTTGCATTTGCCATTTGTATTTTTTCACAGCGGCTGTGCAATCTGTTGTTCCGATGACAAAATGCCAGGCTTTCCCCAGATAGATTAAGCTAGCTACAACTAAGTCTATTGTTTATGCAATTGGGAAGGTGCTTTTTTTTTTAGTTTATATTTTGTCTAAAATTGGGGGTTTATTGGAGCTTACTTTTGTTTAGATTTCCAATTCTTCAATGATCCAGGTTTAATCTTGTGTGTTCCCAATTTTTGAGAATCCCAAATCAAGATAAATAATATCGAGACAAATATATCCTGCATTCATAAGAACTTGCTCGTGTCAAATTACATTTTTTTCAGCTGGACTTCGCAAAATTGGTGTTTTTACGTGCCAAACCAACGAAGGACATCTACGAAATTACGGTCAGTGCGCAGGTGTGCTGGTGTAAGTTTATCATGATGGTTTTAACCTGAGACTAAGGCCGAAGGAGGAAATGTTTTTTACACTGGAAGAGGAACTAACAGGGACAGGGTAATAGACACGCTGCCTGTCCCCATTACTTCCATTCAACCATAACAAACATTTTTGCCCCAGTTTTGAGTTAAAATCATCACGAGGACACCTGGCACGCCCTAGCCGAGAACGAGGGATTAATTTTCACCACCTGGGGATCTTTCAATGCGCAACCCAAATCTAGGTTACACGGCGCCTTCTCCGCAACAGGCCTCCGTCAGAATGTAAGCACCTCGGCTGAGATTTTAACCCGCCACCTGGGCATCAGTAGGCTGACACTTTGCTCCGGAATCGCAGAAGTGGCAGCCTACTTGGCATTGGCACCCCTTGTGATACTAACAGTCCGATGACAGAACTCGCAAATAATTTGCTTCATGAATGTCGTAGGTATTTTAGAATCGCCCAACTGCTGATGCAATTGCTGTTAAGCTTGTTTTCCTCCCATATCATTCCACATATGGAAGGTATGGTATGGAAGCTTCAGCCTGCATCTCTTTCCTAGAAAATCTATAGGTTTAAAGCTTTCAGTTATAAAGACACAACCCCTCCTTCCTGCAAGAAGCACGAATACCTAGTATTTTCCAAACCGGAACGGCGACTTTTTTTCATGGCCCAGAAGTGCAATAACCCTGCCGTCCTGAACCAAGCTTGGCGAGATGCGCAGTGAACCCGCTTTCGTCAATGGTCAGAGATTTGAAAGGATACTGGAGTGGTTTCTCGCTGACCATGGGTCGATAAAACTGATTTGTAAAAAAGTGTTTTTTTTTGTAATTGCGATTTTGAAAATATTTTTAAATTCATATTGACGAATTTTAATGGCGAGAGCTTTGCAGATTTATCAAAAAACTGTGAACCCTAGCTATGACCCAACACTAAAGAACTGTGCATTTTCTGCCATGTCCTTTTATATTGACCATGTAACCATCACAAAGTTGCTTGTAGGCTGTGAAGCCGTTTAACAAATTTGCATAAAATACAACTGCAAAATAATGCCTGCCCTAAAAAAAGAAAAATAATAAAGTTTTGTTGCATTAGTGTGGCGAAAGCAGTGGCAGCACAAATTGTGATCCATTAGTGTGAAAATCTTGTGTACACAATTGTAAACTAGAAGGCTGAAACAGTTGGGTGCCATCCTCTGCGGTGACAATGTAAACGTGACTTTCTTATTAGAGCCCGTCAAAGTGTGGGCTCTGCTTGCAGCAAAAGAACCACACTCGAACTATCCCAATCCGTTGCAGCAAAATGACCACGTCTAACGTACCGTCTGCTTTTTTCTCTTTCTGTCGCTCGCTCTTGGGGGGAAGCCTGGAGCGCACTCATTTTACAGAGCAGAGTGCCACTGCGTCTCTGAACACGACGTTTTCACCCCTGCCGGGAGTAACACTGACACACTCGAGGAAAAGGGTCAGCTGGCGCTCTTGTCCAATCAGTGCGACGACGAGTGCAGCTTCGGCGTTCGGCTAGCAGGAGTCATTTCGACTTCCGTTTCTGGCTGGGCAACAAAAATGGTTAGGTGCCGGCCATACAACACATCCCTCGCTACAAACCTCGGGCATATTTTTATTGACCAAATATTTAACGCACCTTTAGCATTTTGTACACTCTTTCCTTGATTCATTAGCTCCTAAACCATGTAGCTTCACAACAGCTCATACGCCTAATCAACGTTTCCAGATCCCCCGCATTCCTTCCTGCAACCGGATCCAAAATCTAGTCCGACAAGTCGTCGTCGTCGTTTTGACTGCTCTCCTCTTCCTCTTCCGACGTAGACGACAACTCCATGTCCTGAACGACATCTTCGTCTCCCACGGCAACCTCCTCTTCCTCGGTCTTGGCCTTCTTTACTTTCTTTTGCTTCTTTGCCGCCTTCTTGGGCTTCTTCTCTACCTTTTCTTCGACTTCTTGTTCCTCGCCAGAGTCGGATCCGGTGTCGGATCCAGACTCCGGCTTGGGGAGCTTCTTGAGCACCCTCCTATTCGCTGCTGTGTCTTGCTTCTTACTCCTCAGCTTGCTCCACTGCTCGTAGAACCGTGCGCACGGCGTGCCCTCCTCACTCCACTTCTCTTCGAGCCGCTCCAAGCCAACTTTATCGCTCAAGGCGACGCCACAGTTCTTACGCCGCTCCTCGATGAACTTGTAGTTTTCCTCCATCTTCTCGAGCAACTGCCTGACCTTCTTGTTGTAGTTCGCAACCTTGCACTTCTTCGCAAACTCCCGCAGCTGCACCATCGCCAGCAGCACGAGCTCCGGAAATGCGACCGAGCTCGACATCTGCGCGAGGTACTCAACCATGAGCTCATAGAAATTTTCTATGACCGCGTCGCGGAAGCCGCTCTCCTTCATTTGTGTCGGCGAGACGCGGAGGGCGCAGCTGAGGTCAACTGGACGCATCGAAGTGGACGAATGCTTCAGGTCGAAGTTGACGATGGTGAACACTTGAAGCAAGTGGGGCAGGATCGGAATGAAGATGTTTGTACCGGCGGAGACCTGCACGAGTCCTCGAACTAAATGGAACCGCAGCGGTACAAACTTGGCTGCCGGGACCAGCTGTATGGTGCCCACCACCGTCTGTACCAGTGGATAGACGAGGGCTCGCAGGTTCTCACCGTGCGCCGCGGAAGTCGACAACAGGTGGCACCAGAGCAGGCAGCAGTGGACGTACTGCCAGTTGTAGACTGCCTTGCAGGTGTCCTTCTTGCGGACCGTGAGTGCATTGCGGAGGTGGATGGCGAGCTGGCGGATGTAGAGGAAGGCGTGCTGGTAGGCGAGCCCTTCGTCGATCGCGTAGGCCTCGACGAGCGTCCGCTTCATGAAGTTGATGAGGGGCCAGGTCGACGGCGACGTGAACTTGGAGTTCCGCACGTATGACATGTACATATGCTTGAGGACCGTGTCCAGGTAAGGCCGCGGAAGATTGCGCACCGTGCGGACGAGGCAGAGGAAGGCCACGACGCGGACAGTCTCTTCCCCCTCGCACCAGAGGGCAACGAGGCGTTTGAGCAGCGTCTTGGCGACCTGCGGGAAGGCAACGTAGTACGGGACCAGGAACAGGACGTGGCGCAACAGGACGGACACAAGCTGGGGCTCGGTCACGGCCGTGGCAAGCTTGACAACCTGCATGAGATAGACCTTGACCGAGAGGGCCACTTTTCGCCAGGAGTGGCACTTGGTAGGGTCGAAGGGTTTTACACCGTCCTTGGGCACAGACGGTTCCGGTAGATTTAGGACCTTGTGCAACGCCGGCAGCAGATCGTTTAGACAGAGCTTGACGACTGCGTTGAAGATGGTCTGGCCTTCCACTCTGAACGGACACTGGTGTTTTCCGGTCTGCGGTGTGGCCGACTCCCCTTCGGCCTGAAGTACGGCGGCCCGGAAGCAGGAGATGACGTCTGCTATCTTCTGGAAGTCGGGCTTGGTCCGTAGGGCGAGCTCGAACTGGCGGACCTGTTCCAACTTGAGGATCTTTTTGTGCCTCGTCGGTTCGGCAGGTTCCTCCTCCGTCTGGCCGTCGCCGGCTTCGTCATCGTCCTCTTGGTCGGCGTCATTTGTGTAGAAGTCGAGGAGGTCCTTGTCATGTTCCTCTAGGTACTGGTAGAAGTCCGGATCGGTGTCTTTGAGGTTTCGGATAATCTCCTTGTTCTTCTCCATGTCCACGTCGGAGTCGTCGCTGCTGCCTTCATCATGGTCATTTTCCGAACCTTCGTTATCGAAATCGTGCTCTGCTATGTCGCTGGTCTCTTCGAGCTTCTGAGCTTTCGTACGGCGAACCGCTTTCGGAGCCTTTATTTTACCTCGTGTTTTCTCGGGCTCCTCTTCTTCCGAATCCTCGTCCGAGTCTTTCTCCGAGCGTATTTTCGATCTTTTCTTCTTAATCTTCTTGTTTTTCTTCGGTACGTCGATCTGCGCCGCATCGTGCTTGGGAGACGTAAAAGCTGCTTTCTTGGCTTTTTTACCTGGGCTTGGTTCAGGAGGTGCTCCCTCAGAGTCAGACGAAAGTCCACCGGCCATAAACTCTTCCACGCTCACTTCACTAAGTTTCTTTTCGGTTTTCGCACGTTTTTTGACAGGGCCCATGGTTCGATCGCGTTATGTGCACGTGTTCGACGCAGCAACGTTTACGTGCTGTAGTTTTGGCTTTTTCCACCAGATGGCGGGGTGATCGCATTGATCACCGTGGCGATTTTGCTGGCGAACTGATTTCGAGTTGTATTTTGAACCCCAAATATTTAAAGCTTGGTTCCGGTTTCAATGATTTCGTGATTCGTTTCGGCAGTTTGAGGCCTGGTTCGTTGGTATTCGACTCAAATAACTGGATATAACTTTCAACTGTGCCAGCATAAACGTGTATTTAAGCTCTTTAAAATAATTTGTGTCATAGTGCAAAATAAAGTTCTTTTTGTAGGCTAGATTTTGCATGTACTTATAATCGTAATGAAATTAATGAACGTGTGTATTATACCATTCACTGGAAGCAACCGGAATCAAGAACGCAAGTTCTTTTCTTTTCGGTGCACAAGACAGCTCTGTGCCCGTCTCAAAACTGCTTGCAGCAAACCTTTGACGAGCCTATCTCTGGAAGTGAGCTACTTGCCCTGGCGAAAATATGGTGCTGCGTCAAAGAAAACTATATCTTTGCACGGAAAGGGTAACACGATCTTCGGAAAAGTCGTAAGATGCTGAAAGGTACTTTCTACAACTGAGAACTTGCTCTCTTCTGGCAGTTCTGCTAGGTGTGTCGGACGAACGTCTTAGAAAAAGTAAGTGTTGTCAATCGTTTCATATTTCAATAGGTTAAGTTGTTTATTGTATTTTTTTTTTTTTAACGTAGAAATTAACGTAGGGAACTGGAAAGGCTCGAGACGCTTACACTTCAGTCCGAGAATAGAAACCCCGATGGTAGAAACGCCGGTAGAAGGACGTGATGAACTAGAATAACGCAAGCAGTGCCACGCGAACTCGAAACTAGACACAACCGAAACCGCTAAATTCAAGAATTTAAAAATTAGAGTTAAAAAAAAACAACTAGTGAGTTCTAAAGCGTGTACAACCCATGTTCTCAATCGATCTGCAAGTTACAAACAGGCCAAAAATGCAGTGGAAGCTGCGCCTCCAACACGCGCTATTTGCCTTCCGCTGGGCTTAGGCTTTGCGTGCGACAAAGCGTTCGTTATCAAGGGCAGAAAGATCTTGCTGGCGGCGGAACATCTAGCCTCCAAGTTTGAGCATTAGGAAGAATTATCGCCACTCTATTCCGTTTCACCTTAGGATGGACCGCAGCTAATGCTACGAGCCATCCCAGCCTATCCAGCGCTGTGAACATCTCTCCCGTAGATCACGTGGAACTAACGTGGCATTTGATTGGCTTCGATGACCCGTAGCGTCCGCTACGGTCCATCGTTCTTGTTTCGTGCAAACACAAGTTATTATTTTTTTTTTTTTTTACACAAGGAGTATTTGGTTAATGCGGTTTTATTTTTATCTGTTTTGAGGATCACTACCGCCGTTCCAGGTGATGGGGACGATGATGCGGTACGTCGCAGCTGCCCTGTTGGCAGTGGTAGCCAACCCGTGCGTGGCGACATACTACCCTGCGACGCTTGGCGCAGAAGTGACCACTGTACCCGGACTGACGGAGCCCTACCCCTACAAGCACTACTCCGGTTACCTCACGGCCGGCGAAGGACGACAGCTACACTACTGGTGCTCGCAAATGTTTACACTTTCGCTCCGAGATTCAAGCGTCGGCTAGCTGATGAGATGCGCCAGGAGCAACGATACATACTCTCTGGAAACAGTCGTAAAACCGCGATCTCACTAATGCATAATGTGCAAAAGACAGGGACTGTCTTTTGCACATTACGCAAAAGACAGTCCCTGGACACTGCCTGAAACCTTGTATGAGGGTTCTGACAGATTGATCGTACAAACGCTGTCTGTCAGCGGACAAATGTTCGAAGCACACATATAGGTGAAGCAAAACGCGCTTCGAAGTATTATTTTAAAACAATGAAAAGGACTTGAACGTATCTTATCGCGTAAATAAAAAATAGGAAGCTCATAGACCGCCTTTGTCACTCGGCTACGCTCTTCGCAAACATTGCGCTTCGCAAACAAACTTCACAAACACTGCGCAAACATTTTTTTTCATCATTTTTTTTTTTTTTTTTTTGCCCTACACGAGCACGAGCACCTGCAAGATCGATGTGAGCACAGACGCCGGACGGACAAGGCTAGACCCTAGGAGCTTCGCCCCTAGAACTGGCAAAAATGAAAGAAAACTAACTTCAAGACAATTAATATTCCCAACCTCGGCTGAAAGCTGAAGCTCAATTTTTTTTTTCTTTAACGTTTACGTTGTTGTTTTCTTCTCGCACCGCTGACGGCATTACACGGCGCCGTTGAGGTAGGCTCCAAAGAGGATTGTCTCTCAGACCGCAGTGTAAGGAACAAAACAACAAACATTGCGACGCTATTTATCTTGTGCGTATGTGTGAGTTTGTGTGGGAGTGTTTTACCGAGAGCTAGGCCGCTTGTGCGAGCGCTAGGGCTTTCAGAGAGGTTCCGTCGACACCGCAAAGATTTGAAAAAGTAATTGTAATTGTGCCTCAAAATTTCGAAATTACTGACACTAGAAAGTAATTAAATTACAATTACAATTCCTTTTAGCAAAAAGTAATTAATTACAATTACGAATTACCAATAAAAGTTATTGAATTATATTAATTCAATTACGGTAATTGAATTTCTACCCAAGTATGCTGCCTACGAGAGCCAAGCCAAGCAGCGATAGCCGACGACGTAGTGGAAATGACCTCCGCTCCTGAGCTTCTCGCCATTGCCGCCACGCGGCATCGATTTCGCTGGAGTCGCCACGTACATGACTGGTCCAACGAGCACGTAGCTTTCACTGCACTCTCAGATCTGGATTGGGTTACCTCAAGTTGAGCACTATTTAGCTCCTACGGAGCAGAGTAGCGCAATCCTTTGATCCGCGTGTTTCGCCGACAACATGGCCGACAGAGCAGCTCGGCGCGAGTCACGTGGTACTCAGAGTCCCAGGAGACGGCCCGCCCTATGGGAGAATACATGGAGATCGACTCAACACGGCTGATTAAAATATAAACCCCAAATTCACACGTTTCGAAACTAGTCTGTCGTGAAGTTGGTAAAGCACAAAACACTTTATCAAAGTTTTAACAATATTGGATGCGTGTGAAAATTGTGAGAAGGCAATTTCCAAGGCAATGGCGTTTGAAGCGGACGATTGTTTTGCGCCGTGGAGATGGACTTTATGGATTGGCCGCAGCGGGTCACGTGAACGGTGTGACGTCGCTGCGTCGTCTGCTGCATGATGCCGCTCAAGCATTTTTTTTAAACAAATTACATTACTACATGGCAGGTCGGTATTTTAGGTCGCCCTTACTCACCCTCACCTTCACAGCCACACTCACCTAAGCCCCTCACTCACACTCACCCTCACAGCTACACTCACCTTCAGCCCCTCATCCTCACAGTCACACTCACCTTCAGCCCTTCACTCACCCTCACTTAACCTCACGCCCCTCACGCACTGATGGCCCTCATGCACTCACCGCCCTCACGGCTCTCACGCACTCATGGCCCTCACGCCCCTTACCGCCCTCACTCACTCATACCCCTCACGCCCCTCACGCACTCATGGCCCTCACGCCCCTCACCGCCCTCACGCACTCATACCCCTCACGCCCCTCACGCACTCATGGCCCTCACGCCACTCAGGCCCGCTTCAGATGGGGAAATTTCGCCCAGAAACTTTACGTCGCAACACCAACAACACGGGCCGCCCGCGTTCACACGCAGCAACCGATTGCTGCAATTTGCCATCTTCGTCATCAAATCTTTTTTTTTCATGCACTATTTAGACACACAATTACGCTTGTGTTTTTATGCATTTAAATCTTGTTGGGAATACTAATGCATCTTTCTGAAACAGTTTATTTCCAAAAATGACCAATTTCAAACCAGAACTAAGTCTTTCCTTGTCATCATCACCGGCACGAGGTATCACGTGAAAATATAGCCTCCCTGATTGGAAAAAACGTCTTCAAATTTCTCCGAGTTGCTGGCTTGTTTCGAGCCGGACCCGATCTCAGCAATTCGTGTCGATCTTGGGAAAGCTAGGGAACAACCCGCCAGCAACACCAAAATTGAAGGGGGCCTCACGCACTCACCGCCCTCACGCCCCTCACGCACTCATGGCCCTCACACCCCTCACCGCCCTCACAACCCTCATGCCCCTCACGCACTCATGCCACTCACACACTCACCGCCCTCACGCCCCTCACGCACTCATGGCCCTCACACCCGACACGCACTCACCGCCCTCATGGCCCTCACGGTCCTCACAGACCTCACGGCCCTCACTCACCCTCACACTCATGAATGTTCCTGGTTCAGAAACTCACTCACCCTCACCTCACCTGTGAAGATGAGGGTGAGTGAGGGTGAGTGAGGGCCCTCATTAGTGAGGTTTGCCGAGGTATGCACGGCACACAACTTAGCGCAAATTACTGTAAACTGTTCCTGGATTATGTCAAAAACTATTGTCGTTCCGTACATCCCCAAAATATTCAAGGAACGGCGATTTTCCCACGTTCCCCATGCATTTATGACCGGAGTTGGAACCCTCGGGCGTTCACCGCTAGTCGCCGAGGGACGGCGTTCTCGATTGCGCTACTCTGCTCCTAGCCTGAAGAAGGCAGGGCAAGGTTAACACGTGTCGGGGTGGAGGTAGCAGACGGAACGCTGGAAAAGAGAGGGAGAAACCTCCTTCTCTCTTTAGCGTTCCGTCCGATTCCTCCTCCCCGACCCTATCTTCTTGAGTTGCAATAGGGAGTTTTCGTATACCGTATTCGCCGTCCCGCAGCGCTCTCCGCAACCCGCTACGATACCCAGGACTCTACATCCAAGGCCTTCGGCGCGCAGTCGCAGTAGCGGCGTCTTCGTTGCGGAGAGCTTAGCGGAGGTGAAGACGTGGTCTACGAAAACTTTCTAATGCTGCTCATTAGGAAGTTTTCTTAGACCGCGTTTCCCCCTCCGCTAAGCCCACCGACACGAAGCAGCTACTGCGACTGCGCGCCGAAGGCCTTGGATGTAGAGTCCTGGGTATCGTAGCGGGTTGCGGAGAGGGTTGCGGGACGGCGAAAACGGTATACGAAAACTCCCTATTGAGATACTTTATCGGGAGCGGTCTACGAAAACTTCCCAAAGACAAAGCCATTAAATATCCAACTTGAATTAATAATTCAGGTTTTGAAAAACAGTTTAAAAAAACTGAAAAAAAAAAAAAAAGAGTTAACAGTCTGGTTGGGACACGCGTGTTAAAAAAGTGATTTTACGGGGGGAAAAAAGTTAGCGCAACATTGCCGGCGCAAAACGTGATTTCCACTCTCTTTCTCGGCATTTCGGGCGCGCGGAGGAGAGGTGGATCGGCTTCGCCTTCACGACCGAGTTGGACCGAGAGGGTCATTTTGGAATGACCCATAACGTCATAGACTTCGCGCGCAGAATTTAAAAAAAATCTCTCGCCGTCACTATTGCTCTAAATTTTTTTTTTGTAAAATTTATTTCTCGACACTCGTGTCCCAACCAAACTGTTTTTTTTTTGTTTTTTTTTTTTTTTGGGGGGGGGGGGGGGGGGGAGGGGGAGGGGGTATTGATATGTTAGGCGGTGATTTGAGCTTAGGTGATGGTATGACCAATATTCAATCCAGCCTTACCGGTTGTCTTCCTGAACACTACCACTAAAATAATAGGGCTTTTTTGTTTTGTTTGTTTTTGTAAGTTTTGTTAGGAAGCACATTTCCGATTCTTGTGGCTGAGTGTGTCGCGAGCATTCCTGGTTCACGAGTTTTGGACTCTCCCGTCAGGTTCTTCGAGAGCCAGCAGTCTCCGTCGTCCGACCCGGTGCTTCTGTGGATGAACGGAGGACCTGGATGCAGTTCCCTGGTGGCCACAGTCGGCGAGCTGGGTCCTTTCCGCGTCGGGGACCTGGGTCTGAACATGACCCTCAATCCCGACACCTGGGTCAAGGCGAGTACTTCTTCAACTAGCCGTCAGAGGCCAAGACCTCGGCACGCGCTCGCTGTCTCGCACCGGGGACTGTGCCGGGGCTTTCGACTGCATGTGGGACGAAGCGTTCTCAAAGGTAGAGCTCGCGCTGGAAGCGGAAGATATATACTTGTGGTTCTTATTCCTGACGTCACAATCATATTAGTAGCGAGCGACAAGTTCGTATGGTGCGTAAGAAGCATGGCGGAAGCATAATCTGACCACGTTTCTAAATCAGCACTGTAGCAGATGAGAGTACTAACTTCGCCCTTATTTCTGTCGATGAGAGCGGAAATAATCGTGAAGGCAGATCACAGCGACGCTTTTGGGTCGAGCACGTCGACAATCGCTCAGATTTCAGTCAAGCTTCCTGGTCAAGAGAAGTTAGGGAGTATTCACTGGACGCCATATTTGTGGGTGCTGTTTAGAGCGCATGCTCAGAACGAACTCGCATCGATAGGCCGCTAAGACCGGCACTCTCGATGGTGCGGAATGCACGTTGCAAAAGAACTGTGGAAGATCGCCATCAGCACGCGCTCAGCATTCGCGCACACAGCTATTGGCGACGTGCGCGACCGAAAGCATCGCTGTGGTCGGCCTTCCACGATTGGCCCAAAAGCTGACTATGACGTCGGAAAGGGTATGCCATCGACGGAAATAAGAGGAATGAAAGAACTTTAATTTCGACGGTTTTGGCAGTGTTGCTTTGAGAGCGCAATGATTGCAGGCTTCCACCATGCTATTTACAAACACCATCGAACTTGTTGCTCGCAAGGTAATGACGTCACAAGGGGGAACCATAGGAGGGCGCCACCGAAACATCTCGCCGCTAATGGCCGCCAGTGGATACTCCCTATGGAGTGGGAGTCCTAAAGCCGAGGTCACACTGCTTATACATCATACGAAACGCAGTCTGTATACAGAATCGAACGCGAGTCACCGCGATATCCGTGCTTCGAATGCCACGTGGCAATGAGTTGAAGGATAAAGATTGGCACAAGGCATTCGAGCCACGGATATTGGGGTGACTCGTGTTTGCAGGCTGTCTTTTGTATGTTGTATGAGCAGTGTGACCCTAGTCTGAATGTTCCTTCCACAGGAAGCCCTTGACATAATATATCAGGGTCGCTAAACTCGTCAAACACGTCAAACACAAAGATTCGCGTTATGACACGGTAAAGCGTGTTTCACATGCAGCGGTTTTGGCCCTAGCGGCGCGATTTCTGCCGTCGCGGCGCTCTGGCCAGCATCAGCGGTTGAACGGCACGAGCGCCGCGACGGCAGAAATCGCGCCGCTCTAGGGCCAAAATCGCTGCATGTAAAACACGCTTTAGGGGAGGAACCGAAAGATTGTCGCGAAGGTTTCTTTTCTCACAAAACCGCAGATCCCTCTTTCTTCGTGACGCTTTTCATTGAAGGGCCCCACGGGCGCAACACCGTGGTCCCAAGCGCGCTTTGATGAATCTCGCTACGACTGTGTTTCACATTCTTGCTGGAATTTGAGCACCGAGAGTGTTTGGATGATTGACATCTTGTCCCGCGTGACGCCATCGTTGCAAGAGTCCAATCAGCACGCTCGGCGAACTTCGGCCCCAACTTTGTGTTTGACGAGTTTAGCGACCCAGACCTAGGAGGGCCTTCCGATGAAGCGGTTAAAAGCGACGTTCTTTTGACGTTGATAGAATCAAAAGGTATTTTCAGCAAACCGTAACCGTGTTCCGCGTACAGCAAGGAAACAATTTGCTAAAAGTCCCTATTACCGCTTTCGGTTTGATCCGAGGCACGGGAAATTTTACTGTATTGTCTAATAGTAATAACTTAATAAGTGAACTGTTTGGGATTCAGGTGGCGAAATGTCACGAGTGAAGGTGACGAGAAGACGGACCGTGAACTGAAAATAAAGGTTTAATTGGTGAACTTGTGCCAAACAAAATAACTAAAGGAAGAGCGTCGAAGAGACAGAAAAGCGGGCGGCGATTCGGCGGTGCATGTAACAGAGAGCGAGAGCGAGACTGACTTGACAAGGTCGCGGGCAGCTGCTTACCTACAGTGCGTCGTTATCTCGAAAGTTTGGCAAAGAAAGTTCGAGCGTCGCGCGCTCGGGGCGAGGATGAACTGGCACTTTTGAGAACAAGAAAGCAGCCCTGGGGAAGTTACGTCTGGTGCGAGGATGAACGCGAATATTTATACTTGGTTTCAGCTTTGGTCCGAGCGTGGCCGTTAATATCAGCCGAAGGTCCAATCAAAGAGAGCAAAAAGCGCATCGTCCTGGCGTTTTCTGCTCTTGATAGGACGAGCCGGCGGAAGAGCATGCACTGACAGACGGCGAACACCGCTGGTTCTATGAGCTGCGGGGAGCGAGCCATGACGGTGTACCTTTTTCGCCGTTAGTTTAGCCCTTTGGCTCATAACATCGGCCACGCTCGGACCTATGGTGAAACAAGGTTATAGAAGTCCGTGACCGAGCGTTGCTTTCTCGGCCTTGAGGGTGGCAATATCACTTTCTAATCCATGGGCTTCGTGTTTTAGGTCTTATATATACCGGTAAACCCCGACAACAGCTTTTTGTCTGGTACTCCTTCCAATGTATCTGGAAAATAAAGCCTTGATTTGATTTGAAGTAATCCCCGAGCAGGTTTTGTCAAGATAGGGGAAAACCGAGAAACTCCAAATCGCAACTGCCACTAAAGTTAATCCCCCCCCCCCCCCCCCCACTTCCCCAAAAACGCGAGCTTTAATGAAAAAAAAAAAAAAAAAATTGATGCACTGCTTTATTTTTATTTTTTTGGTTGGCATGAAACAAAGCCACTACGAAAGTGTCGGCATGACTGCATTTTTTTGGTGGGGCAGGGGGGGGAGGGGGGGGGGGGGGGTTCTGCGGGCACGGCCCTTGCGACTGGGCTAGAGCATCCCACAACCGTGTTCTAGTTTCTTAAAAAACAAAAAAATGTCCCAATAAACACCGTTTTTTTTGTCTGACACTGGATATAGATACCAAAAGACGCGTAAAAAAAAATTACCCCCCCAGAGAAAAAAAACAAAAAAACTTTAATTATGAAAAAAAAAAAAGAACTAAAACACAGAACTATACTAATAGCGTAGTCAAAACATCGCGAATAGCAACGTGATTTGAAAAACACGCTGCAGGTGGCGAACGTGTTGTTCCTCGAAGCCCCGGCAGGCGTCGGCTACTCGTACGACCCTACGGGCGTCTACGTGACGGACGACACCCAGACCGCGGATGACAACTACCTGGCAGTCCAGGACTTCTTCGAGAAGTACCCCGAGTACAAGAAGAACGACTTCTACATCGCGGGAGAGAGCTACGCGGGCGTCTACGTGCCCACGTTGGCGTCGAGGGTCCTCAAGAACCCCAACGGCGTTCAGTTCAAGGTACCGGGTCTCTTGATGCACCTCCTGGACCACGTGGGCGCTTTCAGCCGCGAACATCCTGTATTTTGTATGATGTGTGAGGAGTGTGACTGTGGCATATGGGACATTGTAGGGGCACTTCTATTGGAACGAATATCGCTCCCATGTCGAAACGATATTCTAAGCTTCCCAAACCACGGCCAGGCTAGAAAACGGCATTCCTTACGGCCTTTGCTGAACGACCAGCGTGATTGAAACTGTGTGCCAATGTACTCACGAAACAACTGTGGTGCGCTGATTGAAATACCCTTTGGCTTACGATAAGTAACCGCTTGTTTATATACATTTTTTTTTTTTTGTAAAGACAAAGAAATGTTTTGCAGTGTTATGCAGGAAGTGCTCTGCAGGCAGGCGGGCTCAACACCTGTAGCTCTAACTAGTTTGGAAATACCTCCCTTCAGCCCCGGGGTTAAGAGGCCAACACGGTGAGATTAGGGTGTCTTGCTGGAACGAATTAAAGAGCTCTATAGTAGGGGTGATGTCGCAGCGACCCCACCGAGCGGCGGTGAGAGAGAGAAACTACTCCCTAATCTGAAGGCCGTAAGAAAGCGCGCCTTTTCGATCTAGCCCGGCCGTCCTTTCCGGAATGCTATTTAGTATATCTAAATTCAAAATTGTTATTGTGAAGACGGTCGAAATGAAGATGCGACGTCGATCGAACCAACATTCAAACCTACCCGCGCTTTTCAGTACCGCGACCTCACTGCCAGGCAGGCAGGCTCACAGGTCGAGCAGGCGGAGTGTAGAAAACAGAGTATGCCCATGGTTGAAAAAACCCCGAGACTGCGGGTAAACGACACAACACTAAAAAGTCCCTGTTACGTGTTGTTACGTGTTGTTGCGCGAGTTCTTCTGGGCGGGCGAGCTTCCAAAGCATTCATTTCACACCGTCAAACTTTTCGTGACCATTTGGGAACAAATTCTACTGCCAACATGTGAGCACCCGCCTGCCACTGGCATCGCCTTTTATAGTTGCAAGCAAAATCTTTCAATTCGAAAAAAAAAAGTCAAGGAACGAAATTGAGTATTGAATAACTTCGCGAAAAAAAATATTTTGACCTAATATTTGGGTTACTATTTTAGTGATGCTCGTTGGAGTGTTTAGAGAATTTTGCAACAAATCGGGGGCCCCGGAAGAAAACGGCGAAGTATAATCCTTTTACTCCCGAAGAATCATTAGTCTGAAACAGTTTTGCACTCAGAACACTCCTTTCCCGGCAGCGCTATGCGGGAGGCACCCACTTGATCGAATGACGTTTTAGCGAACGCCCACGTTTCATCGAACGACACTTTAGCGAATAGCCGGACGCCGCGAAGCGGCGTTTTCGGGTGGGCCAAGTGAGTTCATATTTTTGTAATGAGTTGCCGCAGACTGTCGCCGCGAAGCGGCGTAAAGCGCAGCGCGACGGATGGGTTAACGCGCGCCCCCGTTACTCGCTAAAACGACCATTCGCTCAAATGTCGCCGTTCGCTAAAATGTCATTCGCTCTTGTGATATGGACCCGCGCTATGCGGATCACAAGTTCGTCTGCTTTCTGCACAGGGGTTGCGATGATGTGACAACGCTGAGATCTTATTGGCTGATTGAACAAAATAGTGGGTAGACCTCAAGGCATCTCATAACCAATCAGAGCTCGGCGTCGTTCTGACGTCACCGCGACCACTGGGAAAGAAGCAGACGACTTGCTCTCCTCATACTGTCTCTTTGAAGAGCCAAAATGGCGTCGAAGCGCAGCAGTCACACTGCCCATACATCAGCCAGGATTTTGATTCGGGGAAGGGGGGGGGGGGGGGGGGGGGGAGGGGGGAGCGTCTGCAGACCGGATGGATGTTGGATGTTCGACGACGTTCGACGACGTTCTAGATGACCTCGAAAGTGTCGTTGGAGGGGCCGGTTGGACGAGTCTTGTCCGCAGATTGCGGTAATATGACGCACCCGGCTCTTTACTATAAACGTGCGCTCCCGGAATCTTTTGTTTCTGGTCCCTCTGCGCGGGTTACAAGGGCATCGCCATCGGTAACGGTGCCGTGGACTTCCCGATCCTGGGAAACTCTCTCATCTTCTTCGGCAACTACCACGGCCTCTTTGGACAAAGGTATAGTCTTTAAGAAAATGCAAAAAGTTTTTTTTTTTTTTTTTTTTTTTTAGTTTGAAACGAATATGCGAAACGAGTTGTTCCTTTGTACGAGAAATTTCGAATCGAAACGAATAATTTAGGAAGCGAAGCGAATACTTGGCGGCCCTAAATACAGTGATAAAAAAACACCCTTAAAACTAAAAAAAGAAAAAAGACACAAGGTTTGATGGGATCTCTACCATGATCGTTCCCCAGCTCGTGTGCACAATTACTTTTATTTTAATGCAGCCATGTCTTATTAATATGAACCCTTCCGTTACCCAGAAAATCTTCCATAATAGTGAATCAAAGTCTAGACCACAACTAATGAACAGGAAGGGTGTCCACAAAAAACAAAATTTTTTTGGGGCGGAAAAAAAAAAAAAAAGCTGGAGATTCATTTGCACAAACACTTTGTGTTACCTATTAGAAACCCAATCCGCAAAAGATTCAAGGGATTAGACTTTTTGCTCCTGTTTTTATTGCTACTGTTCCAGGCTTGGTTGGTGAACTCATTTCAAGTAGGTATTGCATACTGTTTTCGTTCGCCCCCTTTTTTTTTTTTTTTTTTTTTTTTTGAAATGCTTTGCAGAATTTCAGACTTCAAATGCTTCGAATATATTCGAAGTTGACGAGTAGCCCTATTCGATTTCAACTTCGAATCGAATATGGCATTATTCGCTTCCCCTCCCTCTCCCCTACTTAGCAAAAGGTACGGTGTGTACCTTCTGCTGCGCCTGTGGTGCCCGCAAACTCAATTTTTCTTCAATTTGTCGAAGACTTCAGCACGGTGGAAAAATAGAAAAAGCTGTCTGAACAAGGCCAGCCAAGGTGGCATAAGTTTGCTCGGGCTTCGTGCATCTCACTGCAGGAGCACCCGGACGGCCTTGTAAACGTATGCGTGGTTTCTTGATTGGCTCTCATCGATGAATGGCTGGATGGAAAGAAGGGTCAAAGCGTAGGCGAGCTGGTGCACAGTCACAATAAAAAAAAAAAAAAAAAACCCTAAGCGAAAAAGGAAACAAAAATTATATGAGACTGTGCTGTCTGTCCTTTTTGCTTCCTTTGTTTCAACGTTTTCTTTTTTTTGCAACCTCGTTTTTTTTTATTATGGATGAATGGATACGGCTGGAACCTTTTAATCGGGCGGCGGCTTGCGCCCCCTAGTCAAAGGTATATGTAATTCCAACTAATGGCTTATCTCCGATTAAATTCTGACTTAATGAAGAAGGGCAACGATTCTTATATCGCCGCTAAGCGCAAGCATTCATTTACTATTCTCCACAACTGAAAAACACAATTCGTGTGGCGGCTCCTAGAGTATCTGTGTATGCTCTGGTTGCTCTAACGGCCATAACGGCCCCGTACATATGCTGCGCCATCTCACGGCATCGGTCAGAAATGCGAGCGAACCTTCGCCACGCTTGCTCCGTGGAGTCGCGGCGCCGTTCAGAAACCTCTCTCCGCTTCCACCGTGAACTTTAGAGTCTGAGGCGTAAACATCGCGCTCAGGCACCATTGTTAACTAGAGCTTCATGCTAACCAGAGCTTCTCCAAAAACTGGAAGGTTCACATTCATATTGTCCGCGATAGTAGCATAATCTGCAGCACTACATCTGCAGCAGCGTGGGAAGTGTTCTGGAGATGAGTGAGTGTGTCTGTGTGTGTGGAAAAAGAGGGGGGGGGGGGTCTAATTTCCTTCCCCTTTTCGTGGATTTTTTACTATAATTTACCATTATAAAAATGTCTGGTGAAGGCGCGATCGCCGCCCCCACTCCACTTTGTTTCGACGTCACTGATCAGCGAGTAGCGATGCTTCTGCTCATTTTTGCTTTCCCTATGTTCAACAATGCGTGGAGTTGGGCCAGTTTGTTCTTCGTGCCTTTTAAACTGTTTTTTTTTTTTTTTTTTTTTTTTTACTGCGACACGGACAGCGCTGTGCTTGTGCAATCCTTCCACTTGTCTTCCGTCTTTTGCGCTGTTTTGACTTCGACATTTCCAATGTTCGTTCTCTGCACAACCTTCGCATTTGCCCATTACGTACGTTCCATACGTCTCGTCATCCTCTCACAATCGGTATTAGCCCCGAGAAGTTCGGGTGGCGCCCCCTTACGGCGAACCGGGATGACGTCACGGCGAGGAGAGAATTTTTCCCCGACTCGGCCCCGCTCGCCCTGTGGAGGCTGTGACGACGCTAGCTGACGGCGCGCTTGTTTCTATTTAATTTTTTTTGCATGTTTTTCTTGGGAAGTGTAAAATTTTATATGTGCCTTTATTGAGGTATGGCCAGTAGCTATAGGCGAAACTTCAACCAACATTTTAAGCATGGTTGACAGGGCAGGCAACGCATGAATCACAGCTGGTTTATGAAAGTGAAGAAATATGGCCACAATTGCAGGAGCGTCACTATAGATTTACATCTCGCACAATAAATGCTGCTGATGGTCTGAATGAATTGGCAGGTTATGTATACTATATTTTCTTGTATCTGTTTTTAAACAAGATTGCCGAGGCAGAAAAACTGCATGCTGCTCGAGCAACATGCTAAATACAGTCTGGGCCATGGGGAGAGAATCATAAGTAAGACAGCTCGAGTGCAGAAGCAAAAAAAAAAACAAAAAAACAAAAAAAAACAAGGAACATTTATTATACACATAGCTCGCATTTGACCTTTGCTGGATTCCGAGAGTATTTCAATGGACTACACGTGTGGTATCTGTGGACTCGTTTATATCAACCCTCAAGTAATGTATAAGTAACGTAAGCGAAGGTGTCTTCCTCGTTATTAGTCCCTTAAGCCCTAAAATTTAGATTTTACTTAAATCGAATTGTCCTGAAGCTAAAATATCAGAAGCTTTTCTCACGCAGACTGTCGCCCTTTACAGGTTCCACATTTTCTGCTGCTAGTGCTGCATCTACCACTGGACAGACGTTCGAATGCTTTCTTTTACTCCTGTTTTCCTGTGTTGTCGGAGAGTCCAGGTGTAGGGAGTTTGAAGGCTGAGGAAGCTTTTGGGAACCTGCAGCAGTGTCTCTTTTAATTGGAAATGACAATTTTTCCAGACTAAATGGTGTATTTTCCGAATACCCAAGGCTGGAATAAAGAATGTCAGGAAAACATATAAACATTCCAAATTGAGGCATTATTGCTGTGCATATTTTGGGCACTTCAATACATATCATACAGGCAACTGGGGGCAATTGAGCCGTTTTTGCTGCTACCATACAAACTAATTTCCAGTAGTTGTGCATCTTCTAAGAAATATGCTTGCATAAGTGTATAAAATATATAATTAATTCACGAAGAAGCTACATTTATGTAAAACAACCCTGTTCCACGAGCACTTCAAAGATCATCAGAAGCAGGGCCTTTAATACATCTGCGAACCAGCGCATGCAGAGTGGCAGCGCAGAGTCGGGGTCGCGAGCTAATTCGCCGACCACCCAAAGGCCCATGATATCAATGCCACTTCAAATGCCTAGAAACCGGGATGTAATATTGTCCCAATTCATGAACATGCATACAACAGAATTCCAGCGTCTGAAACACTTGCGCCACCGCTTCACCGACCGCTCGCAAGATTGTCTTTTGTCGTGTGGACGGACGGGGAAGTTCATCGGCGGAATTGTCTCCGCCGATAGCTTTCGGGATTTGTAACCCAATTTTAAAGGTAAAAGGGACAAGCAGGCTTATAAAATGTACGGAAGCACGTCAATATCGGCCTAACTCAACGTCTTGTACATCGGGTAAACGAAGTTTAGCTCTTCGTAGAGCTTGCGGCACACAACGCCAAACCAGGAAACCGGTGCTGGGAAGCGAGCCGATGCGAGATCGCGGAGCGGAGTCCTCCGCCTGACGTCACGGTACACCTCATCCAATCAGGGCGCGGCGACCGCAGCGACGCTTGTGTTCGCTCTCGGGGCTAATACCTCTTCGGCAGTACTTTTCATGAACTTCGTTTTTGTTTGGGCAGACCTGTTCACGTCCAGTGAGACTATACAGCAGATCGCATTTCGTGTTATGCAAGCGGGAGATGCTCTCTTTTTTTTTTTTATTTATGTACACGACTTTGGTAGATGCGTGTGACTCGTGTGCATCTAGCAGTGCTCGATTGGGCTAGTTGGTTGTTTTTCGTGCTTTGACTGAACTGTTGTGAAAAAGGAAAAATAAACAGTTTGCGTTTACTTGAGCATGTGGTGTCCAGTCCCGGTGTCTTTTTTTTTTTTTTTCATTCTTCGCAGCGCAGTTTAATCAATCATGTGCATCCATCCCGGTGCGACTGATTGGTCGTCGTCGAATTGATCTCTAGCCAAACGGTGGAGACATCTCTTGTGTTTCCCGCTTGCATGCAGATTGTGGACTGCTTTGACTCAGCACTGCTGCAACGGTTCCCAGCTTGCTCAGGACTGCAACTTCGGCTGGGACATCACAGACGACAAATGCAACGAAGCGGTGAGTAATTATTAGCCAGCATGACTCGCATAACAACAGCACGTGCCGTGTACAAGTTTTCTCCGTCCTGGTGGGCCTTCATTCCCCAACCTAAAATATAAAAGAAAACCGAAGAAAATTGCACTAGCTTGATTATGCTGGCAATCACTGAGGGGAGCACGTAAGGAATGAGCTGGACACAGGTCACATGGCTGGCGTCACACGACGTCGTGGTGTTGTGTTACGTCACAGTCACGTGACCTCATGATATCGCGTGACCTCAAGGTGCACGTGACATCAGTGTTGACGGACAACAGTTGTGTCTCGTGACGTCACGATGTTACGTGACATCAAAGGTTTGCTGCACTTTGTCGTCTCGGCTTTTTTTTTTCATATTTGTTTACGACGGTCTTGGGCTTGAGGTCATAAAATTAGGCTGATATAACACGTTCTGGGAGTGCGAAACCGTAAACAGAAACCACTCGTAAATCTGTTGTTCTTTTGGTTTCCCGGAAGTCTCAAAACTGTGTTAAAAAAACTGTAATTTTACAAGATTATTTTTCTTTTCTTTTTTATGTATTTGTGCAGGTGGACGAAGCGAACAACATTATCCTCCACGGAGGGCTGAACGTGTACAACCTGTACGACCCGTGCAGCTACGAAGATGAACCCGAACCGGTTGCTTTCGCTTCCCCGAAAAAAAGGTCGATGAGTCAGCACAAGGCCCAAAGGCTCATCATGAAGTCTCTGAACCGTGTCAGCTCGCTGAATCGTGCCGACTCGGTAAATTTCTCCCCTCGAGCCTCCTCATTCCCCCCGAATTCGGGTCGATAGAACTCTTCCGGAATTCACATGCCGATTATTAGGAGGTCGTGACGTTGTTCGGCATTATTAAAAACAGCACATAAGGACGGGACGAAAGTAGAAAGAGCTCACAGGACGGACGCTGCTTTGTCAGCGTCCGTCCTTTGTGCTTTTACCTTTGCCCCGTCTTTTTGCGCTGTTTTTAATAATGTTAATGTCGTTCAACAACCAACTAGCCCAGCAATCGACCCTTTTACATGACGCTGCGGTTTGAGTCCGCCACTGTGCAGGGATTCCACAGTTGTTGACAGCTGCCAACGGAGGCCAATCTTTCGATGGTGGTCTATTGACCTTCTTCAAAAGTGTGTGCGATAAGTCCGAGGGTAGGCGACGTTACGATGCGATGAATTAAGCCAATCAAACAGCGCCAAAAGTGCATCATCACGGCTCTCGATGTCTTTGTTGGTTTGGCTGGATGGATGGATAGAGAAATGGTAAAAGATATACCCTTTGTAACGGGCGATAGCTCTCGCCACCTATAGCCTATATCTCAAAGGACAAACACATGATTTCTCCCGCCCTACTAAGCCGATGTCACCCCCCCCCCCCCCCCCCCTTAACTATCACCAGGCAGTGTGGGATATAACCGCCTGGTGATAGTTTAATATATCCCTTTCGAAAATCTGCCCTCTGTTGGAATCTGTGGGAATCCCTGCACGATGGCGGACACGGATAGCACACAGCACAGCCAATGCTATATACGAGACGATGGATCCAAACACTGAGCGCCAAAAGCGCAAGGTCATGGTGCTCGTTTGTCTTCCAGCGCGTATATGTCATCATCGGCTAAACCGATCGAGCGCAGGCATGCACCGTGACCTTACACGATTTTATTGCGTGCCTTTGTGCTTGTGTCCATTCTAGCTCTAGATTTTCACGTTCAGCGGTGTCGGTTGCTCCGCCATCGTGCAATGGCTCCGACCTTCTGACGATCGGCACGTGACTTTCGAAAGGGGGCGGATCGGCTTCGGTCGGACTTTTAAGTGAAACGGGAATATAGTAGCCGAAGCGCTACATTATTCTAGACCGCCATGGTTTGATCACTAGAATGAACGCGAGGGCTGCGTCAACGTTTTGGCGAGGACTCTGATCCCGTCACGCTTCTGGCCCCCCCCCCCCCCTCCTCCCCCCCTCCCCCCCTCCCCCCCCCCCCCCCCCCCTAAAAAAGAAAAAAAATGGCGATCGGCAATGTTGTTTGATGGCGTTTTGGTCTCTTGAAATTTTGACCCTTTTTTGTACCCGGTTAGGGTTAAGTTAGTGTCCGCCAGGGCTGACGCAGTGATGTAATCCAACGTAGATGATGCAACTCCATAGGAGGCGACGCCACCAAGCGGAAAAGACGGGGAAAACAATTGGCGTGCGTATGTTTATACAGCCGGAAGTTCGTCTGCCTCGGTGGGCGTCTGGTGTCTCAGCTGTATAGATGAACAATCGAGCCAATGCGGTACAACCGCTATCCCTGGGTCTTTAACACGCACCACGCAGTATACGACACCACTGCACGCCGGTGATGCTCATCCACATCGAAACGGGCAGGTGTGGAGAGTGAACGCAGGGTCCCTGGGTTTTTCAACGCGAGCTTCCGCTCCACGAAGACGTGACGGGGAGCAAAGGGGAACTAACGCTTATTCAATTGTGCTGCGAAAACGGACAAAGCCTGGCGGCCAAAATGTGAAACAGGACAGAAAAAAAACAAAAAAAAACTGTTAGTGCGCGAGGTTGGAGCTGGGAATAGCAAACGGATGTGACGGTCTGAAAAGCATATTTGTTCAGTTTTCGTTCGTGTCTTTTAACTGGGCTTCTGGCTTTATGCCAGAAGACACACAAGGCGATCTTACGCTGCATTTTCTGCAACCAGGGATGCTATTAGTTATAGGGTGCCGTGTTTCCGTAAATACCGATAAAGCCCGAAAGTTATATCAAAATCGGGGAGAACAACGCCGAATTAGAGCTGTCCTTGAAAATGAAAGGCACAATTAAGCTTCGCGGAAAGAAATCATTATCTACAGGTGTGCTTCGTGTTGACCCGATACACGTGACCCACTGAGTTGCTCGCCTCTTTTCCCGGTTTTCTTCTCTCATTGGTACAGGGCCTTTTCTAATGGCTAATTCTGGTGGTAGATTTGGAGCGGTCCGAAACCGCCCCATGCTCGCGCGTTTAAAGCAGCGAATGCTAGCTGACGTTTGCACGCGCGACAAAATAATAATAATAATAATAATAATAACATGCTCTTCGTAACCGCTTTAAATCTACCAGCGGAATTCGCTCTAAGTATTCAGTTCCCGAGCAGCTCGCTAGAAGTTGGTGTTGGGCCCCGGTAAAGGCCGATCTTTGTTTGTTTGTTGTTTTACACCGAAAAGGGAGAGACACCAGAAGACTTCGAATCCGTGGGAGAAAAAAAATAAACCCCGAACATACAGAACCGTACAAATGTCTTGAGGACACTAGAAGGGCATGCTGCCGTTTCACAGAAAAGCACGCGTCTCAGTGATATGTCTGGCGTAAACTTCCCCCTCCCCATGTACGTCGCTCCTGCACAGTCGCAGCGGTCCGCTCCCTTTATATCTATCTATCTATATATATATTAGCGTTCAGGCGTATTCCACCCACTGCAATGACACATTACTCTTTGCTGCACAGCCCGCACCGATGAACATCGATAATCCCAACTGCGTCAGCGAAGAAAGACTGGACCTTTACTTTAACCGGAACGACGTCAAGGAGGCCCTACACGTCCAGGAAACACCTGCGAAATGGGAGCCCTGCAGGTAAGATTTGGCGATCCGTTAAAGCACGTTCACACCGGCGATATGCGCCACTCGCGCGAGAACTTTCCCTAAAAAAGCAACCATCGCAATAAAAAAAAAAAAAAAAAAAAAAAAAAAAACGACGTTTTTTGTGCAGTCGTTAGTTTACCCGACTTTTTGCGATGCGATCTAGTCGCGGAGCGGTTCAGCGGCGTTGGGAGCGGGAGTTTGCGAGAAGCAACTGGCTCATCGCGCCCGCCAGTGTGACCCATCCGGGTTTTTTTTTTCGTTTTTTTTTTTTTTTTTTTTTGATGCAATCTAGTCGCGTTTTTCAAGTGCTCGATATCGCCGGTGTGAACGAACCTTTAGAAAAGACACGTTATGAAAGGTAACACCGTGTGGACGAAAGATGCTGAGGAGGCCGCAACGCTTCTGAGCCTCTCGTACCATCCACTCCGATGTTGACTCAAGCTCACAGCGCTGCGGATGCTACGTTTTGGCAGATCCAATCCACCACAGGCCTTGCGCCGCGTGACTACGTTCTCCGTGTATAAGAAAGCGCAGTCACGGGTCAGAAGCATCATGCGGTGACGATTGTATACCGAGCCTCGCAGTTACCGCTGTTGCGGCGTCCTCGGTGTGCCGGGTGGTGCAGTGCCCACCAAGCGTATACGGAACATGCGAAGTGAATGATTTCGTTGGACAGCTATCTTGGCGGCTTCCGAAGGACCACTCCATGACGCAGCGCTCAGTGGAACAGCACATAAAGTTATTATAATGTACAATAAAGGTTCAACAGGCGCTATGCGACTTCCGGATTGCAAATTGAAGCAGACAGCAACTAGTCTGGTTTAGTGGAAAACGCGCGTGCATTTTGTCTCCTCGCCAGAGAATAACAGGAGTCACATTTGTTACGTGGGTCGTAGCGAATAGTAGGTAACTTTATCGACATTATAAAAGTGTACTTGCTTTAGTTACGGTATTTTTCTTCCTCAATGAACAATATTAAACTTCGCTATATTTCAGGCCCAAACCTCTGCTTCGTAGCAGGTGTGTAAAAATGAGCGATGACTTTAAGCATAAATAATCGAAAGGGATGTAGAGCGTGTTCAAAGTTCGCCCGTATTCCGGTTGCGCTTATATATTGCTGATGTGCCCGTCCTGGTAAAATGAAAATGACCCTGTCGTGCATTTTGGCGAGTGGTTAAAAACATAAAAAAAAGTGAAGTATTTAGTACGTGGGTGTCTCTTTTTATTATTTCCTATGCAGGGAAGCATTTATCGCCCACTTGTGTTTCTGGGGCCTCCCTGTTTTCAAAGATTTCGAACGTGCGGGTGATGTTTTGAACGCAGGACAAGCATCTTCGCACACGTTCGTGAGAAGAAAGAATGAAGCAGTACTTATTTATTGCAAATCGGACTATGTCACGGGGCTTTTAATTAATTTTGATTGTCTACACAAACGGGGAGTTACTGATCCCGTGTTACTTCGTAGTTCTGGCCGTCTCTCTTGGTTTTTCAGATGGCCTTCGTTCGTTTGGCACGGGAATCGCCAATGCAGAAAAGTGCCGACGCCGTGTTCGCGCTAACAGTGTCCGGCAATTCACATAAATGCACGTATGAAGCTGTTTTAGCACTGTGGTTAAATGCAATGAATTTGGATGAAAAATACTGCACCCGAACAATATTTTTATTTACACGGTTCAGAAATGTTTCAAACCTTCTGCGAATGCCGCGGCAATAGACGATTTGCAATTTTCCGAAGCGCCCCGGCCCGCGCGCGAGGAATTGTGGGAGAGACTGTACCTCGCCTGGCCGCTCTGCCTTGAGATCGCATTGCCTTGTGGCTTGCCTCTTCTTAATACTCTGTTTTTCGATTCCATTACCTATTTTTATCTATTCCAGTGTATTTTTTATTGCTTCTAAGTGTTTCTATACTCTTCCGCGCGCGATATTTCTTGTATATATATAGTATTTGTGTCTTTATTTCGCCTTGCTTGTATGTGGTCCGCACGTTTGACTGCACTCGAACTTACCAGGATGCAAAGTTGTAACGTGATGTGTTGCACGGTTTCGAACGCCCCGGCGTGCAGCACGAAGCTCAACTACACCGAGCAGTACCTGAGCGTGCGCGACGTTGTGCGGGAGCTGGTGGATTCCGGGCGTCTGAGGACGCTCTTCTACAACGGAGACGTGGACATGGCGTGCAACTTCATCGGAGGCGAATGGTTCGTGCAGAGCCTGGGCTACAGGGTACGCCTCCCGTCCTAGATCATATACCCCGGTCAACCGTTTCATTCTTCTCTGGCCACGCATTTCTTGCACAATGGCTACAGATCTTCGCAAAAATCGCTTCTTCTTGCTGCCATCTTTGTCTTCTGGACTGTGGAACGCAGCATGCGCTGTAGCTCTGTTGTGCGATATATCAGACGCTGCGCTTGCGTCCACAGCTCAATGACTCAGCATTTTTAGCCCGGGTGATAGGCGATGCAAAGGTCTATTGAGAGACTCGTAAATCTCTGCGATAAGAGTTCAAGTAGAGCTGTCTTAGAGTGATGACTTGATCGGGCGACCGTTTCGGCGTGAGCAGTTCATAGCTCAGTATACTAAGCCAGTTTTTTTTTATTGTTTTATTTGCGCGTAAGGTTGTGCGCTTTAAGTAACCCGGAGGGCATCCCGCAAAAATCAGTTTGGAGACGCTGCCATCTGCGGGGGTAGCTCGGCAAATGATGAGAATATGTTTAGACCTAAAATGACAGAGTCTGCATTGTGGTACCCAGCATGACATTTAAACATACATGTTCAGTGCCACAGCAGAGGGTTTTTTTTAATATTTTTAAAATTTTTTTGTTTTACTTAAAGTTTAGACGCAGCCGACGCTACAACTTGATGAAACCAATCAAACAGCGCGAAAAGCACAAGTCAATGGGTCTTCCTTGTATACGATTGATTTGAAGTTTCTACAGGTTTTCCCGCTCATTTTAATCCAAGCGACGACCAATTTAATCCCGGGGTCACTGAATTTAATCCAAGCGGCATACCATTTAATCCAAGCGCCACACAATTTAATCCCAGGGTCAGTCAATTTAATCCACAATATATATATATGCACTTATTGTGTTCAGTGGTCGTGTTTCGCTTACACATTTGGTAACTTAGAACAATTGTTTATACAATTTGAAATTTTCGGGGGCAATTGAGAATTTGATCACTAATGTGATTACTTTGAGTTACTAGTCCCACTATTGACCAGGCTTAATTAATATGTTGGGTACTCTTTTTAGAGCGCAGCCCTCAGGCACCTGCTTCCGGCTTAAGCGGCGTCAGCGTCGCCGTTGCCGTAACCACGCGGTGAACGATGGGTGAATTCCCCCGCTAAATGTAGCGGAAAAATTTCCCAGCTAAATCTAGCGGAAAACTTTCCCTGCTAAATCTAGCGAAAAATTTTCCCAGCTAGATTTAGCGAAAAAATTGCCCCGCAGAGTCTAGTGGAAAATTTTCCCCGCTACATCTAGCGGGAAATTTTCCCCGCTAAAGCTAGTGTAAAATTTTTCCCGCTAAATTTAGCGGAAATTTTTTTCCCGCTAAACCTAGCGGAACGACTTCCCCGCTAAACCTAGCGGAATATTTTCCCAGCTAGATTTAGCGAAAACTTTACCCCGCAAAGTCTAGCGGAAAAGTTTCCCGCTAAATCTAGCAGAAAATTTTTCCCGCTAAGCCTAGCGGAAAATTTTCCCCGCAAAATCTAGCGGAAAAATTTCCCAGCTAGATTTAGCGGACAATTTTCTTCGCTAAGCCTAGCGGATAATTTCTCCGCTAAATCTAGTGTAAAAATTTTCCACTACATTTAGCGGAAACCTTTTTCCCGCTATCTATCGCGGAAAGTTTTCCCCGCTAAATCTAGCAAAAAATTGTCCCCCCTAAATCTAGCGTTAAATATTCCCAGCTAGATTTAGCGAAAAATTAGCCCCGCAAAGTCTAGCGGAAAAGTTTCCCCGTTAAATCTAGTGGAAGAGTTTTCCGCTAAATCTAGCGGAAAAGGTTCCCCGCTAAATCTAGCGGAAAATTTTCCCAGCTAGATTTAGCGGAAAATTTGCCCCGCAAAGTCTAGCGGAGAAGCTTCCCCCGCTAAATCTAGCGGAAAATTTTTCCCGCTAAATATAGCGGAAAATTTTCCCCGCTATATTTAGCGGAAAATTTCCCCGCTAAATCTAGCAGAAAACTTTCCGCCTATATTCAGCGGAAAATTTTCTCCGCTAAATCTATCGGAAAATTTTCCCAGCTAGATTTATCAGAAGATTTGCCCCGCAAAGTCTAGCGGAGAAGCTTCCCCGCTAAATCTAGCGGAAAAGTTCCCCGCTAATTTTAGCGAAAAATTACCCGCTAAATCTAGCGGAAAATTTTCCCCCTATATTTAGCGGAAAATTTTCCCCGCCAAATCTAGCGGAAAATTTTTCCCGCTAAATTTAGCGGAATATTTTCCCTGCTAAATCCAGCGGAAATTTTTTTCCGCCAAGTCTAGATGAACATTTACCCCACTAAATCTAGCAGGAAATTTTCCCTGCTAAATTTAGCGGAAACGTTTTTCTCGCTAAATCTAGCGGAAAGCTTTCCCCGTTAAATTTAGCGGAAACTTTTCCTCGCTAAATTTAGCGAAAAAACTTCCCGGCTAAATCTAGTGGAAAATTTTCCACGCTAAATCTACCGGAAAAGTTTCCCCGCTAAGTTTAGCGGAAAAGTTTCCACGCTAAATCTAGCGGAAACTTTTCCCCGCTAAATTTAGCGGAAAATTTCCCCCACTAAGTATAGCTTAAATTTTCCCCACTAAATCTAGAGGAATAGTTTCCCCGATAAATTTAGCGGAAAAATTGTGGGGTTCAGGAAAGACGTCCGTCGATGCAAATTAACAAACTGATCTTTATAACCGCAATAAAACTGAAAAAGATCATCAAAAGGGGGCTCCGCTGAGACCGCCCAGCTGCACCGTCGAACGCTGCTAGTCTCGTGCTGTTCTGTTCGAGCCTGGAGCTCGGTCCCGTCGGTGCTGCTCGTGCCACACGCTAAAAAGGTCAATAGGGAGTATTCACTGGGCGCCATATTTATGGGTGCTGTTTAGAGCGCATGCTCAGAACGAGCTCACTTTAATAGGCTGCTAAGACCGGCACTCTTGATGGTGCCGAATGCACGTTGCAAAAGAACTGTGGAAGCTCGGCGTCAGGACGCGCTCAGCATTCGCGCACACAGATATGGCCGCATGTGAATACTCCCTATAGGGAGTTTTTGTAGGCCGCGTTTCACCCTCCGCTAAGCCCTCCACAACGGAGAAGCCGCTACTGCGCCGGCGCGTCGATGGCCTTGACTGTAGAGTTCCGGCTAGCGTAGCTAATTGCGGAGAGCGTTGCGGGGCAGCAGAAACAATCTACGAAAATACCCTATTAGCTCTAGACGTTGCGTGAGCCACCACAATAAGTGTCGCGCTTTAGCACTACAAATTTTCTTCGCTAAATCTAGCGTGAAATTTTTCCGCTAAATTTAGCAGGGAAAATTTTACGCTAGATATTGCAAGGAAAAATTTCCGCTCAGCTTAGGGGGGCAAATATTCCGCTAAATCTAGCTGGGAGGATTTTCGGTTAGATTTCGCGGAGACGATTTTCCGCTAAATTTAGCGGCACAAATGTTCTGCTAGATTTAGCAGGGAAAACATTCCGCTAGATTTAGCGGAAAGTTTTTCCGCTAGATTTAGCGGGGAAGCTTTTCTGCTAGACTTCGTGGCGCAAATTTCCGATAAATCTATCTGGGAAAATTTTTCCCCAGATTTAGCGGGGGAAATTTTCCGCTAAATATAGCGGGGAATATTTTCCGCTAGATAGAGCGGGGGAACTTTTTCCACTAAATTTAGCGGGGAAAATGTTCCGCTAGAATTAGCAGGAAAAATTTTCCGCTGAATTTAGCGGGAAAAATTATCCGCTAGATTTAGCGGGGAAGCTTCTCCGCGCTAGACTTTGCGGGGCAAATTTTCCGATAAACCTAGCTGGGAAACTTTTCCGATAGATTTAGCGGGGAAAATTTTCCGCTGAATATAGAGGTGAACATTTTCCGCTAGATGAAGCGGAGAAAATTTTTCGCTGGACTTAGCGGGACAAATTTTCCGCTAAATCCAGCTGGTAAGATTTTCCGCTAAATTGAGCGGAGGAAATTTTCTGTTAAATTTAGCAGGGAATATTTTCCGCTAGATCTAGCGGGGAAAATATTCCGCAAAATTTAGCGGGGAAAATGTTCCGCTAGATTTAGCAGTAAAAATGTTCCGCTAGATTTAGCAGAGAAAATTTTCTGCTAGATTTAGCGGGGAAATTTTCTGCTAAATTTAGCGGGGGAATTCGCCCATCATGCACCGCGTGGTTACGCCGACGCCGTCGCCGCTTAAGCCGGAAACGGGTGCCTAAGAGCTGCACTGTAAAAAGAGTAACCAACATATCAATGAAGCCTCGTCAATAGTGGCACTAGTAACTCAAAGTAATCACATTATTGAACAAATTATCAATTGCTCCCCCGAAAATTTAAATTGTATAAACAATTATTGTAAGTTACCAAATGTGTAAGCAAAACACGACCACTGAACAAAATAAGTGCATATATATATTGTGGATTAAATTGACTGACCCCGGGATTAAATTGTGTGGCGCTTGGATTAAATTGTATGGCGCTTGGATTAAATTGAGTGACCCCGGGATTAAATTGGTCGTCGCTTGGATTAAAATGAGCGGGAAAACCTGTAGATAAGAGCTTCCTACAAGTAGCGACATTCTTTTGAAGCGCCGACTGCGTGACGGTGCGGGTTTGAGGAAGCGAATGGCGGCGCACAGCAGAAGACTGAACTGAATGTCGCCATTTTGTTCTAGCGGAATGTGCGTTGTCATGTGTGTTGGTCGCGGTTACTTGTAAAAACTTGGAGGACGCTTAAGCTTCTCCTTTAAGAGTGGAAATGCGATAGATTTATCGGGCCCCCTCCGTATCGTCTTCTTAGTCGCCGTGCAAGCGTGCTTTGCGTGGCCCATTCAGTAGCGCGTCTGGCTCGCGGGCTAAAATTCTTTAATTTTTTGTTTTGTGAGGCAACTGAATTAATTTATGAAGTGAAATCACTTGACCCATGCGGCGACCTTTAGTTCGCATTACACGTCACGTTTAAACCACTTTTGTTCCACGCGCGACGTCACGTTTCGCGTGAGCGTTGTGGGTTGTTTGAAATTCCCGCGCGAGGTCATGTGGCTGTGACGTCATGACCCTATCGACCAATGAGGAGTTTCCCGTCACGCCACCGACGCCGGCTTTTCTGCGACACGAGCTCCTTAACTCTCTCGCGTTAAAGGAAGTATCAAGGGACTTTTAATTGTTTCAGCGATGATAGAACACGTACAGAAAAGTGACGAACACCGTGACATTGCACTTTTTACGCCGTTTGTTTGGTTCTATTTTGAACTCTAAACGTATTCACAGCCTCGTCATTCGCTGAACGCTCTCCGTAGCGCTCTTAGCATCTAAAATATATATATATATATATATATATATATATATATATATATATATATATATATATATATATATATATATATATATATATACACTATCGCAGACACCAGAGAACTTCTCGTCCGACGGCGCCCTCTGGCGCCTGCGATAGTTGCGAGATCTTTGATACCGATGTCAATAGAAAAACCGGCCAGGCAAGAGTGCAATGTTTGGTTTCTTATGATGCTTAAGAGTCGATAAATAGACTATCGCAGAAGGTGTTTCCCTTCATTTCTTATTCTAACTCATCGTTACAATAATAAGCCACACCGACTTGGCCTAAAATATTAGCAATTCAACCAGACGTTATGGGTTGTACGTTGGCGCTTTACAGCGAACAACACTTCAGCGAATTATATGCTTCGGTTAATCACACTTTGGTGGTGAACGCTTTAGTGAACGACTTCGGCAAATCACTCTCAACTTAGCGAATTGAGTAGTTTGCAGGTATGGTTGTTTCTTTTTCAAACCAAACGTGCGCGTCCTTCTTCCCCAATTCGTCTCCAGTCCAAATCAGAGTACAAGACCTGGAAGGCAGGTCTCGTGATCGGCGGTTTCTTCGAGACCTTCGAGAAGAACGTCACCTTCGTCACTGTCAAGGTGAGTTCGATCTTCCAGAAACGGCACACTGCCAAAGAAGAATTCCAAGCCCCGGGAATTGAGACCGCCAGTGTTTTAAGCGCACAAAACTGTTGACATGGATAGTGTGCCTCGGCAGTCTCCCACCTATTGCCATCACGAGATACTGGGAACCGCAAGAATAAGTTGTCTTTGTTTATTTAATCTATTTTACCCTCGAGACCAAAACATCACAATTGTTTGCATCTGGCTGCACTGTCAAAGCCTAGTGCTGCCTTCTCGCGAGCACCTTCGGTAGTTCAGCACGATTGTGGTTTTATATATAGGGTGTTCCAAGTCACCAGGCTCGATCTACAATGGACCGTAAAAATCGACGCCTGCACGTAGCAATTTAAACTTTTCGTCAAAGGTGTATTTCACAGGTCGTTTTTGTCTTGTAAAATTATGAAGCGTAGCTCCCTTTATGTAAAATATAGGGCCAAAAAACAGTCAACGGCGGACGGCGACGCAGATGACTGAGTCAAGTTGCGGGTGCGTTTGGCGCGCGTATTGATAGATGGCGTCGGGAGCAGTGTCCGGAGGTGTAGCCGACCAGCGAAAGAAAGCAGACGACACGCAGACGAAATCCGTTGGCAGCAAAAGCGCCGTCGTTATGCAAACGCGTTTTTTTTTTTTTTTAGGTTTTGCTTTTATTGTCGGAATTTATTTTTTTACCCAAAAGTACATCACAAAAAGATTATGTTCATTTTGATGAACCACGGTGGTTGCGAACAGTCTCGATGAGGAGGTAGCGGCATCTATCAATACGAGCGCCAAACCCGCCCCGCTACTTGTCTTGGTCGTCTGCTTTACCGTCTGCCGTTGACCCTGGCAGGTTTCTTGGTCCTATCTTTTACAGGAGAGATCTACGCATTGTGATTTTACAAGAAAAACCGACCAGTGAAATACACCTTTGACGAAAAGTTTAGATTGCTACGTGCAGGCGTTGATTTTTACGGCTCATTTTAGATCGAGGCTCGTGACTTGGGACAATATATATACATAAAATGAACATTGCTTATGGCTTATTTGAGTGAAAAGGAACGCAATACTATCTTGTTTATTTTGCGTCGCAACGACCACTCGAGCAAAAAATTCGGTCTGAATTTCATGCCACGGGGTTCTTGCTTCGTGAGTCGTTCGTAGGCGTTCTTATCCCAAGTCTTATTTGCTGCAGAGCGTCGACAGAGAGTTTTAGTATACATCGTTTCGACGTCCCCAGTAACGATACCCGATGCTCCGCCGCCGTTTTTGCGCATGCATCGATATCGGGGGGATATCAGAGGTGTGTCGGAAAGATCTACTAAAGCTCTCTAATGAGATGCTCGGACATCGCGATGTTTTGCGTTTCTTGCCGTTTTTGACAGCAGTATACAGGCAGTCGGAGCGCCCTCTACAGAGTACCAAGTGATGCGCGTGCTTCGGGAGACCTCTAATAGAAGCCTTTAAGCCGAGCTCATTCTGCTAACACGTCATACGAAGTACTGTCGAGACCGGTTATAGCGAAGTCAACGGGAATCGAAAATCGCTTCGCTATATCCGCTATTTTGTTATAACCGACTTCGGTTATAACGAAGTGCAAAAGGAAATGGGAAAACGTGATCGCTTCGCTGTAGCCGCTGTTTCGTTATAACCGACGTCGTTATAATCGGTCTTGACAGTACAGCCTGAAGACACTGTCTGTGTATGAAGCAAACCTGATTCGAATATGCTTGCGTGCCCGCGTTGATAAATACGTCATCATGTGTACAACGTGAACACCCGTGTTTTTTGCATGATGTATTAGCAGTGTTCATTTCCGGGTCTCTGTGTCCAGTCTTACTACTCAAGTTGAAATTATGATTTACAAAAACATCTCGGCAGCGTCTCCCGAGCTTCTTTTGGTATAGGCACCTTCCGACCCTTTTGCTCGGCACAATGTTTCGTCGTTTCAAAGTGCCCCCCTCCCTTCCCTCTTTTTTGTTTTCCTTTGTGTGCGTGTAAGTTCTTGCGAAGAATCACTGTTTCTGCTTTCAGGGCGCCGGACATATGGTGCCTTTGGACAAGGCTCCGGAATCCCTGCGCATGATCACCAACTTCCTCATGAACACGCCTTTCTGAGCACGAGGAACGGAAGGATCCACGCAACAAATAAACTCGGGATGCCGGATATCACGTAGATGTAGTGTACGTTACGGCTGCTCAGAAACAGGAGGGGTGCACAAAATGGCGAATTCGGAGGTTTTACATCGCAAACCGACGAAGGAAGTCTGACACGCCCCTCCGAAGGACTGAGCATTAATTTCGGCCACATAGGGATTGTTTGACGTTCAACCGACATGTCGGTCGCTCGGCACCCTTACCACGATAAGCCGTCGGATTCGGGGTACGCCGCTTTGAAGTGTAAACTGTTCGGTAATTATGCGCATTACCACTCGCAGGCTGGCTTGGAACAAGCAAGTTATTACTCGTTTTAATCTGCCTAATTTTGCCGCACTACCCTCAAGTCGCACCTAGAACCACTAAATACTCTTCATGCCCGTGTCCCACTAGAGCGACATACGGAAACAAAAGACAACGACAAGCCTCAAACCAGAGCCTTTCGCGATTTGAGAGGCTTTGTAGTATAAAGGAGGCTATGCTCAAACACGAGCATCATCAATACCACCTAGAACACAAGGCCTGCGCGTTTCCTCCTCTAAACGTCATCACTAGTAGATCCCCTCAGCGCCCCCTAGCTAGCCCGGATGAGCAACATCGTCTGCTACATCGTCTGCTCCATCGCCTGCTTCAGTGGTTTGTGTAACAGAAAATGAAACAGATGCTCACGCCGAGTGTCTCCTGCAAATAGCATACGATGAAGTTAGACGTTCACGTGGAGCGTCGAATGCATGAGCGAAATTGCCTTACTGCTGCGCGAAGGGCTGAAAAGCCCTTCGTTGGACGCTGGACGCTGACACTGGACGCCATTTTCGAGGGCGCTGTTTATACCTCGAGTAGCTGCTTCGAAGCGTTCTACCGCAGAACGAGCGCGCGCGCTAGAAATGCACGCCTCAAAGCCAGGAGCGCGTGCTAGCTCGCGCTCCTGGCCGAGGGAGCGTTCGCGTGCACGTCGCAAATGCACTGGAAGCTCGCTATCAGCTCGCGCTCAGCAGTCACGCACACAGCTGCGGCCGCAAGTGAATGCGACGTAGTTGCGACGCGGCCCCTACTCTCGTCAAGCTTCGGGGTGTTTGCCGCTTGGGGCGGGTCGGGGATCTACTAACGAAACGTCATGAGGAGGCCTTGTCTTCTAGGTGGTATTGGCATCATCCACGCGAGGTGGCATTGGCAGGCTTGCAATCGCTCGTGCTTACTTCACGAGCACCGAACGACTAAACGCCTGCCAAAGGTACCATCGCGAGCATGCTGCATGGGTTTGAGGCTTGTCGCTGTCTATTGTCTCTGTTTGTCGCTCTAGTGGGACGCGGGCATCAGAGAAATATGGTGCATTATTGCTTAAGAAGGGATTATGAAACAATTGTTCTACTTCGCTAAATACTACTTAGAATCACCCCCTAGCTTTAATAATGGAATAAACTTGCCTTAAAATTCGTGAAATATGAAGAACATCGTTTATTCCCTCAACTCGGAGTCAGAAGCGGCCACGTGGCCTGGTACCTATCCTATGCCGCCAACGTTAATCATAGCCACGCGCTGAGGTTGGCAAAGTAGAAAACGCGTGCTGAGCTCCATGGCATTCTTAGGGTTCAGGTATTCTCATCACCGCAGTGGCTGGACACGAGCCACTACCCGAGTGTCCGAGCCGAAATCGAGTGCTCACGCATTCTTTGTGTCCAATCCATGAGCCGCGCTCAACTATCGTCAGGCGAGCGGTCTCGATCCCAAAATTGCGTCATCGAGCTTGGCGAAGGTAAGGCTGAAAAAAATAGTCCCCTTTTATCCTCGCAATTTCACAGTGACAAAGAATCTTCTGAATCAGTGGCGGTTTGTGTGAGTATATTTGGGCCAGACTATAAGACCAGTATGTCGCGACCAACCAATTCCTAAACATGTAGGAGCCCTACGTTTGGACCGACTTGGTTCTTCGTCAGGGGTGACTGTGGCCGTTGAGGAGCGGCGTTTTTCGGCCTTCTTTTAGGAGCGAAGCTCCTTATGGCTAGCCATGTCCGTATGTCCGTCCGTGTTCCGGCGTCGGGTGCTCGTGCTCACGAGCACGTGAGCACGTGCTCCCGTGCTCGTGTAGGGCAAAAAAAAAAACAAAAAAAAAAACCGCATCTCCACGTGGTGAATGATGTTGATTGGGGCGAAGCTCTGGTGGTGCTTGTCTGCGTAGACGGTGAGCTGCATGCAGCATGCCGAGCCTTTCGTTCGTTTTCATCCATGTCAGAAAGAGAATGTGTGGTATGGAACTTGGTTATACACGCATTTGAGCATTTGACCGTAGCGTGACATGGATGAAAACGAACGAAAGGCTCGGCACGCTGCGGCTCAGCGTCTACGCAGACAAGCACCACCAGAGCTTCGCCCGAATCAACATCATTCACCACGTGGAGATGCGGTTGTTTTTTTTTTTTCTTCTCTCAGGGATGTGGCGCATTTCGCGATCTTTATTTCACAAATATGGCGAATCCCGTTCACATACAATGTTGGTAAAGCACCAAGGCACCTACTTATGTTGCCTGGCGTCGTTTGAATGTGCCAGGACTCGATGGAAAGCCTATGTTGGTTAGTCTCTGCGTCGATAATGCTGTATTGTCGAAATCAATCCGGTAGTCTTTGACTTCGCAGTGCCCAGCGACTGCACCGCGCTCGTGGTCGAGCTTGCGAACGTCGTTTTTGTGTTGGCGTATTCTTTCATTAAATTTCTTTGTCTCGCCAATGTAAGTGGCTGGACAATCTGCACAAGGGATCTTATAAACTATGCCCTGCGTTTTTTCTTTCGGAGGGCGATCTTTTGGGCGGGGCATGAGTAACCCAAGCGTGGACATCGGCTTGTGGGCCGCGCTGATTCCTTCTTTGGCTAACACGCGTGCAAGCACCTCGCTTGTTCCTTTGATGTAGGGTACGCAGATGCGCGAGGTTGAGCGTGGCTGCGTACAGGCTTGTAGTTGCTGGTGTCTGTGATCTCGAGCTCGACGACGGGCAACGCGTTGGACAAAGGTGCTCGTGTATCCATTCTTTTTGAGATCAGCATGGACGGTTTTTTCCTTCTTTCTACTGTCAGCCTCGGACGAGCATATATAGTCCGCCCTAGACAGCAGTGTCCTAACCACCGATGCTTTGTGGCAGACTGGGTGATTGAATCAAACTGGAGATAACGTTCAGTATGCGTGGGCTTCCTGTAGACTGAAAACTTCAACTCTTCCTTTTCTCTTCTCACGAGCACGTCAAGAAAAGGCAAGGAATTGTCTTTTTCAAGTTCCGATGTGAATTGGATAGCCGGTTCGATGGAGTTGAGGTGTGAGAGGAATCTGTCCACTTCAGATCTTAGAAGGATGCAGAAGCAGTCGTCTACATACCGCACAAATATTTTGGGCGCTGTGGCGAATGACTGCAGGGCCTCTTTCTCAATGGCTCCCATGCACAGGTTAACCGTGGTAACGGAGACGGATGCGCCCATGGCGGTTCCGCTGGCCTGTTTAAAATACTCTCCCTTGACGCTAAAGTAGGTGTTGCTAAGGCAGAACTCAAGGAGGCGGCACAGTTCCTCCACACTGAGGGCGATCCTGTTGTGCAGGTCTTTGTCTTTTCGAGAGCCTTTCTGGCATTTGTAACTGCCAGGGGAACGCATAGGGCTCCTACATGATTAGGAATTGGTTGTTCGCCATATTTTAATTATTGTATTTCCCAACCAGAGAGATTTGTCTCGGATGTTTAGTTTCAGTATGTCTTTGCAAAGTCATGAACATTCCAACCCGATATCGTTTCATGACCCCTTTAAGATCATTTTTGACAGTTGTCTGAATCTTTATCTGAAGCAGCAGGACCTCCAGAAACGTTGAAACACTCCGTGACAGAGTAAAACGCCATTGTCTGTTTTCAACTTCGTAACGATCGCCGATTGCTCCCGGTCTGCACGAAGCACCAAAACGGCTGCGCCCGTAAGAAAATCCTTGAATATACTTCGTTTCAGCTTTGGTCCAGACGCAGCCGATGCTACAAGCGCGAGCATGTGGTCCAGAACAGTGCTTGCACTGCACGAGCGCGTGTGCTTGGCAGGGATGCTGAAAGCCCGGAGCTCGCGCTTGTAGCTTTGGCTGCGTCTGGACCGAAGCTGAAACAAAGTATAGAGTGCCGATACTCTAATCTATTCAGTGACTCTACACTCTTAGATAAAAGTAGTAAAGCGACAGTAAATGCAGCAGTTACTACCTCTGCATGGCTGCTATTACTACCTTTTCGCTAGCTGTTTCATCTCAAATATACGCCACGGGCAGTAATTGCAGGCATGGCGTCCCGACTGGTGTTCCCTGCATGCAAGCACGTGCAGCGCGATGGCAATCAGTTCATCGAACGGCGTTTCATCTACAGATTGTTTCATCGACAAATCGTTTCATCGACAGCTCAGATTAGCTTTTTTCTGTAATAAGCTGCATAAGACTGTCACCTCGAAGCGGCGAGTACGGGTCAGTCAGGCAGGTGGGTTAACATTTTTGTAATGTGCTGCCGCAGACTGGTCGCCACGAAGTGACGTGAACGCAGGCCCGGGGGGGAAGGGGGGGGGGGGGGGGGGGACGCGCACCCCAGTGATACATTGTGACGAAATGTCCCTACAGCGTCCAATTCGCGTAACGAGCGTCGGTGAAACGTTCTTGTCGACGAAACGCGTGTCCATGAAGCCTGTGCCCATGAAAAGTTATCCACAAAACAACTTTCGACGAAACGATAGGGACTCGCGGCCAGTAGCCTTGCTTGTAATCGTCAAGAAAGCCGAGATGGTAATCGTTACTACTTTCTGTGACTATGCAGTCGAAAGTATGGGCGCATGGGCACTCGAGCACATTGCACGCCGTTCGAAGCTGTGCACGAGAACTCTTCACTCTTCCGAAAGTGCCCGGACGTGCGGAGCTTTGCGGAGAAGTGGAAACACGGGCTATGAAGCGCAGAGGAGCAGATAGTTATATCGATTATCGGAAATGATTATAGCGTGAATGGTTTATGTTTACTACGAGATTAATTCCTTGGACCATTCGAAATTAATTTTAAGAAATAACATTAGTGAAACGACAACGAAAAGGGTAGTTATTGTAAAATTATTTATCGCGGAGGTAATCATTAAAAAGAACCGTGATTTAAAAAAAAAAGAAAGAAAAAAGACGGGTATAAAAGGAGGAAGAGGAACCGGTAGATCCAGTGATTGGTGTAGCGTGCGTTTGTGATTGTGTTTTCGTGTGCTCCGTTTGTGTATGTGATCCTTGTACGTGATGCGTTCAGCCGATTGACGACGCCTAGAGTGCGTGTGTAATCTAAAGTCTAGGAGACGCAATGTTAAGCGCGTGAGCAATGCAACTGCTTATGTGGCCTTTGAATTGGGTATTTGCTAGCGCCACCTATAGACCTTTTTCACAAGGGCGCCGCCATCTTGAATTGTCGTCACTTGCAGTATGAACGAAAACATTTGTTTTCCTGTCGCCACGCCACACGTTTAGGATACAAACGTAAACGCCACACATTCTCGTTTTGCACCCCCTGTATATTTTTTACTATTTACGGGCAGAAACGTTTTGTTATTTTTTCGTCGCCCATACCGGATACGCCTATTAGGTGGCTGGGGACGAGAGTACACGAAAAAGCTCTATAGCTTCTTAAACTATATATTTCTCGTGACAGTTAGTACGCATTTCTAAATCAGTGTTGTTTCTAGTAGGTTCTTGTGGATGAGGCTAGTTCCCTTTTACTTACTTCCTCGGTTATAGTAGCTGTTACTAACATGCCCGTTACTAACCGCGGCATGTACCACGACATGTCTTTATAAGAGTGTATAGTCGTGGCCTGGAACGTACCATGCTACAGGGCCTCTCCACTGCTGTTACAAACCGTAAAATATTGCTTTCAATTTCAGCAGCACTTATCTGGAGGTATCCATGTGATCAAGAAGGGTTTCTTTCTTTCTTTTTTCTTCATTCTTTCTTTTCCCGATTGACCGGGAGGTGGGCAGGGATTAAAGGCGTGATGCCTGACGAGGTCTCTGCTCCCTTTAAATTTCTAACACAGCAGTGTTGGGTATATACATAGCTTTTTTGCACACGGAAATAGAAAGAAAAGAAACTATAAAGTTCTACACAACTCAGAAAAAAAAACCAGGATCAATAAATTATTACACGATGATTTTTAACAAAGAATGATGAAATAAAATTAGTCAGAAACATTTTTTAACACATCAAAAGGGAAATATCAAACATGAACATGATTTAATAAATATAAAATACATACGTATGCATATCAGAACACAATGTCACTGCCTACCAGAAGTGTCTTTAGTCTTTTTTTTTTTAATTGGAGTGTATTGCAAGTAAAATGTATTGAACCTTCTGAATTGTTCAGGATTTTGGCGACTTGGAAGCTTGTGTTTGTCTTCCATAATTGGTACGTATTTTGGAGGTCGTCTGATTCTATGCGTATATAAGTGTGTGACTGGTTGTGTTTTCTGGCATAATCTCGAAAAGTTCTATTGTGTGTGTTATCTGTAAAAATTAAAAATAATAAATTTGGTAGGTGATATTGGCTGAACAGTGGTTCAGAAATCTTAAGGCTTACCTTTATAATTTTCAAATAGTCGTAGAATATTTTTTTTTGTAAGATGATCAACCTATTATAATCTGTTTCCAATGTCGTGCCCCATTCTAAAATGCAATGACACAGTTTGGAGTGAAATAATGCGTAGTATATATTATTTTATAGCCATAAGGGTATGCGATTTCTTATCGTAAAAATAAATCCAATGGCTCGGGATAGGTCAGAGCTCAGCTTATTTATGTGACTCTTCCAACTTCTCGATTGAACCACACACCAAAAAAAGATTTGTTTTGACACTTCATCTATCATTTTATTTTTCGAAATATATTGTCACCTTGGTATTGTCACACCTATTTACGGGAGTGAAAATTATATGTTTCACTTTTTTTTTAACATTTAGTTGTAAGGTATTACTTTGAAGCCACGCTAATAGATTGTCCAGATAGCTATTCGTCATAGATTTTAAGACCGCTTTAGAGGTTGAAGCAAAAAACGCGTCCGTGCCGTCAGCGTAAATGACAAGCTCAGGGGATCTCAAAATATTCGTGGTATCATTCACATAAAGAAGAAATAACAGTGGGCCCAAAATAGACTCTTGTGGAACACCGCACATTATTTTTAGCGCATTCGAAGAATTGTTGTTAATATAAACATACTGCATGCGATTTTGGAGGCACTTTTTTTTTTTTTTTTTGTATGTCGTGTTTTTGAAGTTTAATTAGTAATATATGTTGGATCGTATCAAAGGCCCTTCTAAAATCTAGTAATAAGACTAAGGTGTATAATCTATTTTCAATGTTGTTTATAATTTTATACTTTACATCTACAAGTGCCTGTGTATATGTATATGACTGCGAAGGTGCATGCAAAATTTTTTACCTTGCAATGGTGTGTCCGCCATACCTCCTAATTCCTTTATTATTGGTGCTACTTGGCTAAGGCACCTAGGGTTCGTGTGGCACGTGTTGGTCTCTGGAATATTTTACACCATGCAATGAACATGGAAGCAGGCGAACCTACACTCTTAATCTAGTTACACTTAGTCGTGCATATATGCACGACCTTGTGAACGGTGTTTACATCTACGTACACACAGGACAGAGCAAAGGAATACACAAAAAAAAAATACAAAGGTGAAAATAGAGCCACTTTGGACGCACGAACACTTCCGGAGTATGAATACAGATACTCCGCCGAAGAAGCGACATTTGGACGGTGAAATACAGGTGATATAACTCTATATGTATGCAAGCTCGTACACCCCGAAGTGCGAATGAGCGAGTGCGCTACGCCGGTACAACATGCCCTCCTAAATCAAAACAAGTCTGACAAATTCTGGGTTCTGCGCTACTTTCCTCTCACGGACTTTCGACAGACCCTCGAACACCGAGCGCAAACATTTGTTTGTCTTTGCCTCAGCGAGCCTTTTTCTTCGTATCTCTTTCTGGGTTAGTTCTATACGGGTGCACCTTCGAGCCAATACACTCGTAATCAGTGCACGTGAAAGTTGCACAGGGTCAGTCCGCTTCGTATATAGAAGATGAGAACCTGGTCCGGTCGTCCGACAAGCTAATCAACCCCCTCGACCGAGTCTGGCATCCTTATCGGGGAAGCCCAGACTCGACGGACGTTCGGTGTAGTCGCGCATCACGCACATTTTATCCGTCGCCTCTCTTGGTGTGCGTTATCGAAAGAGGTCGTATTGCTTGTTCGGGAAAGAAACAAAATCGTCTGACTCTTGGTCGGCAAGCGCTGTTGGAGAAAAGCGCCTTCTGAATGAGGTAAGTCCTCATTAACAACGATGTATTCAGCAGCGTCATCGCCACGGGTGCTGTAAACTCCGTTTCACGTTAAGTCCGTGCGCAACCAGCACTACACGATCTGTTGGAAACTATCAAGCGGTGCTAAAAGTTTGTCTTCATGGCGCTCGTTGTTTTTGTGCATTTGATATAACCGGCAAACTAATCTGTTTTCCACTAAGGTGCGATTTATGTTAACTGATCATAGTATCGCCAATGTAGCTACGGACGAAATTCAGGCCCGTTTCCCTGCCACTTCTATGGGTCGTCTTTTTCCTCTCACAATCCTCTGCTTTTTCGGCGGGGGAGAACTGGATAGGTTTTATTCTGCAGCGCACCCCGTTCGTAGCTCTCGGACGGTGTTGGCTATCTCCGGCGCGTGACAGGCGTCCTCGATTCGAAAGTCTGATTTGCGTGCGGCGTCGTAGCGAGCCACCACGATGCTCGCGAAAAGCCCACAAGCCGCTTAAAACTTCATAATGACGGTCGGGGTTGCTCTCAAGGGAAAGTTTTTGCGAGGTAATTACACTGCTTTATGAAAGTAACGCAGCGACTTAATTAATTTAGTTTTGGGAACACGGAACTCTAATAATAGTGAACTAGCCTTCGTAAGTAAAGTAGTTGAAACTGAAATAAAATTACATTTCTAAAGTGATTTGCTCTACTATACGGAGTATCATACGGTGTGCAGGTTGGTCTGCTCCTTGCATGCACACCTCGTACGTCTGTTTATCGCTAAATGCGTCTACGTGTTTCTGCTTCTCCCCGACCTCAGCCAACGGCAACGCGTGCTTGACTCCCTCTTCATCGCGCGTTCCCTGAGTGGTCCTCTTTGTTGCCCTTTAAGTTGGGAGGGGGGGGGGTGGGGGGGAGCCCCTTTGCTCCTCTTTAAGTTGAAGGGAGTACCCTTGCTCTCCTTTATGGGGGGGGGGGGGGGAGCCCCCTTGCTCCTCTTTAAGTTGAAGGGAGTACCCTTGCTCACCTTTATGTAGGGGAGTCCCCTTGCTCCTCTTTGAGTTAAAGGGACCACCTTTGCTCTTCTTTATGTGAGAGGAACTCCTTGCTCCTCTTTAAGTTGAAGGGAGTACCCTTGCTCTCCTTTATATGGGGGGAGCCCCCTTGCTCCTCTTTAAGTTGAAGGGAGTACCCTTGCTCTCCTTTATGTGGGGGAGCCCCCTTTGCTCCCTTCGACTTCCCCAAAAACCCCAGCACCCAATAGGAATGCATGATTTTTCTGACGTCACGGATGGGGAGGAGCATCCGCCAATATTCTTTCTTCGAGATTGACTTCCACAAAGCGCGAGCTCTTCCTGATTTTAATGCTCCTTAATTAATTAATTTATTTATTTATCACCTACTTCGGCCAGTGGGCATTACAGTAGGGGGGGATAGTACATGAGAAATAGCGCAGAACAGCAAAGTATACAGAATATGCCATACAAAAAAAAAATTTAAAAAAAACGATAGCCACATTACAGTGCTAACAACAAAAAAAAATTGATACAACAAAGGATGATGGGGGACCTTATATCAACACGATAGTATCAAAAAAGGAGCAAACAGAAGAAAGTTCTACTAAGGCATCCGGGAGCATATTCCATTCGTGGATCGTCTGGGGGAAAAAACGAATACTTTAGGACATCAGTCCTCGCACAGAATTCTCGATTTTTTTTTTTTAGAATTATCTACCCTGTTGGAGATGTAGGAAGGCGTTATACTATATTGTGACTTATTTAGACCTGTGTTCCCATATTAAAGATTGTTCAAAAACTTTAAATGTAGACATTTCCTACTAAACTGCAAAGATATCCATGCCAGTGTGCGCTTTATTTCTGAGGCGCTTTCACGGAAGTTATAATTATCTGAAACAAATCTAGCCGCTTGGTTTTTAATCCTTTCTAGTTGATTTATACATGTTTGCGTATGCGGGTCCCACACAATACACGCGTATTCTGAAATCGGTCGAACGTAAGAGAAATAAAGAGTCTCTTTCAGGTGTGCAGAAATTTGCCGAAAGTTGCGACGGAGGGAAAGTAACATGCCGCTAGCTTTAGAACATAAACCCGTGAAGTGATTATTTAATCTCAAATCATTGGACAACTGCATTCCAAGATATTTTGCCTCAGTAGCAAGCTCCGAAAGCTGGTTACCTAAAAAAAAAAAAAAAAAACTGAAGAAGTTACTTTGCGTTTTCTTGTAAATCTAACATGGATACATTAGGATGTATTAAGAAACATCTTCCATCTGTCGCACCACCTTGAAATGCTATCTAAGTCACTCTGTAGAACTTCAACATCAGTGTCTCCGCGTATTTGTTTATAGAAAACACACTTGTCCGCATACAACCTTATGGGAGATGTTTGTAATATCATTTATAAAAATTAGAAAAAGAAGGGGGCCTAAAACTGAACCTTGCGTTGCACCGGATGTTACGGCTACATATCATGAGTGAATTCCGTTAATGACGACGCATTTTCATTAATGGAATTGCTCATTCTGCCCTGATTGGAGCATTGCTTTCTTGAGGGCGGAGCCTCTTTGGTAGTTACTATGCTGCAACAAGCTGTTGCACTCTGCATACTAGGGTTAATTGCTCAGTGTACTTTCTGTAAACTGTGGGAGGTAGAGGACTCGTCTGGCGAAAATGCTTTTTGTTTCAACCTTCCGGGCTAGGCCAGTGAAAATGCAAATAAACTTCAAATTTTGACAGACTTTGAAGTTTTGACAAACGGAACCAGGGGCGGACATTTCCAGAGAGGGGGGGGGGGGGGGGGGGGGGGGGGAGTCAGGTGTTGGCAAGCTTATCAGCCGCCCCCCCCCCCTCCCCCCCCCCCCCCTTTCCCCGTTTCCACGCCCTGAAGTTTACACATGCAGAAATCAAGAGGGGGGTCAGGACGTCCAGACCCCCCTCTGAATTCGCCCATGAACGGAACAAATCTGGGCACGTCCCATTTTTTTCCCGTGATTAGTCGGGCGCCTACGTTGTAGTTTGCCATGACTTCCAAATGCCAATCAGTGGAGAATAGGAGTATGATTGCCGGAAAAAGCGTCGATGACATCGATCGAGCTTGGTTCTCTCTTGCAGATCTGGTGCGGAAACACGATGACTATGATATTCAGAGTCGCCACCTTGGCGGCTACCCTCCTCTTCCTCTGCCCAGTGCAAGCTCAGGGCTCACAGGACTTTGGGCGTAACGATGAAGTCTGGCAACTGCCGGGTCTGGCAAAGCAGACGAGCTTTCGCCATTACTCGGGTTACCTCAGGGTCGGGGGATCCCGTCTGCTTCACTACTGGTGGGTAACCCAATATAAACGTCTCTCTCTCTCTCTCTATCTTTTCTGCTGAAAGATAAAAAAATATATATATACTGAATGGCAGCCTGTGATGGCAGTCTGTAATGGCAGCCAATCATTCACTAAAGGACCTCGCTTCTTCAGGGTGAAATCTCTTAGCACTGAAATACCCAAGCATCTTGGCAAGACATAGGAAGCCATGTTCTTAGCGCAACGGTGGGTGCGGTGCTAAGTCGTCCAGGAGTACATTCCTTGTAAGCGAGGTAATTAATAATCGAATGATCAAGCAATGACGTGATCATCAAACTACTTTTGCCACGAAAGGGAAAATATGCCCAGCTCACCCCTCGGTATTCGTTTGACCTGTGCCATTTCGGGATCAACTGAATGGTAGCACGATGTATTAAATCATATACGTACATACTTTCGTTTCATAAGGTACGTGGAGAGCGAACGGTCGCCCGAAACCGATCCTGTGGTCCTGTGGATGAACGGTGGACCCGGATGCAGTTCTCTCCTGGGACTGATGACGGAGCTGGGACCGTTCCACATGGCCAGCGACGGCCTCAATTTGACGATGAACCCTTATAGCTGGAACAAGGCACGTTTCTTGTTTTTCCATCGAAAACACCCGATTTACTCAAGGATTGACCAGAAACACCAATTTTGAAGGACAAAGTAGTCCGAAGACCTTAGATTCCTTGGCCTGCATATAGTTCTCTTTGCGATTATTTTTTTTTGAACTGTCTCGTCGATCTTCGCGAGGTCGCGTTTTCGCTGGCAGCAAAGGACATCTTCGCATTAAAGCAGGCAGAGGAATATGATAAAGGACATAAAAAGAAAACTTTCAAGAAAAAAATATCTAAAGTCGTGGTTGCATTGCTAACACATCATTTCAAAATACAGCCTGTGGACACTGTCTGAGATTCTTCCTTCTGTGACGTCACATGCGTCATACAATAACTTTTAGGTGATCATGTCTGCAATGAACGCCGTTTTTTTTTTTATGATGTGGGGGCAGTGTAACTAAGGCTTTATTTCTTATGTCGTCGTAGTCGTGCTTGAGTTGTTGGCGCATACCCAAGGTGCCGGTTGACGAAGAATCAGTGCGATATAAAAGAGAAAGACGGAAGTCACCTATGTACTATACCGCGTGGGTCAGATGGATCGATGGCGGTTTGAAGGGACCGCATTAATCGGTTTCTTATATTATCGCGCTGGGATTTACTACAGAGGTGCTCGAAGCTGGTGCGTTCATTATTTGAGAGTATGAATACATGAAACCCCTGGAGTCAAAAGAAAACAAAAATGAAAACCTGGTTTTGTCTATGGAAAAATTATTGCTAACCAAGCCTTTTATCTCAAAATCATCAGAAAATCATTGTGGGCTATTCTGGTATACCTATTCGTTACTTCATTTGGCCTAAATAAGCGCCACAGTAACACATAATATTTTTAGTGTACATGCAAAGTATAGGAAAAACGAAAGCTTCCACCAGCTTCAGGCGCCTCTCTATAGTAAATCCTAGCGCGATGCGTTAAGAACCCTATCTATGTCGTCCTTTCAAACGGCCGTCGATCCCTTTGACCCACGCGGTAATTCTTGTCTGTAGAAACATTGTGCCTTGAAATTGAAAGGCCGAAACGTAATCGACTATTAACCGGTTCCTCTGTAGGTTGCGAACGTCATCTTCCTCGAAGCTCCAGCAGGAGTCGGGTTCTCGTACGACCCGTCTGGAGACTACCACACCAACGACGACCAGACTGCCGACGACAACTACCTGGCCGTCCAGCAGTTCTTCGCCAAGTTTCCCAACCTGAGGGACCACGACTTCTACATCACGGGCGAGAGCTACGGCGGAATATACGTTCCGATGCTCGCCTCCCGCGTGCTGCAAGATCCCAGAGGAATTCGGCTAAAGGTGAACTTTCCCGTAACTATACGAGCGGGCGAAGACCGTTTACAGACAGCAGGGTTACTACTACTGCACAAGCCCATTGCCAGCACTGACTCCGCTTGTACCTGATGTTTTGGCTTCAAGAACGTACCAACGAGCGCCATTAAACACTTTTTGAATGTAGTCTTGGTTGCAAATCGGTATAGCATTCTTAACAGTTTTCTTTTTGTACCTGCAGGGCATTGCTATTGGCAACGGCTTCCTCGATGCCCAGCTACTTGGAAATGCTCTTGTCTTCTTCGGCTACTACCACGGCCTCTACGGTCTCAGGTGGGCTGGTTTATCTGCATACGTTTTAAAACGGCATTGAATACGTTCATGCGGTGGCAAATTCCTCCAATTGAAGCGAGGGGTGCCACGGCGTGCACGATGAGCCTCTCGTTAGTCTTGACTCTTGCTTCGAAATTTGTTCTTTGGCGTTCGGCTAACGCAATTTTTAATATTCATAGAAGCTTTCATTGCACGTGTTTGCACCGGCAGAGCAAGTATCCTCACTCTGGGTTGTGAAAAAATTCCACCAGGCGACGACACCCAAACTTCTCGCCGCGAATACATCGCGCCTCCGCGCTGTTTTAATTGTTCTGCCAAGTTTGTGGGCGAGCTCGCTGTTTCAAAACAAGATGTCCCAAGAAGAAGATGTAGTCTAATACTGCAATTAAGGAATCGGTCTAAGATATTTCCTCACACAATGAGTAAAGCCCTGTAGCTGTTGCATGTCCATGTTTACGATTTGCTTGACGCTTGACTGTGCGCGTCTGAAGGCCGGTTCACACACCGAGTGGGCTATACAACCAAGCGCAAGTGTGTGTGTGTGTGAACCAGCCTTAACAAGGCGGCTATACATTTAAGGTATTCATTCTCGTTCTTAAACAGATTGCGTTCTTCTTTTCAGCCTGTGGACTCGACTGACAGAGAACTGTTGCAACGGAAGTGTCTCCCAGCATAGCTGTAACTTCCAGGGCCATGTTTCTGACAAGTGCAACGAGGCGGTAAATATAATCATACTTTTCAAGCAAAACAAATCGGTAGCGGTCTGTGAGCTAAAGATTTCAGTGTGAAACCTCACAACAATGATTAGTGCCAACATCGGCAATCGTACACCGCGCTACCGGAGTGCTATTCTTCATAAAATGCGGAGGGATACAAAGTATCGCGTTTTCTTAATAGTTGCACTCGGGTAACTCGAATTGCCCGTCGCGTTCTATACGTCTGGTTCGAACCCAGGTAAGGCGTATTTCTAGGGGGCAAGACGTATACTTCGATCTGTGTACTTTTGTGTAAGCAAAAAGAAACAGTGTGTAAAAATTGAGGGTGGGTTATTTGTTTTTACGTTAAGATGTGTAACGTGCAAAAACACACAAAACGTGAGCTCAGTTTTTACAAAAACTTATATGACATTTTAATTAGAAAAATTGACACAATGAAAAAAGTTTGTTTTCACTTTACGTTAATATTATATTCTCCTTTCGTGAAGCACGAGCGTTACTTGCGTCTGCGGTGTCACTGAAGCATGGCGACTGGCGCATTGCCAATTTGACGACTGTTCCCCGCCAGGTGGAAGAAGCGTCGTACGTGATCCGCGACGAAGGTCTGAACATATACAACCTCTACGACCGGTGCGAGGACCGCGACAATTCTTCCCGGCACTTCCGAGGACGTGGCCTGCGCGGAACGACGAGGATGGACCGGTCACGTGAGCTCATGCTCAAGAGCTTGAACCGAGCACTGACGGTAAGCGGAGCCTGGACGTGTTCGCCAGTAGGAAGCATCCCCGACATTCTGGTACTAGGGTGCCTGTGGTTTCGTTGTGATTGGAAGTAATTCGAACCACGGAGAGCGTTTTCAACAATAACGGCGGATATGCACCTCCTCTGGGCAGACTGATCGCAAGTGCGCATGCGTTGAGTTGTCGAGTGGCGAGGAGGACAGCGAGGGTGGAGAGGTCATCCCAGTGATATCCCCTACTGCCTGGTGATAGTTAGGGGGAGAAATATGGCTTAGAAGGGCGGGAGGAATCATATGTTTGTCTTTTCAGACTTAGGATAGATGGCGCAAGCTACCTCCCGTTACAAGGAGTATAACCATCATCATCCATCCATCAGAGACGCAGCAAGGCGGAGACGCTTGCAGATGATAAGACGCTTTCGACTCCTCCTCGAAGCTCGTATCGCAAAACTAGCCCCTAAACCACGCAAACCCGGTCGAGCAATTTGAAACACTCTGTCCGGAACATTCGTGCCCCGCGCCTTCTCTCAAAGATTGCAAACAAATCTCTCAAATATTCCAAAGAAATCCCTCAATAATAAAAAAAAAAGTTATAAAGTTTATTGGTTGAACAACAGTTGTTATAATTCCGAGAACTATTAACGGCGATATAACAGTGTCATTCACTGGTAATTAGAACCTCAGGAACGTATATACTTCTTATTCGGTAGTCCTGTCATTGGGTCCCATGAGCTACCTTCGCAATATATCGAATTTTTGCGCACCATACTGGAGTACCGTAAACGCCCGATGGTTACAGTAGCGTCAAATTCATAGCGCGTGTCTCAATTATTATTTAATTGTTTCCATAAAAACGTGTATCCCTCTGGGAAAAAAAACAACGAAAGCGCATTGTGCAACAACGTTGTCTATACTTTTTTTAAAAATTTTAATTGACTCTAATTTTTATAATTTTATTTGCGCCTGGATTGGATTTGGTGCTTTATTGACTGTTTGGGACTGTATATCAAGCTTTTTTCTTTTGATGCAATACAATGAACGTGCGGGGAGTCCTGTGAGAAACTGGCGCGGAACCCTTCGGTCTTCTGCAAGGCAAACGATCCCCGTAAACGTCTTTTCTTTTTTTTCTTTTTTCATACTGAGATGGTGCGGAGGAGGGAAGAAAGGGATTTACTAAACTGCGGTCACGCTGCTACTACATCACACAAAAGACAGTCTGCAAACACGTATTTCTTCCTTGTATATTCCTGCCCTGTCACACTGGTCGCACAAAAGCCGTCTGCAGATATATTCGAAGCGCACATATATGTACGAAGCAAACATGCTTGAGCCGTGTTGGCAGGTAATGAACTTTTTTCCGAGTAACGAGCGCCGTGTGGCGACCTGTCCGCGAACTACAAATGAAGGGCAACCCAACAGGACTCCCTCCGCTCGTCAAAACACATTGATATCATGCGGTTGTCTCGGTTATCATTGTTTTTTTATGCCCCATGCTACCGATATCCAGGAAAAAGAATCGTCAAAAAAGACGACATACGCGGAAAGGTAGGCTCTGACAAAAGTCGGTCCTGCGGGATGGTGCCCTCTGAAAATGGAGACCGCGGGAAGCAAGGTCAGGGGAAAGAATGTGCGCATGCGCAGAAGGGTTTTGGAAAAAGGTCTATTCTGCCATCATGTCTGCGGCGAGTACCGCGTCTTTTTGTATGATCTGTTGGCTGCTCCAGCGAAATCAACACCGCGTAGCGGCAGCGCCGGGAAGCTCAGGAGAGGAGGTCGTTCCGACTCTGCCCTCTGCTATCGCTGCTTGGTTCTCGTGGGCAACATAGAAACAAACATCGCCTCCAGGAATTATTTCTATGCTGCCGCCGTGCCATTCCTACGCACTGACTAGAAGAAGGTTTCTACCGTCGAAAAATTGCTTTGCTCTAATATGTCACACCGATTTTACGCTGAAGTGCAAGAAATTTGTGGCGGTCCGCGTGTTGAACGACGAAAACGACCTCCTTTCGTCCGCCATTTTGCCTGACCAGCGCGCCCCCTATAGTTCGCTGGAGTCGCGAATGGGCAGTGATACTCCGGCTTAACGCTCTCCACAGGGGGAAAGGGGACGGAAATGCATAATGCTCAAGAGAGATAGAGAGAGAGAGTGTGTGTGAGAGAGCAGAGAAGTCTTGAGAAAGGAACGACGAGCGTGCGAAAGAGACAGAAGACACGAGGTGTCGACGGATCCTGAAAACGGCACGATAAACGATGCAAACCGATGCAGCGTTGAGAACCGTTACTGCCTACTTGCGGCAGTTGCAAAACCACCGTTTTTGTTTTTTCCTCAGACTCCAAATTTACGGTTGGAACCTCCCTGCGTCGACGAAGAGACGGTCATCCGGTATTTCAACAGGGAAGACGTCAAGGTAGCCTTGCACGTCGACAAATCGCCCTTGAGGTGGAGCACGTGCAGGTGGGTCTAAAGTTTTCTCGGCGGCTGCAGACTACGATAGAATTGGTCGTATGAAGGCTTATACAGCGGAAAGTAAATCTCACTTCAAAATAGCGTGTCTACAATCTTGCTGTTTGTGTGTGTGTGTGTTTTTTGTTTTATTTAGACAGTGAAAAATTAGTCAGCCCGGGTGGACGTTTGGTGTTTCCGATGGAAAACTTAGCCAGTGTAGTACCACTGCTAGCCTGGGGTGTTTAACTTGCATCAATCCGTTAAACAATTTAAATAATCTCGTTGACCTGTTTGTACCCTCTGTCCATCTACGGAGCGATGATTGCAACCCATGGTATAACAAAGCATTAAGGTCCCTCAACAATAAAAAAAGCAATTGTTTTGAAGAGCAAGGCGTCTAGACCAGGACGGCTGCCTGAGATGCCTACTTTATGTGTCTTAACACCTACACTCGGAACCTTCGTCTGGCTAAACATAAGTTCTTTCCTAAGGATTTTTCTAGTATCCTGCGTAATAACCATAAAAGATTTTAGAAGATAATATTCCCTAACTATCGCTCCTCCTCTATCCAGCTAACCGTTGAGGACGGGTCCCCAATATCTGAAACGGAATGTGCCACAGTATTAAACGACTAGTTTTCGTCTGTGTTTACATTAGAAGACGCCGACGTCCCTATATTACTAGCATGTATACCGTACGAGTTTATGGAATCTATTGTCATCTCATGTGCTGGAATAGCGAAATTCCTTGACAACTTGAAATTGACATCCTCTGGAAAGACTGATGACATCACCCCCAAAATTCTTCACTATACCAAAGCAATATCTAGCGAATTTGTCTACCTAATACTCTCACAGTCAATATCGCAGGGATGCCTACCATCCGACTGGAAACTGGGTAAGGTTGTTCCGGTCTTTAAAAATGGGAATCGTTCTTCAGCTTCGAATTACCGCCGTATACCTCTAACATGCGTAGCCTCAAGACTTCTAGAGCATCTACTCAAACGTTGTCTCATCTTGAGCGAAATAACTTCTTTTACAACAAGCAACGCGGTTTTCACAAGGGACTGTCTTGTGAGACGCAGCTCGTAGTATTCACTCACGAGTTATACACTAATTTCGAATCCAACCACCAAACTGATGCGCTATTTTTGGGCATCAGTTTGGTGGTTGGATTCGAAATTAGGGTAAAACTCGTGGGTCCTATTTTTGGACTTTTCGAACGAAGGCTTTCGACCGCGTTGCCCACTGTCGCCTGCTTGCCTCAGAACTTTCATGTCTCGGAATTGACCCTCTCATTCTCTCATGAATCCAGGATTTCCTCTCTTCTCGCACTCAATTCAACACAATTAATAGTTCCTCATCCACCCGCGTTGAGGTTACCTCGGGAGTTCCCCGGGGGTCGGTTCTTGGTCCCCTACTTTTTCTGATCTTTATTAATGACCTTCCAGGCGAAATTTCCACTAACATCCACCTCTTCGCTGACGACTGCGTCCTATATCGCGCTGCCAGGTTTATTTTACCTGGCAGCGCAGAATCGCGCTGCCAGGTTTATTTTAAAGAAATACGATTCGTCAAATAGTGTATCCGCCATTAGGAGTGAGCTGAACCTCCCTTTACTAAACGTCCGCCGTAAGATATAGCGCGACTCTGTCTCTTTCACAAGATTTACTACTACCTCCCTGCGCTTCGAGACCCTCTCCTCCTAGCCCCCAGACGATCTTCACCCGTGTCACGTTTCCTGCATCTCAGGCAGCACAAACTATTTTAACTCCTCCTTCTTCCCCCGTACTAACATAGACTGGAGCGACCTCCCCTCACTTAATATAACCCAGACGGATCCCACCGCACTTCGCAACGCTCCTTGTTCTCATTCCTGTTGATCCCCACTGTGCCGTTCTAATTGTTTGTCTTGTGCTTACTGGTTACCATGTATCGTAACGTTTTCATCCCCTTATGATGCTACCCATGTACCCAAACTAATTTGTGTATTGTTGTTACCCGTTGCTCGGTGGCGATGGCCATGTTGTTTTGCAGCGCCCGTATTCGCATATGTTGTTGTTACTGTTTTATGCTCTGGTGTCATGTACCCCCCTTATGTAATGCCCTCAACGAGGGCCTTTAAGGGAACTTGAATAAATAGATACTCGACCGCACGCCGGTACGCTGTTCATCTCGATCCAAACGGACAGGGGTGGGGTTTGAGCCCAGAATCCTTAGGTTCTGCGGAGCTAGCTTTGGCTTCACGTGCTCCAAGCTGCGCTGCACTGACGCATTCGGTCACCGATCTTCCAACCTATGTACGTGCGGCGTGACCGGCAGAACAGGCATCTTATGTTTTTTCGCCGACAGGCGAGACAAAAAGAAGAGTTCGATATTTGATGACCCGATTTTCCGCAGTACGGCCTGATGCTTGTTCGCAAATATATATATATATATATATACTGTAAAACCCTTTATTTTCGCGGCCCCTATTTTTCGCGAATCGGTCACAGATGACATAATCGCGACCACTAAATTTCGCGAATTCCAGACGCCTGCATTGAAAATCTTAAGGCCACGGTCCCACTGAATGTGGCAGTTTGGGTACTTTTTGGCAGGTCATTACTCATCTCCTTTTATATACTGTTTTGTGGGATTGATGTCATTCGAAAGGCAATGCAATCCTCTTTCATTTGATATTATGTGTTTGTTGGTTTTTACTGTTCATGCGCATTTGTAGCGTTGCGAATATGATGGCGCGGACCCTCACTTGCTCCCCTAGTTCATGTTTTATGAACGATCCATTAAAGATAACACGGTTCCAATATAGCAGTTTTGTTAAGATGATGTCGGAGCAGAATTTAACGATACACTTTTTTGGTATTTGCAATACTTTGTTTTTTTCATCCCTCCAAATATTGCCCTAAAATTGACATTTTTTAGCACAAATATGTTTTTAATGACAAGTGCTAGGACAATGAAATTAGCTACAGATGTAGTGCTTATAATTGGTAATATGCAGAAAAAAATTTAATGTTGTGTAAAATTTTTTTGTTTAGATATTTTATATCAAACGTAGCACTTTTTTGTGCTTCGAGTCATGGTACTTCAAATGCCACTGAGGAAATAATTAAACTATGATAAAATCTTTTATAACATTTAAAGCTACAATGGTTGCCCAAGAGGTGGACGATGGCTTTTTTTCATTTTCAAAGTCATAACGCTCCTGGAGCCCTTCAAACTTACCTGTTTTTGACGTATATCTTTTTTGACTTCAAACAGATTTATTGGCATCTAATAACATTTATTGTTTTGAATAGATAAACATTGCGATGTATTAAATTTTCACAATGATCTTGCTTTGTTTTTTTAATAGGAGTAGAGCTTAGCTAATTTTAAAACAATTAAAAACTGTTTGGGTGTTTTGTTGCGCTACCTGGTGGATGGCGGACAAACTGCTGATTCCTAATGTTCAAAAAATTTCCGAGGGCGGCGTTGGCGTCTGTATCATCATCAATCACCGTGTCTTTTTGCCTCCACATTTAAAAAAATATATTGGAAGATTTACTATCGATAAATGAATGGTTTAAGTACTGGGTCAGGTTAATAAATCTAAGACAAATAATTACACTAGCGTAGCGTGATATAATGTCTTCATTATTCGATATGATTGAAATCAATAAGCAATAAAGACGAAGAGGAAAAGAATACACACGAGTTCATGCCTATACTTCGTTTCAGCTTCGGTCCAGACGCAGCCAAAGCTACAAGCGCGAGCTCCGGGCTTTCAGCATCCCTGCCAAGCACGCGCGCTCGTGCAGTGCAACCACTGTTCTGGACAACATGCTCGCGCTTGTAGCATGGGCTGCGTCTGGACCGAAGCTGAAACGAAGTATAGAGTCACTAAATGAGCTTAAATTATCGGCACTCCGTTCCCCAGAATTGTTGTGGCCTCCGCCATTTTGGGTCTTGTTCAGAGCAAACGCAACTGCCGATCGTCATGATCCAAAAGAACGACTTCATTAGATGCGGTGCTATAGGAAGCTGATGCAATATTGCAATGCTCTGTCGCGGGTTGTTTAAACATTAGTGAGGGACGGAAAAGCGTTTCCCGTGATTTTAGATAAAGCTTCAGATAACTGGCAACCATGATTTTAAGCCACAATATGTCCAAGTCTTTACTCTGAACCGTAGCTAGTTTACTGGCACAAGCGGGAACAATGAGGAAGAGGCAGGTGTCAAAGGGTAGTGGCTTCTGGAATCCACGGGGCTTACGTCATGGCCCCTCCAGGTATTACAAGCCTCTTGAACAAGAGTATGAATAGTGTCATTAAATAAGCTACGCTTCAGAGTAGTAAGACTTGGCCATATTGTGGCTTAAAATCATGGTTGCCAGTTATTTGAAGCTTTATCTGAAATCACAAGAAACGCTTTTCCGTCCTCCACTTAAACAGTTTGCGACAAAGGAAAGCAACATTAGATGAGCTTCCTAACACCGAATCTTATGCTGAGGATGTCGCACTTTTGAATCATGACGATCGGCAGTTGCGCCTGCTCTGCACAAGCACAAAAATGGCGGCGTTCACAGCACTGTCGGGGAAGAGAGTGCCGATACTCTAAGCGCAGCTCATTTATTGGCTCTAGTTCCCGCGAAACTCCTTTTCCCTGACTGAAACTGAAAGTAAATATGAATAATACACCATTCTTATAGCTTATTTAGTTACAACTAACTACACATAATGAGAGGAGGAAGTGGCCGGGTAGGAGAAACGCGGGTTTTATGTGCGACCGTTCTAACCGTCTCAAAAGAGAGAACGCGCGAGCTTTCGCTGGTTTAAAAAGGGCATCCAAAGAAAAGAGGCGGCACGCTGTGTTCTTAGTTATTATGCGTCTAATTGCAAATTGTTGTGTGTATGTTTATACAGCCGGAAGTTAGTCTGCCTTAGTGGGCGTCTGGTGTCTCAGCTGTAGATGAGCAATTTAGCCAGTGCGGTACAACCGCAAACCTGGGGTTTTTAACGTGCACCACGCTGTACGGATACACGACCGCACGCCGGTACGATGCTCTTCCAGATCGAAACGGGCAGGGCCAGGTGAGTTCTGCAGCGCGAGCTTTCGCTCCAAGTGCTCCGAGCTGGTGTGCGCTAGACCATGTATTCGGCCACCGAGTGCATGGTCTAACCCCCCGCCCTTGTGCGTCTAATTTATATACAGGTATAATAATTTGAAGATCGACGATGGACGTCGATCGTCTCGAGATAATGTAACGTAATAACATTATAAAAATAATAAATTTGTTGAAGGACTGAACGGCTTAATTTTTCAATTCTTGGATTGTAATATGGCGGTAGCCTATTGCACTTACTGTTGATGAAGAGCAATATGAGGTGAGGAGGTAATTATCAAATGATGAGGCTCTATAAGGGCGACGACATTAGTGGGTGTCGAACCACAACGTACAGTGCCAGACTTGTTTCAAGTATCGTGTACCCAAAGACTTTCTTCACCCACAACAGAATATGGTAGAATCAATCAGGATGCTGCTTTACAACTGTACGTGGAACAGGAAAACTGCGCTATGCAAAGTGCGGCTTATTCGTTAATATGAGGGACGGATTTCTAGCAGCATCCCCTGATAGACTAAATGGCCTCGTTGACGTAAAGTGTCACCGTTCCAAAAGATTCTTGAAGTATACTTAACCGCAAAGGAGTATGAGGCGAAAAATAAGAAAAAGGAGCCTGGTGTGAAAGGTCCAAATCACCACCATAGCTTCTACTATCAACTACAAGGGCAGTTACACAATACACAAAAAGAGTTTTTTTATTTAGTTATATTTACACTCAAGGGCATTGATATCCAACGTATTCAGAGGGATGACACCTTCTGGTCAACCCACAAAGAGCCTTTTCTACTCAAGTTTTACATGGAAGGCCCGACTTCCGCTGAAATTCCTCACGTAGACGAGTTGTCCGACCGAATTAACTGCCATTACTCCCAATCTGGGAATCTCTCAATCTTCGTTCGTAGGCCATAGTATCATGAGATCGAGGGGTGTGGCTCTTCGTCCGCCGAATATTTCTTCGGCGGGTGTTTTTGCCGTGTAATATGAGACCGTCGCGTACTCCTGGAACAAGGACCTGGCGATTTTTCACTGAACTGCTTCTTCCGTAAGCATCAGAAGGGCTTTTTTTCGTTTCGCAAACCATCTGTTCTGCTTGCCCGTTAGTTTCAGGATGTATGGTTCACTAATGTAATGCCTGATGCCGGTTTTTTTTCTTCTTTTTCAAAAACTTGTTTATTTTATTCGAAGGAAGATTTGGCGCGTTATCCGAGAAAAGTATTTTTGGTAGGGCAAAAGTAGGTAAAAGAGAGCGTAGAACGTCAATGACGTGTTTGGACGTCGTGGCAGGGCAGGCATCGTATAAACTTCCAGCCACTTAGAGTACGCATCGACCATGACTCCGTAGATGCGGATACGTTTCGCCACCCACCGACTGAATAGTGGATCGTTTTCAGTTACTGCTCATGATGGCGTTGGACTGAAGGAAGACCGAGTTTTTCCAGTAAGTTTCTGAAAACTATAATGTAACAACCTTAACAACATCTTCCGGACCCCGTGAAACACAATATTTCGTGACCTTATTTCAGTCGTCATTAAAATGGTCAGGTAAGTACCGTAAATCGCGAAGCAGTTTACTTGACGTCCGCTCCAACTGGTGTCTTGGAAGATTGAGTCTACTGAGCGTGCATTCCTGCAGAATAAATTTTCATTGATAGAATATTGACACGTCAATCAACATTTGATTCCTTCTTGGTAGGATTTATTGCGAAAGCCCGTTACAACCGCCGAACCGCATCTCCCTATATCAGAGAACAATTTATACCCACCCTGACATTCTCGCATACATCCGTTTGCTGGGCCACGCTACTTGAGCTAGCTGAGCACAGCTGGCAGCGGCGCGAGCAAGGCCACGAGGGGAACGTGATGGTGCTCGAGCCATCCCACTGTGAACCAATGTTCCGGCCACCCCACGGGTGCGTGTCGCCATCTATTGGTTGAACTAACGCCTTGTTCAAGATGGCTGCCGTGGGACCGCAGCCTTAAGGACCGAAATTTTCGCGCGCCCTTAAATTTCGCGAATTCTTCAATTCGTGAAATTCGCGAAAATTGAGGGCTCGCGAACATTAAGGGTTTTACAGTATATATATATATATATTTTTTTTTTTTTTTTTGTGACAAATCTAGGAAGCTCGAGAAAAAAACATAAATAGGTCGCTGAAACAGTCTATCTGACATGTCTGCGAACACTGTTTGTTGGTTGCTGACAGGGAACGGTTTCGATGGTGTTTCTGACCGACAATTTGTTTGCGTGTCCATGCAAGCTGTCTAAAGATTTTTTTTTTTTTTTCAGTGACGTGCTGAAGTACGAATCGCAGTATGAAACCATGAGGCCTGTGGTAAAAGAGCTCGTAGACTCCGGCACCTTGAAGACGCTCATCTACAACGGGGACGTGGACATGGCGTGCAATTTTTTGGGAGACGAATGGTTCGTCAACACCCTGGGTTACGCCGTAAGTTCGATACTTCTTCGCCGGGTCTGGTCGCGTAAAGATCTATTTTTAGGAATTCACAGACTGTCCGGTAACTTTCTAAGCCATAAGGGTGTAGCTCTCAAGTTTGGACAAGCGCCTCTGCCGAGCAAACTAGAATATTCTTTGTAAGGTGCCTTTCTCTTTTATATATTTAAACATTTTTTTTTTAGATCTTTAAAACGTTCTAGTCACCGCACTTAAATGCTGACACACGCTTGTAAATGACCGTGGTTCGTGCATGATTGAATGCTGCAGTGCCGCTTTATGTTTGATTCTACGTGGCTGCGTCTCATGAGCACTCTGGCCGAGAGAAACAAGCCTAGCACTCCCCCGCTTCCCCCCCCCCCCCCCTTTTCTCTTCCTTTTTTTTTTTTTTTTTTTTTTGCAACCCTGGAGAGTGGTAAAACAGAAGGACAGGATATTCATGGAGATTCGTGTTTTCCTGTCCTTCCGTTTCCCCGCTCTGCAGCGATAAAAAAGAAATGTCAGTATTTCACCGGCACGCCTGCTTTCTTGCTTAAACTTTTTGCCGCCCTTTCTCGTGATGGCTGCGAGCGAGGACCATTTGCCCCAAATTTGCTTTATGCGCTCCGTGGACTGTCTTTCTCTGCGTGCGAAAATGGATTGTTTCCTCTCCCAACATAAAACATAAATGGATATAACGAATGATTTTCAGCCCTGCTGCCGATTTCTGTAAGTCGGCATATACCGGGTGTTCCATTTTAATTCGCAATAATAATCTACTCATCCACATTTTGCCACTTTGAACTTTGCACTTGCTGCACGATTGGTAACTTTGGTGCGCCTTCCAGTTTCAACCGAGTTTCATGTCGTTCTAAATTTGATTGATACAGTGGTTTTCGATTATGCTAAGCATGTTCCTGTTTGAAACCTAATGATTATTTTGACTAATTAAAAAGTGTATTAAGAAAGTTTAGTTAATTATCAGACTTATCGCAAAGATTAGCCACCTATATGATGTCCCCCCGGCCGTGTAACTCGCCTGCGCAAACTTTATTAGTGCATCTTTTACGGATTTTTTGTAATAAATCTGTTCAAAATGAAACGAAACACCCGGTATATGTGGTAAGCAGACACGTACAGGGTCACACCCATAAAGTTAATATAATATACGGTAGAGGTTCAACTGGCGCGTGCTCTCGCAAATTGAAGCCGACAGCAACCAGTCAGAAATTGACTTTAGTAATGCATTTCTGTGGGAAAAAGTGAGTGCATTTTTCTTCCTCCGCTCGATTAAAAAAGAAAATATCACGAATAATGTACTGGGTATATATTGGAACATTTCTCAGTCACGGAGTCAAAATAATTGATAAGTTACGGCTTTTTATTTGAAATTCGTGGCATGAAAAACGGTGCTAAAACCGCTTCGTACATGTTTATATTTATGTATGTCCACTGTCGCACACTGCTAGCGCGAACACGGCCTCGGCGCTTTTCAGCATAGGGGGATATACGTGCCAACGAACGAAGGACATGTGGGAAACCAAGAGACACGACAAGAACTACGCAGTAACACTGGATAAGTAACCCCTTGTGCATGCAGGCGATCAAAATGAAAATAAATAAGTATAGTGCTTTATTTTATCTTTTTTTGCTCATAAATATGTGTGAAGATGCTTGTTTTGGCGTCCCAAACATCACCCACACGCTCGAAATCTTTGAAAATGCGGAAAGCAAGTCGTCTGCTTCTTGCACGGGAGTTGCGGTGACGTCAAAACAACGCCAAGCTCTTATTGGCCGATTGAAAAAAAAAAAAAAAAAAAATAGTGGGTAGACCTCAAAGCACTTAGCATTGAAGTCTACCCACTATATTTTCGATCAGCCAATCAGAGCTCGGCGTCGTTCTGACGTCACCGCAACTTCCGGGCAAGAAGCAGACGACTTGCTCTCCGCATAGGGAGAAGCCGGAAAATAAGTGCCCGACCGACACGCTGTTTACAAACAAGCCGGCGTTTGCCCACACCAGGTGTGGGCACTGCGCGTGCGCAGAAACCGAATTCGCGTGAAGGGAAGCGTCTGCGCATGCGCAGTGCCGTCGACAGCGCCACCGCAGCTGCGTGACGTCAGGGCCGCGTGTTGGTCTATAGAAAATAATACAAGAGAGACACCTCTCATAGCCCACGTACTTTATTTTTTAAGGTTTTGGATGTTTTTAACCGCTCGTAAAGATGCTCGACAGTGTCATTTCTATAAAGTGACAGGACTGGCATATTGGCGATATGTAAGCGTCACCGGAATACTGGCGAACCTTGAACACGCTCTATATTCCTTTCTGTTGTTATTTCTCTTAGAATCGTCGCTTGTTTTTACACACCTGCTGTGGAAAACAGGCTTGGGTCTGAATTATAGCGAAGTTAAAGGACCCATGAAACGAATTTTGGGCTGGAGTAAATCAATTTATATTGGGATTTTACTAATAGCACATCGTTCAGTGGGCCAAAAGAACAAAGGTAGAAAGTCAGAAGCCTGACTTTCGCTACAAAAATTTGCAAAACATAGCGGACTATTTCGTACCTCCTTCCCTTCGTAAACTCTCCGCCTTTTCACTGTGATACATCCGCGGACCCCGCAGCGCGTCACCGGGCTACTAGCCACCATAACCGGGCCCCCGCAGCGCGTCACCAGGGCCCAAGCGCACGTCACACGACACCGGACCTCACTTAATCCCTTTACCCCTAAGCTGACATTGCGGTGAAAGCTGCGCGCTTGCCGGACCAATCAGCCGTCTCCCTTTCATCACCTGACCTCATTCTCTGCGGGTCGGCATGCGCGAGAGAGCGTGATCACGTGGAAAATGTGTGGCTGGCCCAACGAGCACGTAGCTTCCACAGCACTGTCAGCTTCGGGGTGAACGGGGTGGGGAAAGCAACTAGTCGGAATTTTGAGCGACGGGCTAATCTTCTAGGGGGACAATGGCTGTGTCCGGGCTACACAAGCGAGATTCCGAGCAAGAGGGGACTCCCCCCTTTGCGACTTCTTGAACTGTTTCGTACAATGCGCGATTTATGAGTTGAGGAGGAAAGCTAAACAGAAAAAAGTTGAAAAAGCGTTTCATGACTCCTTTAAACATCGTTGACTGATGAAGAAAAATGCGCTAACTAAAGCAATTACATTTTCACAGTGTTAATAAAGGTACGTATATAGTATTCGGTACGACCCAAATAACAAAAAGTGTTTCATGTTATTTTCCGGCAAAGAGGCAAAATTCTCACGCGTTTTCCCATAGGAATGCACACGAGCACCTCAAAAGTAGACTGGTTGCTGTCTGCTTCGATTTGCGTCACGGAAGTCGCATAGACACTAGCGCCACTTGAGCCTCTAGCGTACATAATAACGACTCCATGGTAGCACCAGGCAACAATTAGTGTTTGCTAGTTTATTTAAAGTACAAAAATTACGTTTCTGAAGCCCGCGACTCGATTTTCCCGACTGGATTATCCCAATTTCTTTCGATAAAAGCACGCAATGTTTTGGCCTAAAAAGTAACGTTTTGAGTAACCTCCCAGAAACGCTCTGCGAAGCTAGAAGCTGCTCTGAGAATTCCTCAATTTTCAACTCTTTCGTTTAGCCTCGCACCCAGCCACGTTGTCCTCCTATCCGGTACGCGTTCCAACAAAAAGCAAGAGATTACAACTCCGAACATCTAAAAAAGTACAGAAAGGTCAAGACAAGAACGACTGACGGTTTCAATTAAAATGTTAATTGAAACCGTTGAAAAATGTTAACACGTTCTACTGTCGAGGTGAGAAGAAAGCGATGTTTTCACGCATACCGGAAGTTCCAGAATTAAAGATGGCGGCACCCACGTAGAAGAGGTGTGGCGGCGGATAAGACAAAAGAGCACAACGGTCGATGTAGTTGAAAACCACTGACATATCACTACCCGGTAGATGGTGAAAACAGAAATTAATCTCGTAGCTTTTTATAGCATATACGCTCCAAGAGCGTAAGCCCCGATCCTTTGCTAGCTCCCTTTTCCCTCCCCTTGGTCACTCGAAGTTTCACACCTGGACTGCCCAACTAATACCACGGCCACATATCATAGTTCATAGAGAAGACAATCTGCAGATGCTAGGGAGTTTTAGGGAACCGTTTTCGCACATCCAATATGGTACAATGGGCTCTCCGGTATGCACTGCGCATGCGTGAGTCTTATGCGGTAGCATATGCGCAGTTCGTACCGGACGGCCCATTGTACCGCATCGGATGTGCAAAAAGGGTTCCCTAAAATTCCCTATTGTCTCGGACGTGTTTCTTCCTTGCATGACGGTCTGAGGTCGTGCACAAAATGTCCGCAGACACGTTCGAAGCCTACATACGTATATGAGGAAAACGTGCTTCGAAGATGAGAATTCTCTCGTCTTGTCTACAGCGACCACCGTCTCCCTTGTACGCGTTGTTTACGAGCGGGTTCTGGCTGCGGCTCTAGCGCCGCGTTAGTTTCGAAACTGTTTGTCCGCGGTCTTACTGTAGTCGAGTTAATACGGAGGAGTCTGACGTGAGAGTTGGCACTTTATTGTCTCGATTTCGAGTTACAAGACACGCTCAGTTGCATATATACCGCTTAAGAACTTGGTCTTTCCCGAGATTGACGACGACGAATGTATACAGTGGACGTCGCCTTGTTCGTTTCAGCCAACATCCACGTACAAACCCTGGAAACACGGAAAACAAGTGGCCGGTTTCTTTCAGACGTACGAAAGAAATCTCACTTTCCTTACTATCAAGGTGAGAACAGCTGTGACGGACCTGTCCAATACCACCTAGAAGAACGAGGCCTGGCCCGCCGCTCCCCGAAATGTCGTCCCTGTATGGATGGATGGATGGATGGGGCTGAACCCTTTGAATCGGGTGGCGGCTAGCGCCACCTAGCCAGTGGATCCGCTATAGTGGATCGTAGCACGCGGCGACGCCACATCTGCCGCTTGGCAGCGTACTCTCGTCAGGCTTCGGGGTGTCTGCCACTAGAGGGCGGGTCGGGAATCCTCAAGGGATGACGTCACGCGGAGGCCTTATGTTCTCTAGGTTGTATAGGCCCGTCCGATCCCTCTTATTTATATTGACAAAACCCGTTTCCAAATATTTCAGGGTTCCGGCCATATGGTTCCCCAAGACAAGCCCGCACACGCCCTCCAGATGATCAGCAACTTCCTCTTCGGAACGCCTTTCTAGAGCAGCTGATTTTGCTGCGAAATAATAGAGAAAAAAAAAAAATAGAACGTGAAAAGAATGTTTTGTATTGTATGCCTACAAGTGTGGCGAATAAATTTAGGTCGTCACCAGCTCTTCACTGATACGACTCAGCGCTGCTTGATACGAACGGAGTCGTATCAAGCAGCGCGAAAAAGCGCACCGTCACGGCGCCCATCATCTTTGCGCGTTCGCCATATCGCCGACTCAACCCAATCACGCACGGTGAAGGAGTCGCGATCCTGCACTCTTTGTTTGTGCGCGATTGGTTGAGAGCCTGGTGATAGCATGTTGAATATTTGAAGATCCTTAACAACTTATCGCTTATTCCAATTGCCGTACACCTTTATTAATAATAGGTACTGCGAAAGCAATCAACAACAAAAAAAAAGTATATATATATTCTACCCTTTTTTGTTTTGTTTTACTATGCATATATTACTATACTGACAGCTTGATAAACAGGGGCATGACTCGCGTTTATAATTCATCCGTCGTTACTCCTTTTCTGGCGTTGTACATTGTATTATTTATTTATTTATTTGTCTATTTATTTAAATTCCTTAAGATACCCTTGGCGTCAGGGTATCATAAAGTCGCACCCTCATTAGCTATAAATCTGCACTTTAATTTGTTTAAATACCCTGCCTTTAAAATACACATTGAGGCTACCAATATAATAATAAAAAATTAAGAATACTTTCTTTGAGTTCCCTCCTTAGTTCATTCTGATATTGAACGAATTTACGTAAGATAAAAAAAAAAACATGGATTTTTGCGTATAACTATGAACCTTGACACATTCGTTGGTGTTAGCAATGGGTGCTGAAGCAACGCGGCCTACTAAAATTTTAAATAAAATAAAATAAAAGGCGTCAATGCGTTTTCATTTACAAAACGAGCGACGGGTAAAAGGAAAGGGTATCACTACGACGACCAGAATTGATATTTTCTGCGAAAGAACAAATAAACAGCACGACGCGTTGCAGTTTCGTGATACCGGGAAAAGTCGTGTAGCCCTTGGAAACAGTTAAAACTTCATAAAACATTTTTTTTTGAGCGATACGCAAATACAAGGGCGTTTAAGGATCACGCACAACTTGAACTAGAATATGACGACAAACTAAGTTGCTTGGCCGCGATGCCGATCCTAAATGAGATAAGTACTGTTCTCAACCGAATGGACCTTTTTATTTTTTTTTTGGACACCCAAAACCAAGCGACAGTGGCGGTAAAAAAAAAATATATATATATAATTGTTAACGTAAAAAAAAACAAAAAAAAACAGTAGTTTGCCGGAGTCTTCGAGAATATGTATTTTTGTACAAAATTGTACATGGTAGAATACGTTGCCATAACTTAGACTGCGCTGGGCTGTGGGTTTTCCCGTCAGAGGGCCGTGGCAACCAGCGTAGGCGTGATTCCGGGCGTTGGTAGCGGCTAGCTTACCGCGTTTTTTTTTTTTTTTTGTGTTCTATGATGAATAGCATTTCTCGAGGTTTTTAAGAAAGCTTTGTACTATTTTGGAGAACAAAAACAAACAAATGAAAGCTACTTTTGGTGAGCCCGTGTGCGATATAACAAACGCAACTGGAATGTTTTTTTTTTTTCATTTTATGTTGATTTTTTTTTACGACATCATATACTCATCCGTGTCAACATACGAAAGTCTTAGCTGTCTAAAATATTTGACCCCACAGGATAGCCGAAATGCTTGGGTATTCCTCGCTCACATGAAATTCAACGAGTCTCATCAATCGAACATCATATATTGTGCGGATCCCACGGTGTCGCGTTATCCAAACAGGATTTGAGAAAGGTTTCAAACAACACCGCATATCTAATATACAGTATCGACGATCGTCACTTTACGACGAACGGGAATCCGGCTTGTTTTGGGGCACGTTTGGAAGAGAGCTGCTTTTTTTTTTTCTTTGCCCAGAACCAAAGCAAATGAAGGAACGTGTGAATTCTGTCCCGGCCCGACCCTATCAGCTATTTTTCGCGAAGACCAGGGATGTGGCAGACGCTTGTTCGGCTGCAGGTCGTTCTCCAGTTTGACAGACCACGGAAGATCCGGCAGCCAGGAGTTGGGACGCCGCGACGACAGCGACGCTCGTGTTTGCCGGCGCTTTTAGCCTGAGCTTCTACGACCAACCACTAGGATCGCGACGTGCAGCAGCATGTCGCGACTGCGGTTTTTGTGACGTCATTTGTTTCCACCTCGGGACCACTTTGGATGCCTGGACGGAATAGGACCCTGAACACACCAGTCGGAGACGCGCCGGTCATCCTAATAAAACTTAGCGTCAAAAAGTTGGAAAACACTAAACTAGTTTGAGCTTCAACCCCTTGCAGGTTCATGACTCCCTTCAAGACCACTACCGATACCTGCATTTCCTTCGTCATTATTTTTTTTTTTCGTTGTAGTCAAGAGTACATCTGCGCGAGAATGAAGCAGACAAGGTGCGGAGCGCAACCTTGTCTGCTTCTTTTGCAGGGGTTGTGGTGACGTCAGAACGCCGAGATCTGATTGGTTCTGAATGAAGGATAGTGGGTAGACCCCAAGGCAGTTTGTTTTGAGGTTTATCCGCTATCCTTCAGTCAGAGCCAACCAGAACTGGGCGTCTTTCTGACGCCACTGCAACTCCCGCAAAAGAAGCAGACGACTTACTCTCCCCAATGATTTCCCACATGAGGTATGCAACGTTTGATATTTTGTGCTTGTAGGCATTTCCGGCAAAAACGTTGCCGCAGGTTGCAGTGGCCAGGATATATACGCCGCTTGGCGCGCGCCGGAAAGTATATGCTTTCAAGTCCCAGCGCGAGCTCACAGTAGCATTGTCGCTTCGCACGGCAACGCTGTGCAAAAAAAAAAAAAAAAAAAAAAAAATGAACGGCGGGTTGAAGCAAACATGTTTGACCCACGCTTGCTTTGTACACTTTGGTGTACCTTCGAATATGTCCGCAGGCAGTTTTTGTACGACCAATGTGACCACCAACCAATGAAGAAGGATGCATGGATGGATGTTAATGGCTATATCCTTTGTAACGGGCGGTAGCTTGCGCCACCTAGCCTAAGTTTAAAGAAAAAACACGCCTTAGACAATGTCTGCAGACTGTCCCCTGTACGATGCATTAGCAGTGTGAACGCTGCTTAATGTTTGTCGCCGTGGTAGCGTTGACCGCCTGAGAAAGCACCTCGAGACGCAACCAAAGCAGCATGCAGCGCCAACACTTTCGCCAACAACAACGACGACATCATATTTTCTTTATTTATTTTGTTGCAACGCCCAACGGTTGCGATATTGACCGCTTCAAAATACCAGAAAAAGACGCTTGGTCTCTCAACCGTTCCGAAGTCGTCAAATGAATGTCGTGAAAACGAGGTGTCGTGAATGAATGTCGTGAAAACGAGCTGATAAATAACAGAATACGAAATTTTCTAACATCTTTTTCGGCACTCTCGCCAGCACAGTACGGGTTTCAAAAAGGCAAATCAACTGAGCATGCACTATTGCACATTAAAAATAAGATTCTAAATAATTTTGAAAACAAGTTGCTTACACTTGGAGTATACTTGGATTTCCGAAAAGCGTTCGATAGCATCAATCATGACGTCTTATTACACAAATTGCCTCACTATGGCATTAGGGGAAAGGCCCTAGCTTTAATAAGTAGCTTTCGGCAAAATCGCGAACAGTATGTACAAATCAATGGTATTTGTTCCGACCACATGACACTGAAGTATGGGGTTCCGCAGGGTTCCATTTTAGGACCGTTACTTTTTATTATCTACCTTAACGACATAGTCAACATCGCAAACTCTCCAAGTTTAATTATGTACGCCGATGATACCAGTCTCTTTTTTTCTGGCACTACTATTGACGTCATTGAACGCGATGCAAATGATTATTTACGAACTTTAAACAGCTGGCTGGAGGCAAATAAATGCAACTAAACACTAAGAAGACAAAATGTATGCTATTCAGGGAAAAAAAAAAATTGCCAGACAACCACGATTGAAAATAAATGACTGCACTATAGAACAAATATCTGACTGCAAGTTTTTAGGTGTATGGTTTAATGACCAATTATCTTGTACTACACAAACCATGAACATCAAGAAAGAGTTATCTAGAGCTATAGTAGCCATTTATAAAACAAGGGATATCTTGCCTACCTGGCTAAAAGTACAACTATATTATACTTTGTTTTATCAAAAACTGTATTATTGCTTTCTAGTATGGGGGTACCACTTGCAAAACAAACTATAATGGGCTCATTCGTTTACAACAACGCAGAATACGAATTGTAGCCAGCGCAAAATACGATAGCAATGCTAATGAATTACTTGAAAAACTTAACATCTTACCGCTCAACAGGCTATACCACTATAAACTTGGACAGCTAGTTCATGCAAAAGGAATAAATAGCTTTGATTTAATTCCCTCAAATCTAACGGACTATAACCTAAGGGCAAAGTCAGCTTATAAACTACAACGAACTAGAACGAATTACGGCAACCAAAAGATCAACACCCCAGCTCTTAAACGCTCTAGGCAACAACGTATTGCTCGCCGGCACCACAGGGGATTTTAAAAAAACAGCTTCGCTCCTTCTTGGTCGAACATGAAATACGTATTATGTAAATGTACTAATGGTTTTTACTTTTGCCTGCATATGTTCTTATTGTTTTAAAGGTGAATTATGGGCAAGGAGTTTTTTCCTGACCATTTTTTATTTGTCACTATTTTAGATTGTCTTTGTGACTGACGACCGTAAAATATATCGTACTTTTTAATCGTGTAATGCTTTCCATACACACGCATTATACTTATTTTTCACACTATGTACTTTATACTATGTAATTCATACTTATACTCATTTCTACATAGTATACTTTATAGGCAATTTTTTTTTGCTGTCTTATTTCCAGATCGTGTTTCTTCTCTATCACTCCCTGACAATGTCTAATGACGGGCGGTGTGATTTATAGTGCTTCCTGGTGTTGTTTGTACGCATATGTATTTTTTCCTTGTATGATGTCTGAGTGTTATCACGATGTTGTGTTACTGTGGGTTTCTGCATGCGCGAATTCTTTTTTTTTTTTTTTTTGCTTTTTTGTATTTGCCGCTGGATTTTGCCGTCCTTACCGGCCGCTGGCACCTCGTCAGGCAACCTGTTTGCCTTTTGTGCCAGCGGACCGTTCAAGTCGAATTTGTATTTGACTCGAAAAAATAAAATGATTGATTGATTGATTGAGGCAGCAACTGACGGGCTGGAACCCCGTCACCCGGGAAGCCGCTCTTCGCCATCGCGTGCGCCTACGCCTTGTTTACGAAGAAAGCCGCGTACAAACAAGCCCGCGAAGGCCCACGCTGCGGGTGGGGGCACTGCGGGTCCGCAGAAACCGAGTTCGCGTGAGGCGAAGCGTCCGAGCATGCGTCGTGGCTATATCAGCGCCACCGCAGCGGGGAGACGTACGCATCTGCGCGTTAGTATATATAAGAAGCCGCCGCATTCAGATGTCGCAGTCCTCAACGTTACCTACTGTAGCCTTCATGCTACGAAACCCACCTTTAGTATTCCTCTCTCTTTCTCTCTCTCTAGACCACAGGCGCGGGACCTCTCTGTTGTTCTGCAAGACGAGCTAAGGAGCCCTCCGGTGAAATTCGCCATGAAGTCTGCTGTCGTTCTCGCTGCCATCTTCTTCGTAACCAAACTTGACTCGGCCGAAGAGTTGACCACCTGGACAGACGTCCTCCGAGACCCGGTCTTCGTACGCTTGGTGACGTTGGTGACGAGAGGAAGACTGCAGATTCTTCTGTCCCCCCAATGTCTCGACGATCACGGTCCAGATGTGGGACGCCTTCTACGACGGCTACCTTTTCCGGTGAATATCGCTACAGAATCCCAACATTGCGGTCCCGACGGGTACTGCCATCGTATTTCGTTCTCGACCAATAGTCTCCTACTAATATGGTGCGAACACCACAACCTGACTCGGGAAATGCTAGAGCTGCCGTACACAAACGTCATCGCTTTACTTTCCGATAAGCTTCGCGCTGAGATAGTCTCATTTGATGATGAGGGTTTGCTTCGAGATCCACGCTACAAGAATCTCCAACACCGTGGCGTCTACACTGTATTTCGAAGTGGCAGCCGAATTATGCTAGCGAAAGGCGGGCAAGTGGAATGCTTATCCTGCGGCGAAAGTTCACAAATCGCGAGCTGGACCCCTCGACTGTTAGAGCAGCTCCCTCTGAACGGGGCACAGCTGAATATTAGTTGCGTCTACCCTATACTTTGTGAGCATCCCACGTATGACACTCTCCTCAATACCTTAAATCACAAAAATGCCAGTTTTTTGCAGACGTACTACAGTAGGCTTGGTTACAACATGAGATATTTTAGCCCCGATTACATCAGTGTTACAAATGAAGTCATTTTACACTTGGAAATAAGGCGCGTGTGGAACCTCTATTTTCCGATAAGAGTACGACCGCATTCTTATATTTCAATCGCGCTTACCTTGTTTGCGAAGCGAAGGTACCCTCTGCCGAAAGAGGTCGTCCTTATCCTTCCCTTCACTTGGCATGTCTGGACAGCCCTGCTGTGCGGAATATTTTTGAGTGCGTTCGTGATATTTGTTACGCTCAGGAACAGCAAGAAGTTGCTTTCGAGTGCTCACGCGGTGGTGTTTGCACTGGTCGCCTCATTGCTCCAGCAAAGCGACCAACTCTCCTGCAAGCAACGGAGAGATTTCTCCACAAGGCTCCTTTTAGCTCTCTGGAGCGTCATGGGTCTCGTGCTTGTTACAGGATACAAGGGTTCACTCACGGCACTGTTGAGAGACGTACCTCTTGAAGCCGAACATCCGACCTTTCCGAACCGCAGTAGTACTTATCAGCAGGGATGTCTCCTCCACCATTTCGAATTTAAGGAGATACTGAAGAACACTTCAACAGAGGATGCCGCCATGATCGTCAAGAAGGAATATTTGAGACTGAGGAAACATAAATTAGTTCTAGACAAGAAGTATTTTCCCGTGGTGTACGAGTTTATGGGTCGACATACCAGCACCATTCACAAAGGACTCGTTGAGTTCGACTACGTTCCGACGGGGGAACCACTTTTTCCCGACGTCACTGGACCTGAGATCATGTACGCATCGCCGTTCAGAGATGCTGTCGCTGCGACCGTTGGCCAAGCGCAAGAGTCGGGTCTCTTCAGCAGGGCGGAAGCTCTTCAAGACTTCAAGATCAAGTATCGATCCTACAGCGCCGGTGTCTCTTCGGAGCCGGAGGTATTAACCCTGGGCGACCTGACGCCGTTTTTTCTCATCTGGTCTGCGGGACTCGGTTCTGCGGTACTCGCCATTTTGCTTGAGGCGCCTTCGGCTAGCTTACACGCCTTGTGCATAAAGCGCAGAACCCGCAAACGGCGTACACAAAGACTGGACTTGGATCGTTGGGCCTGCCACACCAACGCCTGAGTGATGCGGAGTGCCCATGGCAAAGTATGCAAACATCATCCGCGAAATTCGTGCGAAGCCTATTCGCCTGTCAGTGTGATTTGTACGCCAATAAAATAGCTGCACAGCGGGCACTATTAATTGTGTGTGGCGCGTCGTTCTTCCTGAGTGCGTTTGTCTGCTTGACCGCAATGACAGCGTTCTACTTTTAACGTGAAACGTTTTTTTGGCTCTCCAGAGGGGTCGCCAGATTTATAGTGAAGCTAAAAAAAATATACCACAAAGACCGACGCTGATTGGCTGGATGAGAGGTCACGTGATCAACGCTGATTGACTGATTCTGGTAAGTATGGGAGGTTCTGGAAAACTACCAGGATTTAAAACCCAACTAGCGCCAGTAACTTAATTCCAGGAACTGCTATCAAGTTTATATGCCCCGTGTTAATTAAGTTATCTGACGAAGAACACCGAGAGCGTAGGCGCCGGTCTTGGTAACGTCCCGGCAGTTTTATTCCTGTTTTATGCTGGGGACTTGAAAATTGCCATTGTATACAAGCTATCAAACGAAAAATGTACATATATTGTCGCCGATCGAGAGTAAAAGATTAACTGTGCTCTAACTATATTATACTGGCTATCATTACTGTGCCACTATTCTAATAAACATTAAAGCGGTTACCCAAGCCGTATTACTGACGCCGTCACGCAATCGCGTGGCTCTTATTTCTTAAAAACGCATTGTCAAGGCTGAGGTCGTTCGATTAGAAACTCAGCAAGGATGAAAACTTCCAACCATAAAACGTCACAAAAAGGGACGCTCTTTTTTTTTTTTAATATATTTCGGATTGAGATTCTTATGCAGTTCCTGGTCGGGATATTGATTTGCGGATTCACTAAAGCATTAACTTTTAAAAAAAAGATTAGAGGTACTTTTTGTCGCATGTGAAATCTCATAACGCGCTTATTGGTCGAGGATGAACAGAACGAACAATTTTAGATGCTATGGCCCACGTCTAGGTACGGGTTTAACCATTTGTTTAATACGATTAGCACTATTCTGGAAACAAAACCGACAAGTGTAAATGAAGCAAAAAAAAAAAAAAAACCGAAGCCAAATTGTCAAGACACACCTTTATAGCGATGGCAATATATTTTTATTTTACCTCGCGTAAACTCGTAGTAAACAGTTTTAAAAACTGAACGCATTGCCGCAGTTGGCCCGATAACATCTGAAAAAAATATTTCTAAGAGATCACTTTTTATTAAATACCTAATAAAATATGAGTCTTACTTTCTTTTGACATGTCCAAAAATTAAAAAAAAATTTTTTTGATGTGCAGTTATATTGTTTTGCTCTTTTTTTGTCGTTCTGTTTTATATACTTTTTCATAGGGTGCCTTCATGTGCGCTCTGCTTAGGGTGGAGACATCTCGCCATTTTGTCCCACACGTTTATTTTTCTTTTTTTTTTTTCAGAAGCGCGTGAAAGAGCGTGTTCCTGCACGCGTTTCTGGCGCTGACTGTGCTATGGCGACATTTTGTTTTCGTCGATTTCTTTGTATTTTCCCCGTGAGCGCGTGCTGTCGGCATCGGGTACTATAAACGGTGGCATCACCCTAAACAGAAGGACATTGAGGCACCCTACTTTTTCATATTTAAATACTTATATATATATATATATATATATATATATATATATATATATATATATATATTGTAACGGACAAGGAAAATGAAGAAAAGGAGAAGAAGAAGACGAGGTGTGTGGAGAACGGGGGACTGAATTCTGGGTTGCCCGTTTAGCCCATGAACTGAGACGCCCGCAACATTTGGTGGCAGCGGTGGGATTACGAAATGACAACCCAATCGGAGGCAAGTGGCGTCATCTCAACTCCCGCGGCGATGCAAATCACGGAGCGGTTAGCTAATCTGCTCGCCGAAAGGAGTGCTCCGGACATTGTGAACCCGCTTGGAACCCTCGACGATTGCCTCGCAACCCGTCTGTCTCTGCTGGAATCTGCGGTCGAACGTCAGGTTGCCGATGTAGGGCAACGCCTCAATGACGGCCTTTCATCCGTGGAATCTCGAATTCGACTGCCTGTGCACCACGGACCGCCACTCAAGCTGCCGACATTCGATGGGCAGTCGTCATGGCAAGCCTTCATCATCCAATTCGAAACGGTTGCAGACTTTTACGGGTTCGACTCAACGTCCAGAGCTCGTGCAATGGTGGCCCAGTTAAGGGGAAACGCTGCTGAATGTTTGGAGAGCATGTCTGCCACAAGTCGTTCCTCATATCAACTACTCATAGAAGCTCTAAAGTCCCGCTTTGGTGATGAACATCTCCAGCAATTTCACCTGACTGCTTTAAAGCACCACCGCCAAGGCACGGACACACTCCAGGAGCTAGCTGACGTAATCCAGAGGATGGCGAGAAGAGCGCTCGCCGGATGTACGGAAGTCGACTTGGAGCAGATAGCAACCACTGCTTTCATCGACGTAATCGAAGACACCGACATCCAGCTTCTTGTGCGACTCGCCCACCCAACCACGACTCGTGCAGCACTGGCTCGCGCACTCGAAGTTCAAGCAGCCAACAAAGCAGTGGACATGGTGTCGACATCTGGAATCAAGCTTTCGCGGGTGGCTCACCGATCTTCTCCGGTACGTTCAAGTAAACGTCGTTGCTTCACGTGTGGTGACATTGGGCACTTAGCTCGATCCTCCCCAAATCACTTGGCCCCGTGCAAAATGCAACCTATACCAACGCCAAACGTTTCAAGTGACAGTGAGCCTGGCAAGGTTGAGTCTCATGTAGTGCATCATGTTCCTCTGGTGACAACGCCACTGCGCACCTCGCCAACGCCATGTCTTTCAGTTCATCTTCATGAGTTGGGACAACATGTGAATGCTATCGTGGACACCGGAGCTGCAGTAAGTCTAATCGATTATGCATTACTGCAATCAGCAAAGTGTACCACGCCCAAAACACTTCCTGGTACCGTCTGTCTTATATCAGCCGACGGTTCTACAATCGAACAAGAAGGACAGATCTCGTTGACTGTAGAAACTTTAGGAACAACAGTCAACCTCACCTTTGTAATTGTGCGCAAGTTACAATGGTCAATGATACTCGGCCGTGACTGGTGTTCAAACGTCCAACTCTCCCTATCGTTTCGAGGAGGTGAACATTGTTTGTCAGCCGTACCAACTTTCAGCACTGGCGATCAGTCCAGTTGTTCTGCGACAGAGTTGCCCCAAGGAGATAGCGGGGGAAGCAAAGAAGCAATTTCCTGGAATTTTGAGAGCTTATTCGATGGATGTATCCTAGCGTGGTCCAGCTTGAAAAACCTGACGAAGACCGCTGCAGCCCAAGTGTGTTCTACCGTCGCAACTGCTACGACATTTGTGTCTACACTAATGGCACCGATGGTCAATCGAAAACCACAGAAGGTCTTCCGTATGGTCGCAGCATCGGACATTGTTGTACCTAAGTTATCTGCAGTTTGGGCTACAGCAATAATTCCAGGTTCAATGACGTCTAGAGATATCCTAGTTGAATCACTGCTACAATCTCGTCCTGGGATGGAGTTTGCTATACCTCGCTGCCTTGTTTCCTGCGAGAAGGGGAGTTTGATGCTTCCAGTTTTAAACCTGACGAATGGTGACCTGCTCCTGAAATCCGGTGAAGACTTCGGACCTGTGACATTTGCCCTGTCACATGCCACTGTCGCAACAATTATGCGGCACCAACAATGTCTGTCCCGCAAGATTGCCCTGAAAAAGCTAGTGACCTTCCATGGTCGGAATTTAATTTCGGCCACAACTTAACAGAACAACAAAAGGCACAGGTACAAGAACTGCTCTTGGACTTTCGGCAGTGCATTGCTATTACACCAGAAGAGCTAGGGTGCACACCACTTGTGCGCCACACCATCAATACTGGTGATCACGCTCCAGTACATCACAATCCAAGACGTGTTTCGATGAGAGAACGGGAGGAGATAAACCACCAGGTAGACGACATGCTTCAAAGGGATATTATAACTAGCTCCAGCAGTCCTTGGTCGTCACCAGTTGTCCTGGTTAGGAAAAAAGACGGTTCTACAAGATTCTGCGTGGACTACCGGAAACTTAACAGCATAACAAAACCAGACGTGTATCCTTTGCCACGACTTGATGATGCCCTTGATCGCCTTCATGGTGCCAGCTACTTTACTACTCTGGATCTCATGTCCGGATATTGGCAAGTGGAGCTGGAGCCGAAATATTCCGAAAAAACTGCCTTTGTGACTCCTGACGGATTGTTCCAGTTTAACCGTCTTCCATTCGGTCTCTGCAATGCACCTGCGACCTTCCAACGCATCATGGAGGGTGCTTGGACACCTGAAGTGGACGATGGCGTTAGTTTATCTTGATGATGTCATCGTATACGCTGACACTTTTGAAGAACACCAGCACCGTCTGCGTCTACTGCTGAATGCCCTCACCAATGCGCATCTCCGTCTGAAACCATCGAAATGCTTCTTCGGATGCGACACAGTCATTTACTTAGGGCATGTTGTCAACAAAGAGGGTATTCGCCCGGATCCAACCAAGCTGGCAGCGCTAGCCAATATTCCTTAGCCCACTACCACAAAGCAGTTGAAAAGCTTTTTAGGCTTTGCGTCCTATTTTCGTCGATTTGTAAGAAACTTCTCTCTAAGAGCTGCTCCATTGACTGAGCTTCTTAAAAAAGACACCAAGTGGCGTTGGTCCGCAAAAGAACAAGCTTCTTTTGCTGATATCAAAAAAGCACTTCTTGAACCACCAACCCTGGCTCATTTTTCAGAAGAAGCACCGACGTTCATTCACACTGATGCCAGTGGCGAAGGGCTTGGCGCTGTTCTTCTCCAGAGAGACAATGCAGGAGTAGAACATCCCGTCATATACGCAAGCCGCAAACTTAGCGAACCAGAAAGTCGATGCCATTCTTCAGAACTCGAGTGCCTCGCTGTTGTTTGGGCAGTGGAAAAGTTCCGG